AAAATCCTTTATGAACATCAACTGTGGTGACTATTCCTTTGCTGTTATTGGTTCAACAAAGCATATTTATCCTCATACTCACTGTCCTGGGTATGAAAGAAAGCCTGCCACTTACAAGTCCATGAAATGTTCACATTATTTAAAATGTGCAATTGCGCCTTAGTCAGTTTGGCTCAATTGATAGAGGATCAGCTTGCGGACTAAAGGGTCCTGTGTTCAATTTAGTTCAAGAGCATGTATCTCGGTTGCAGGTTCAATCCCTGTTGGGGCATGTGCAGGAGTCAACCAATTGATGTGTCTCCCTCACATCAATCTTTCTCTGTTTCTCCTCCTCCCTTCCACACTCTCTAAAAAAATAAAAAAATAAAAAATAAAATACGCAATTGTGGGGATCCTGAGGATTCTGCTATGACATTTTTTTTTTTTTTTAATCACAAATACTAGGTCACTCTATGTATGGGACTTTTAAAAAAAGTGACTAGAAAAATATCCCAATAGTGATTCTATCATATTAGCATGACCCTAATTTCTTCAGACAAAAGTCTTTCGGTCCCATTAGTAAGAGCCAATTTGTTCCAGCATTGCTAAGGAAGGGAATTTTTCAGTTCGAGGAATGAAGAGAGACACATGGTCAGGTCAAATGGCCAGCAAGACTATAATTATGCTTAAAAAGGCAGTCTTCTGAAGAAGGGTCCAGAGGATGGAGAGGACCAGGAAGCAGAGGATGAGCCTGTGGGCCCTATGGGCTCTTCAGTGACCCAGCAGGGCTACATTAGGATGGTCTTCTGGGTTTTTACTCCTGTGGACTTTATAATTCTGCATTTTTGCAGGGGGCATGGTTTGGCCTGTGGGATGGAATACTCTTATGTAGGATTAACAGTCTGTACTGTATATACACCGACTGGCCAGATTATGATGATCTTTGAACGCATAATAATCTGGCCACTGAGTTGGGATTGTAAAATAAGGTTTTCTGTGTATAAGAACTGCATTGTGAGTAGTTAGAAAGAAGCAGAGGACTTACTAGCCAGAGGTTGGGGGTCACTATCTCCTGGTCCCTTGACATATCAAGGTTTGCAAGCTTTCCCTTATATGTAAGTACACTGAGTGGCCAAATTATTATGGGTTTAGAGATCATCATAATCTGGCCATTTAGTGTATATAAAAGCCTAAGCGACTGCCCGACCATTCTACCGGTACCCATGATGCACAATGACCACTAAGGGCCTGATGCTCAACACAGGAGCTGCCCAACTGCAGTGACTTAGCAGCTGCTGTTCTCAGGTGCACCCAGAACCAGAGAGGAGAGAGCCTGATTCTGGGGCGTGTCACACGAGAACCACCCTCTTGCAATCTGGGACCCCTCAGATGTCTGGAGAGCTGGTTTTGGTCCAATCCCCACAGGCCGGGCTAAGGGATCCCACCAGTGCACCAATCCATGCACTGGGCCTCTAGTCAGGATATACTGTTGATGGCAGTGGCCACTGACCCAATTTCAATTTTTAAAATATGCAAAGAATGGAAAGATATAACTCAAAATGTTGGCAGTCAGTTACTTTCTCTGATTATGGGTTTTTCCATTATTTTTCTTTTTGTGTTTTGAATTTTCAACAAAGAACTTGTATTAGTCTTACATAGTCAGGAAAAATACTGACATTAACACCAATGCTTATTTTAATAAAAGAAAATAAAAGTTGTTATAAAAATATTTTTGTGAAAGTGTGATGTTACAAATTAATATAACAATTCAATTTCTAGAAAATAAAACTTGAAGATATCAACTGTCTTAAAAAATAGAGAGGTTTTCCTATACAAGCACTCACTCTACTGGTGACTTAGAGAATATACTTACTCTGACATTTCTGAAATAATCGAATTATTTTCCACAAACACTAGAGGGCAGGATTTTTACTATGAAAGTTAATTTCACCAATCATCACTACATTATATGCTTTTTTCTTGTGTCTGGCTTCCATTAATATGTGATAAATTATCTCTATGTTTATTATAGCTATTTTTGACCGTGCTTCTAATCACATGATAATTTTAACTTAGAGGCTGATTCTCATGAGATATTTAGTAGCCTTTTTATCATATAAAATTAATTTATCCCTACTCATATACTAAAGGGAATTAAAAAATGATATACAATGCATATATGTAAATACTGTATTTTTAGGACTATATTAAAAATATGTAATAAGTTTCTGATCTGACACTATTTCATATTTAAAGTGAATCACTAATAAACACATTGAAAATTGAGGTCCATCACTACTGCTTCTAGTTTTTAAAAAGTGCAAAGATAATTAATTTTTAAGAAATTAGTTCAATGCCCTTACAATCTCAGATGTTTAAGAGAACACTGAAATGCTTTTCTCTTAACTCCAAAAGCTTCTAACATATATGAGGTTTATGAATTCTGGTGGTGGTGGAAGAGAAGCTGAGAGGAAAAATGACATTCCAGGAGGTGAGAGTAGCAAGAGTAAAGTCATGGCTTATCAAAAGTTGTTTATTTGGGGTTGTCAAAGTAACCTGACATGTAACTACTAGAGGCCTGGTGCATGAAAATTCATGCACTGGAGGGGGAGAGGTCCCTCAGCTCGGCCTGCCCCTCTCACAGTCCAGGAGCCCTCAAGAGCAGGAGGCGACCCAGCAACCAGGGGATGGCAATGCCCCCATCACACCTCTGCTGCTGCCACTGCTGGCAGCTAAAGCTTTGGCCTGCCCTCGTTACAAGCCTTGGGCCGGCCCTGGGCAGCTGGACAGCTGCCATCCCAGGCTTGCCTAGGCCTCGGCTGGCCCTGCTTGCCTGAGCCTCAGTCAGTGAGAGGTGCAAGTAGGACCCAAGGTCTGCAGCGGGGCTGAGGGTACTCTGGCAGAAGGCACATGGAGCATCTGGGCCTGGTTGAGGAATGGAGGATACTCTCAATGACGAGTTATAACTTCCAATTTGTTGGACACCACAGTCAGGCTTCAACTTCAGGGGAGGAAAGAAGGGAGGGGTGGGGAACTCGTTGGAGGAGCCTGGGTGAACTGTCAAGTCAGTGGGGGGGCGGGGAGTGCAGGAGGACTTGAGATCTCCAGCAGGGCAGAGGGGACTCCAGCGGCAGGTGTGTGGAGCAGCTGCCATCTTGTGACAGTGTGATGGTCAATTTGCACATTACCTCTTTATAATATAGGATAGTATAAGGAGTATTAGAGAAATAGCTGAAGGTGGAAAAGCAGAAAAGGGTCAATTGGGGAAGAACTGTTGTGCTATTCTTGGGATTTAGACTTTATTAACCCTAGATAAGTAGATGGATACTTATCTTTAAGACAGACTTGGGATTTTAGTAAGTCTAAGTGAAAAGTGCTTTCTTTCTGAAATCTACACTGTAAGATCTAGCAAATAGCTGGAAATGCAGGGCTAAAATTCAGGGGAGAAGTGAAATATATATGTAAGTAAAAGAAAAAATGAGGTTTAAATTTTGTATGACTATGAAGTCTCATGATATTATTTATATTAGACACAGAACCCTTGTTAAAATAACTGAGGTCAATGTGCAGCAACATAATATACATTTGAATTGAACACTGTATCACTTAGCACAATAAACTTTCCAACTGAATGGTACTCATGGTAAATTATGGGATGGAATTGCACTGTTAGGTATACTTTAGCCAATTTAGGTGATTATCTACCTCAAAGACACAAAAAATTTATTGGCAAATGCATGACATATATTTCATATACTACAGATAAGAGTTCATTAAGATGCTATATATGCACACATACATTCTTTTAAAATGAAGCCAAATTTTTTATATATTTGTAAGACATAAAAAGGAGTTTACTATGAGTAAAATACTCAATTTTACAAATGAAGGCCAGTAAACAATGATTATTAATAATTATCATTAGTATTACATTTCATATTTAGAGCCCCTCATATAAATTTTCTTATTTGATCTCTACAAGCTGTCTATTAAGTGGACTAGAGTAACAGCAACAGCAACTTTAATACTCTGATACAGTATCTTTAACAGAATTTATTTTCTACTCTTCACCCTTCATCCTTCCCCTACCCCAACACCACAATTTGTAGGATAAAGTAGAGGTCTTAGGCATACTTGGAAATTTATACTTAAAACCTGAGCATTTCTGGTATAAATAAAATAGATTAGAAAACACTGCTTATTGAATTTTCTGAAACTGTTTGAAACAGAAAATAAAGACCATTATGAATGCAATCTGGTCTAGACATATAAATTGTGTGTTATGCCCTGGCTGGTGCCTTCAGTGGTTAGAGCGTTGGCTCAAGCACTGAAGGGTCGCAGGTTCAATTCCCGGTCAAGGGCACATACCAGGGTTGAGGGTTTGTTCCCTGCCCTGCCCATTCCTCCCCCACCCTACCCTGGCTGTTTCCTCCTCCCCATAAGTGTGGGTGCATGAGGCAACCAGTCAATGTGTCTCTCACATCAATGGATGTCTCTCTTTCTCCCTCTCCTTCTACCTCCTCCCTTCCACTCTCTCTGAAAAGCAATGGAAAAAATACACTCTGGTGAGGATTAGCAACAAAATATTAAATTGGGTGCCATAAATGCTTGATAATTATTACACAAGTTTAAATACGAGGAAAAGCCCAATCCAATTAAGTTGTTATAAGTCTGACCATTTAATAACATTGCTGATATTAATTTACCTTCATTCACGAAGTGTTTTAAATAAAATGCCATTGCTGAAGGACAAAAAGCCTTCTAAGTTTCTTTTTAATTCATTTTTTGAATGTCATTTTTTAAAACACCATTGCATTATCTACATATGGAGTTTAAAACACTCCTCCCCATTTATCTAAAGGCTGAGCCAAGCTCAAATCTTGTGTCATTGTATTTTACAGGTTAAAGACTGGGAGCTGAACATATTATCTCCCAAATAAACAGCTACTTGCTTTTAATCGCTTTAGTATTTTCATGAGAGTTGCAATGCGTTAAAAAGAAACTAGGACACGTATACTTACTTGAACCTGGCAGGTGAAAGTGGAGTAGGAGGAAACATTCCTGGCTCAAAAGAATCAAAGTAAGTCACTGTCCAAGAAAAGCTGCAACAGGAGAACCCAGCAGTCAGGGATATTATAAGAAGAGTCCAGAATCCTTAATGGGAAGAGAGAAGGGGAAAACTTGAATTATTAACACCCAAACAATTAAAATTAAACCAGTATCCTCACATTCAGATAATATGCATTTCTGATCTTTTGGTTTATATATATAAGTGATATAAGAGATTTGAGTTTAGTACAAGTTAACCCATGTAGAAGTTTAAAACTATAAGTCCTATCATTTAATATTTAATTCAATTATAACTTAATATTTGGAAAAGAGTACAAATTCAACTAAAGAGTATAACTTATCTTCAGTTTTATAAAATTCAACTATAGAAAAAAATAGTTAAAATACTTCATTGCTAATATTTTTTTCACAGCTTGCTGTCTTTTATTACTTTAGCACTAAGTGACTTCTTTCCATAACAATGCACTTTTGACACATGAATCAATTTTTGAGTGTCTACTCTTTACAGTTTTCCTATGAACATCATAAATTTAATCTGATTCTTTTACCTTGCTCAGTATATGCACATTAAGTTAACTCCCAATTTATAAATGGGTTGGGATCCTAAATTTTATTTTCAGTTAGATTGAACCTACATTTTCTCAAGTAGAAACCACGGTGACTATACTGGGAGAATGAAAAGGTCAAAGGGAAAAGGATTAGAAAAGGAGGGGGGATAAACACAAGGAAAACAAAGAATTAATTTAGCCTAAACCAGTTTGGCTCAGTGGATAGAGCGTTGGTTTAGGGACTGAAAGGTCCTGGGTTCTATTCCGGTCAAGGGCATGTACCGTGGTTGTGGGCACATCCCCAGTATGGGGTGTGCAGGAGGCAGCTGATTGATGATTCTCTCTCATCGATGTTTCTAACTCTCTATCCCTCTCTCTTCCTCTCTGTAAAAAAATCAATAAAATATATATATTTTTAAAACAATTAATTTTAAGGTTTTTAGATATTCACATCACCTCACTGAGAGTTTACAGAGCCACAATTACTGATAAGTGTGTGTTTCAGGCCTCAGTAGTACAAGGGAGAAGGAAAGGTTAAAAATACTGCAAAAGAGAATTACTAAATTTCCTGGCTACACAAAATTGCAAAACCTAAGATGGCTTTATTTTAGCAAGAAGCAGTCAAGAAATATGTACTATGGACTGCTTGTAAACCATATGAAACCCAATAACAGAGTGGTAAAAACTGCTAAAAGAAAAACTCAGGGCAATAAGGCATCAGGAAAAACTGTGGCCAAGTACTTTTGAAAGATTAACTTTCCTTTCCTCATAGTTCCCTTTCCCTTATCCCCTTTTAAAGATAACAAACTTTTTGTTCACTGCCCCAGAAGGAGGATGTGGCAAAAAGAGAGAACTAGCCCTAGTGTCTCTTTTGTTGTGTTTCAGTTAAGGGAACTAGGAGGTTAAGGATAAGCAGTAGTTAAACACAAAATGATTCCTAGAGTAAGCTGACTCAGGTATATTTGTGTAGAACAGGGAGATAGTAGGCTTTATCTACAGGTGATAAAGACTCCCATTTGAAGAAAGTGGGTTACGTGTGTGGTGTTTGCACTTGTGGGTGTACAAAAGGGAGGAGGTAGTGCTGTTGGGGCTTCCTAGTAGCTATCAAGAAAAGGCCATACAACACCAGAAAGAGATTATAGCTACTGTACCTTAACAGATGGGCCCATAGCTACACTTGCTGGTGCCTCTGTCCTGAGTAGGTCACAGAAACAGTAGATTGTTACATGGCTGGAAGATGCTACATCTAAAAGGCCATCCTGACCAGAATGCAAGATGTTTCAGCAGTAACTTATTTGGGCAAATGTTTTGAGGACTAGGAAGTACTGCCATCCCAGTATCCTGGAACAGTGTCAGGTAGAGCCATAACTCAACCTAGGACTGGCTAAACAGAACTGCTACAGTAAAGATTTGAGGTACAACCTTCCTGCCAACAAGAAAGACAGGAGATAAAAGTAGAAATAAGATTACTTAGTATACAACTACAATTTAAGAGTGACTACATTGCCAAATAGCCGTTTTATTATTTAGATGAATATCCACCTCTAAAGAGGAGAATACAATTTACATGATTTAGTCTAAGTTTAGCATCTTACCTTATCTATCTATCTATCTATCTATCTATCTATCTATCTATCTATCTATCTATCTATCTATAATCTATATAAAGAGCCAGGGTCTGTAACAGTTGCAAACAACCGAAGGCTAGACCAAACACCAGAAGTCAGGCAGTCAGTCAGTGCTGGGTAGCCATGGCATTGACTGCCGTGCTGTGGGTGCCTCATCCACCCAGCACTGACTGCTCCGGGGGCTACGATCAGGACTGGAGAGAAAAGCAGGGTCTGAGCACAGTCCCTGTGGCAGTCAGTGCAGGGTTGACATGGCAGCAGTCAGTCCTGCAATCTGTGAACATGGGGTCAATATCTCTTTGAGAGGAGTTGAAAATATAAAGTACAGTGTAGAAAAATTACTTAAAAGTTTTTCACATAAAACTCTTTTAAACTAAGATTATTTTCCTTTATTTAAAATGAAACTTTAGCTGAAACCGGTTTAGCTCAGTGGATAGAGAGTCGGCCTGTGGACTGAAAGGTCCCGGGTTCGATTCTGGTCAAGGGCATGTACCTGGGTTGCGGGCACATCCCCAATAGAGGGTGTGCAAGAGGCAGCTGATCGATGATTCCCTCTCTTCGATGTTTCTAGCTCTCTATCCCTCTCTTTTCCTCTCTGTGAAAAAAAAAAATAAATAAATAAATAATAAAAAAATTAAATCTTGCTTTCTTAAAAATTAAAAAGAGACAACTTAAAATGAAACTTAAGTTTATTTTATTAATATCTCTGAAAAACAGGCTAATAATAGAATATGGTTTGTAGGACAATCATAAAAGGAAACTCTAAGAACTCTGACGTGTGACTCCAATGCCACCCAGGGAAGATCAGGGGATATGAGTTCCAAAACCAGCTGAATATATCACCTCCTTGGCTGGACTACCTCACTACAGTAGTAAAGATGAATAGTATTACAGCAAAATCCTATGAGTAATTAGATCAAGTAACTCCCAGAGGCGTTGATATCATCCATGAGTTATCATGAACCTTTAAAAAAAAAGTATAAGGGAGAAAGGCTCTTCCTTTCTGTCTACCCACAGCCGTCAGGTAAGCCAAGATGGGCAGTTATAAATACAACCAGGAGCTGTGGAGGAAGCAGCACTCTGATGTAATGCACTTCCTTCTTAGGGATGTTTCTCCAGATCTCTATGCTCCACAAGGGCCCTAGGAAGTGCACAGGTTGGGATACAAGGCCAAGCAGAGTTATGCCATATAACGGATTCATGTGCTCTATGCTGGCCACAAATAACCTGTTTCTAAGAGTGCAACTTAAGGCAAGCCTGTTGATCAGTTGGTGTTATCTAACTAAAGTTTGCTCAAAGCCTTCAGTCTGTTGTGGAAGAGTGAGTGGAACACCACTGTGGGGCTCTGAGAGTCCTAAATTCTTACTGGGTTGGTGAAGATTCAATATACAAACTTTTTGAGGTTATCCTCATTGATCCATTCCACAAGGCTATCAGAAGGAATTCTGATACCCATTCTGGATCACCAAACCAGTCCCCAAGCTCAGGGAGATGAGGGGGCTGACATCTGTAAGCCACAAGAGTCTTGGCCTTAGAAAGGGCCACAAGTTCCACTACTTTACTGGTGGTTCTTACCATGCAGCTTGGAGAAGGCTCAATACACTACAGCTCCACCGTTACCTAATGTGACGTAATGTAAGTAACATTTGTAAAATTCTTACCTAATAAACAATCTGAGACAGTAAAAAAAAAAAATACACACAAACACACAAAAAACCACACCTATAAACAATGATTCCCATGTCATTAGCTAAGATTAGACAATGAACTTCCTATTTGCTGTCAAATATCTACTAAGCATACCTAGAAGTAATACCAGACTATTTATTTATTTTTTAAAAATATATTTTGTTTTTTACAGAATGGAAAGGGAGGGATAGAGAGCTAGAAATGTCAATGAGAGAGAAACACCAACCAGCTGCCTCTTTCACAACCCCTTTCGGATATGTGCCCGCAACCAATGTACATGCCCTTGACCGGAATCGAACCTGGGACCTTTCAGACCCCAGACCAATGCTCTATCCACTGAGCCGAACCGGTTTCGGCGATATCAGACTATTTAACTGGTGGAACATCAAGCTGAGCAATGGCAAAGTCCCATTATATTCCTTTTGATACTGAACAAGCCATTCCTTCAGATGGCAAGTACCATTCATTCTTTTCATAAATGTGAAATCCTGCCAACTTTTAAATACAAAGTTAGAATTCAAGGCTAGTCCACAACTGTATCAAGATCTTACATATCAATAAATGCTATGAAAACCTTCATATTCTTGGCTGTTTTTTAAGAAATGAAATAGTATAACAACAGACACTGATAAAATGAGTTAATAAATACGTGTTTTCTCATGCAAGAAGTTAAGAAGGGTACAGACAAATTCTCATGGGACATGTAGCAAACTAGTTAGTTTGGAATTTGAAGATAAAGAAGTCCCATTCTGCAAAAATCAGGTAGACTATACTTTGTATCATAATGAGGGGTACTGGCCTTGAAGAGATAGATTAAATAGTTTGCTAACATTAGGAAAGGAGGGTGACAAGTGGGATAGAATCTCAACCATTTGCTCCCCAATTCAGAGTGATTATTCAAATAAATTATAGCAAATAGAATAAATATGCCAGACAGGTAAAGTTCTGAACTTTTTAAAATCATTTGTGCAGAGAGAAATAAATACCCCTTGAATTTTTCACTAGAAAAATGCATTATAACATTCATCAGACATTCTATAGAAACTCAGGTCCGACACTTTCCTAGTTATAACGGAACTGTGCAAGTATGCCTAATGCTTCTTACATTTGTTTAAACCTAAATTTCTCCTGAGGTTTGCTTAACATGGTATCTTTGCTAACTTTGTGAGGAAGTTATTTTTCCTTGTTTGTAATTCCTGGGAAGAGGTATAGGGAGACTCGTCCAGCACATAATTAGAAAACATTAAGCATTCTCTGGGACTTTGTCCCATACAGTTCTGTTCAAAATGTATTCCTAGTGTGTGTGTATGGTCAAACGGGTATATATACCTATAATTGTCAAGTAACAATGAAGTACATACCTAATAGCCCTGTGTCTATCTCATCTTCATTCTTCAAATTCTCAGCATGTAACTCTGCAAATACAAAATTGGGCTTGGGTAAGAAAGGAAGACACTATGGAGTTGTGGAATGTGCTGTAGCGTCAGAAACAACTGGTTTCAAACTGATTCCATTTAGTAGCTATGTGACTTTCTATAAGCAGGTAAGAGTCTACTGCCATATATGTAAAATGGGAACGCTTATTCCCTGGGGTGGTTGTGAAAGCATTTCATGTAATGCAAATAAAGGAGGCACACGAGTTTTTAAATTCAGATCCTTTCTCCATTCTCTGAAATATGCACAACGCAGTCTTCTGCGATGGACTTCCAGGTTCTGTGATTTTATGATAAAAAGGCAATCTCTCAGAACAAGAGAGGCAAGGGTACCTACAACATGCAGAGTAGAATAAACCTCAAACTGCACTGAAAAGAAGGGAGTAAGGAGAGTGATAGAGGGAGTGATATGGCACACATGTATTTAGCATCGAGAGTTTACAAAAAATTATCATTGTATGAATAGGTAAAACTTGCCCATTTGTTTCCTCTGAACATTAAGCAGGGTAAGCTGTTAGATGCCATTTGCAGCCCATTAGTGGCTTGGAAGTAATGAGGAAAAATAAAAACTGCAATTAAATAGATTTAATTCGATTTAGTGAACTGAAATAAATACTTGAGTGGGTTGGGTTTGTTTCATACATTAAAGGTAAAAAGCCTGTCAGTAACTTTGCCAAAGTCACACAGGAGTGAAAACTGAGATTTAATCTCGGGTCTGATTCTTCCCACTGTAACCACATAACATCCGTGTAGAGGTCGGAAAACTTTTCAAGGCACAACTTCTATTCAAATCTGGCCCTATGCCACAGTCAGACACGGGAAAAGAAAACTATTAATCAGAGAAAGTGGACCAGCTCCTGCAACAAAACTCGATCGCTACAAAACAGAGAGGGACTACATATTCAACCAATGAAAGTAGCAGTTTGGGCTGTGGGATCAAATCCCCGACCTTCGGGAACTCGGTGGATAGCACATCTTTAATCACTTGCACGTTAGTCTCTGAGCTCGCACGGCCTATTTTACACACATTTTTCACCGTCTTTTAACGGTTGTTAAAAGTGTTCATTGACTCCAATGATATTGGTTAACTCGAGATCCTTTTTTTTAAAAACGGACTCGGACCACCCACTTGCAGGAACAGGGAGGGGAAAGGGAGGACAAAGAAAGGCGCAGTCCGCGATTCTGGGTGGAACTGGCTGCCCGCTGGCCGGCCTGGCCTTTCGTGGAGAAGACGGTGGTGAAGGTGAGAGACTCAACTTGATTCGGGGCAGATTCGCCGGGGCCCAGCCTTCGGTACCTTTTACGATCAGGTAGGCGATGGCGAGAAGGAAAGCGAGGAGCACGGCGAACAGCAGCGAACAGAGAATGGAGAGGACCTGGACCGGCCACCGGCGGGCCTGCGCCCGGCCGCGCACCTCCGCCGGGAAGAAGCCGTTGCGTTTATCGGGCAGAACCGGGGAACCATCCTGCTCCGGCGGGAGCAGCGCGCCCTTCCTGGGCTCCGACGACGCCCCCGCCGACAACTCCGCCCGTAGGTCGCGGGCTACCTGGTCGAATACCTCCTCGTCGTCTTCCCCTTCACCCCAACTGTCCCCCTGAGTAAAGGCGGACACCCTCGGCCGAGCGAAAGGGACCGGGGTACCGCGGCGACGGCGCTGCAGAGAGGCACGCTTCGCGCTCTCAACGAACGACATGGCGGGAAACACCCAGAGCCGCGCCGGAGCCGGGCATCTCCCACCCGCCCCGCCCCCAGCGCGCAGCAGCCAATGAGCGGCCGGGTCTCCCCGCGGCCGGCACCATCCGGCCCCGCCGCGCAGGGGTGCGCAGGAGGATTGCGAGGTGGGGCTGCGGAGTTGCCGCGGGGCTCGGGGAGAGATTGAACACCCCCGGACCGGGGCCCGACCCCTCAGGCCGGAGGAGGGAAGGGAAGCCAGGGGCGGCGCAGAGAGAGGCGAGGCGAGGCCTGAGAGAGCAGTCAGGACCCCTCTCCCTGCGGCGCTTCGTCCCGGCCGGAGGCCTCCGCCGCCGCCGCCGCCGCGTCACCTCCAGGCAAGCGCGGGCACAGTCGGCCCCAAAGCTGCATCTTTCCGGAGCGCGGTCCTAGCGCCCGCCCGTGTGCACCTGTGATTAACATTCCCGAACCTGTCCGCTTTCTCTCTTCCTATCCTATCCTCTCTCACTCCCTCCCGGCTTCCCCCCCACTAACGACAGCTCACCGGTCGGCGCTCCCCGCCCCGCCTGAAGTTCCCACCCCTCTTTCCCTTTGGCATTGTTCCTCCCGCCCCTACCACAACTTCCCTCCACGCAGCTCGACACGCCCCCTCCACACCCCCCTACCCCCAACCCCCAGCCCGGGAGCGCGCCCTCCAGCTGCTGTGTACGCCGATCGGCCCTCCCCTCGAACCCCTCCTGAGGCCTCCCCGCACCCCTCCCCTCCGCCTCCAGCACTGCGCGCGCGCGTCGGGCCCGGGCCACCGCTAACGCTAGAAGCCTTCTACCCGACTCCACCTACCCCACCCTACAGGTTTGTGGGGCATACGTAATTCGGACGGGGGGGGGGGTGAAGGGGGCAGATCCCCACTGCCCCACCCCCTGCGGGGTGAGGCGGTCTAAGCTAGGAGGGCTGGGACACAGTGGTCGGCCCTTCCCGGGGGGAAGTTGGTGGAGTTTTCCAGCTGAGGACAAGGCACAGAAACTTCCTCCGTCCCTATTGCCCTCCCTCCCCACCCTCCCTCCATGCAGGCGACGCCGAGTGAGCCCGAGGCTGGGGACGAATCGCCGCAGAGCTACGTGTCGGAAGCGCAGTCTGATTGGCCAGCGGGAGAGCCTGTCAGCCTCTTGGCCCCGCTGGTCCCGCCCCGCGGCGCCGCGCAGCCTTTCACCTTTGGCCCCAGCGGGCGCCAGCCACTCAGATCGCTGCTTGTTGGCATATGCAGCGGCCGTGGCCGCCGGCGGAGCAGTCTGAGCCCGATGATGAGGCCGGGGACGGGAGCCGAGCGTGGAGGCCTCATGGTGAGTGAGATGGAGAGCCATCCTCCCGCGCAGGGTCCTGGGGACGGGGAGCGGAGATTGTCCGGCTCCAGCCTCTGCTCCGGCTCTTGGGTCTCTGCTGACGGCTTCCTGAGGAGACGGCCCTCGGTAAGGGATCGGAGCGGCACAATGAAAATCAGATACAGGAAGCTTGCTTTCTCCGGGAGGAGGAGGAGGAGAGAGCACGGAGTAAAGAGCTCCGAAGGAGAGAAATGGAGGGCGGGGATGCACAAAGGGGAAGGTGCGGGGCCCTGGAAGTTTCCGGCGGGCCCGGCGCAGACAGATGCGCCTGGAGCTGCTGGGCCCCGAGCGCGGCGGGCGCCCCGGAGGGAGGGGCGGCGGGGACGGGGTTCGGAGGCTGCCGAGACGTTCCCGCTGGTGGGAGCGGTGTTTGTAGGGGGCACAGCTGGGAGAATTTGCAGGCGGTAATTACCTGGCTTTAAGGCTTGGGACCGATGGACACACAGGTAAAGGCAGTAGTTGTCTTATAAAAGAGTATTAAAAATGGATGGATTAGCTGTTTTGCATTTAGTGTGAATGACAGACCTCAGTTCTGGAATAAGAATAAAAAAACATTTTTTTTTTTTTGGCACTAGTAATGTTACCCGTCTAAAGGTTATATTTGAGAGTAGTGTGCGTATTTTTTAGGAGTGAGGTGTCCCTGGATTACCCCTATTTGTGTTTTATAAGACCAGCCTCATCTGAGTTAGTTTGGTCATTTCAGCGTTTTAAAGCTTAAAGTCAGTTTAGAAATAAGTTTAAGAATAAGTGGGCTTAGACAATAGCTGTCTAATATCTGTGCGATACAGGACAAAGTTGTTTTCATCACAATTTTTAAAATGGCTTTCGTGCACTTCTGAACTTAGCAAGTCAATTAGCAACTAATCAAACCAGTGTGCTTTAAGATAAAACTAAGATCAAATCGTCCAGTAATGATTTTTTTTTTAATCTATTGTTCTGGGATTTGGTTAAAGCTCATAAGTATTGGTAAAGTGCATTTTGTTTAATATAAGAAAGTATAAACGTACCCTAATAATTAAATCACACTTTAGCCTACTGTTACATCGCTACACTTAACTGATTTGTTAAAATTAGATTTTTTTTTTTTTTGAAACGTATGTATTGTCACTTGTTCGTGTTTAAATTGTCTTTATTTTTCAGATGGGGCATCCTGGCATGCATTATGCCTCAATGGGAATGCACCCTATGGGGCAGAGAGCGAATATGCCCCCTGTGCCACATGGAATGATGCCACAGATGATGCCCCCAATGGGAGGTCCACCAATGGGTCAGGTAAGAATGTTTTTGTTTTATTTTGCTTTTATTTTCGCCTGTTGTATTGTTATGTCAAGATCTCAAAATCTGGGTCAAAACTTGTAGCTTCTTAAGGATAAGTTTATGTCAAAGAAATGTTTTCAAATAAGGGAAATGTAGAATCATGACACTAACGATTTTGAATATATGAAGACTTCTGTATAAAATAACTACTTTCACTGCAACAAAGCTAAGAGGTTGTGTGGTTTTTTAAATAAGTTTAAAAGTAACACTGTAAATGTAGGCTTTTTAGTTTAATGACTTTTTCTCACAAGTATGTCAATTGAAGTTAATGTTCTAAGAGTAAATATCTGATAAATCAACATAATTTATATCAGGGGACCGTGTAAATGCATAGAATCTGAAATTGCAATTGTTTATGTCTTTGGCTGTTTAAAATGAATTTTATTTCTGAAATAGCGTCCTTATTGTGTGTGGGGGTGTGTGTGTGGAGGTGGATATGTTCTACTCTAATTTGATTCTTAATAGGACAGTGCCAAATAGGTAGTTCGTTTTTCACTTACACTATTGTGTTGTTGTTTTCTTTTAATGCTTATTGCTTCTGCACTCCTGATTTGAGCTGTCCCTTCCATCTCCAGCATAAGTTGAAAGCAGACATTTTGTGGGAGTGATTTGGACCAAAAGATTTTAATGCTGACTCAGTAAATTCAATAGAACTGAGTTTCTAGAGAAGCTTTCAAGAAAAGTAACAGGTTTAGTTACTATGAATAATTTTATGCCCCCTTAGGTTCTAATATTTCTAAGTTAAAGCTGCTCTTAAATAGATAATGAGCTTTAAAAAATATTTACTCTTTAAATGCTTTCATTCTTAAAATTAGTTTGGTGACTGGTTTCTTTCCATTTGAGTATCTCAATAAATTATCAAAACGTTAGGCTAACAAAATATTTTGGAAAGCCAGTCAATTAGGTATGAACTTTGTGCTAATTAATAGTTTACTTTGATAAGCAGTTAAGCCTTGATGGTTTTAAGTTATTGGTGAAATTGTAGTGGAGAAGGAGCTTGCTCTGTGTCTCTCTTTTTACGCTACCTTAATAGAAGAGTAGAAGAGCTTAATTAATGTCAGGTGCTTTTCTTTTTTTATTTGGAATATAGTTCTTAATTTTGTATAAAAAAATGTTTATTCAATGGCACCAGGCCCAAAGATTCTGCCTGTAGGAATTCTTAAATAAAAGAATCATTTATTTTGTTACTCTAGAACAGGGGTAGGGGACCTTTTTTCTGCCAAGGGCCATTTGGATATTCATAGCATCATCTGCAGTCCATACAAAATTATCAACTTAAAAATGACCCTGCTGTATTTGGTCAAACATTTAATTTGTCCAGACCAAGTGATTCCAGGGCTTTATAATGCCTGAGGGCATATGTTCCTCACCTCTGCTCTAGAATATTGCAAGTTTTAAAACTCCCTTAGGTGATGGAGAAACAACTTTGATTCCTCTTCTGTTTCTTTCCATCTCTAAGCAGCAAGGAGCTCTTCCTGTTTTCTTAGTTGAGCTGCTCTAACTACATAATGAGCTTTAAAAAATATTTATTCTTTAAATGCTCTGGTTCTTATTTAAAATTAGTTTCTTTCCACAGAAAGATAAAATAAAACAATTTGCTACTGCCAGATGCTTCTCTCTTTTCTGGGGCCTTCTGTTTCCATTGGGCCAATCAAGGTAAGTTTTGCAAGGGATTGACCTGCTTACCCTTGCTGTAATGGTGCTATCGCACTAGCAAAACTAAAATACCAGCTAGTCATTTCTAGTAAATTACAGATTTTATTTTATTTTTTTTAAGTACTTTAGTGTGTCTGTTGACATAAGCTGGTCATAATCTGCACTATGGCCCTTTCACTTTAGTTACATTAGTGACCGTTTTCCTAGTAAGGTTACTAGCTACTTGGTACATATGCATTCAAATACTCTGAAGATCACCTTGTGGTTTTCTTTTATTTTTTTCCCAGGCCAGTATACGCCATGTGACTTTAAGTGTACCTAACTATTTAAATGTTTAGAAGTCTGTCTCTCCCTCTGGCTACTGTTAAGATAATGAATGTCTTAGGATTCTAGCTCTGAGGGTCCCAACAGAGTACCCATTGTTTCTTATTAAAATAAGATTATTCCTCTTTTTTTCTCTTAATATCTAACAAATATTGGGTCCAAATCTTGGTAAAACTAATTCTTATTTTAGTTTTGATAATAGACTGGGGGGGCATGGGTAATTTCAGTACTCAAGTAATCTGGAAATTTAACTTAGAGTTATAAACTACCTTAAAAATAAAAATTGATAATTAGCAAACCTGATCCTTTTTTTGCCATATTACTTTTGTTGACCCACTCTCAGAAGTATTAATGAGTAATAAGTGGTCAGAATATAATGAGAAGTAGAATTGCCTGTAAGTTCACTGCAGTGACACAATGTTGGTAGTATCCTGCCCATCCAATTTTTTTAAAATGAATTCACAGATTCTTTAGTCTTTGGTACTGACAGTTATGGAACCTTTATGTATATTGCCAAATTCACATTAAGATCTAAAATTGGTGGCGGTCTTCCAAATGATTTTGATTTTTCATATGTTCTAGAACATAACATGAAATTTTAAACCTTAATTGTAAACTAATATACAGATTGGACAGAATAACAATCTGTACAAGCCAAAGTTCATAATTTTTCAAATGCAGCAAGTTAATTTAAATTAAAAAAGTATATTGTTCATTTTATTTTATTTTTTATTCAAGAGATAATCCAGAATGCCCTTTTTAGAATTCAGCCAGAATCTTTAGTAACAAATATTTGAAAACTATCAATGGAGATCATAATTTCTTTGAAGTTCATCTGTTCTTTAGGTTAAAGCCTTTTTTCTTACTGTACAATAATTTAATATGGGAAAATTGTGCTTTTACTTTCATAGAATTATAGGATTTTACAATTGGAAGACCTTATAAGTGTCATAAACCTTAGAATAATATGTGAATTAAATAATGTTTTATCAGTGGTTTAAAAATCATATTAATAAAGTAATTTTTCTGCTGGATGACAGTACTCAAATTTTCAGAAGAAACTTGCATTAAGACATAATTATGTGTGAGGCCCTCTTCCTCTGTATCTATAGTCAGTAATGTTATGCCTTTAAAATGCTTTTACCTCTCATTCTGTTATTTCCATAAACAAAGGACATGAAAGTTCTTCTATCTTTATCATAGATAATTTGCCTTCATTTAAGCCTATAGGGGGTGTCCTAGTTGGCTGTTTATTTTTTTTAATACTTAATTTTTATTTTATTTATTTATTTATTTTTTAAATAAAGTGTAGAGTAAAAGATTTAAGGTCCCTTTCAGCTCTAACAGTCTATGATTCAATTCAAATTACTTCATAAGTGTAGTTGATATGTAAGAGATTATATGATAGGGAAATAAAAATAAAATTATTTTAGTATTGCTTCCTTAATTCTAATTACTTTGTACTTTTTTTTTTTGCTTTTGTTCAATAAATATAAATAAGTAATTACTTTTTACCACTGAGTTTTATTTTCCTTTATTGGCTTAAGGCAGGCTTTACAGATCTTATTGCTATTCCTTCTGCTATGTGAGCCTAAGTTGTTACAGTCCTGTCTTTGGATACTCTTAGTAACTTTTGATCTGGTTTTCCTACTTCAAGCTTGCCCCACAAAAAATTTTCTTAGATTTCATTGTGTCATCTCCTTGCCCAAGAAACCCCCAGTGCTTTTCTGTGCTTGTAGGATAATATTTAAATTCCACAATTTAACTTTCAAGAATAGTATAATTCAAAGTGCAATTCTGAGCTGCATGTTTTCATATTCCATAATCTGAATTTAGGCTGGTGTTTTCATGATACCTTGAGTGCTGTATTAGTTCAGAGGGAGCTCATGCTGTCGCCGCCTTCTTGCCCTCTTGCTCCCAGCTCATTACCACCATGAACTTTACTTACCTAAGTTCTGCCATTCCAAGTCTTACCTTCTTCAGGAGGTCCTCAGCAATCTTTGTCCAGGGTACACCTCACCTTCAAATTATTGTAATAAAATCCTATGTAATCAGCCTAAGAACTCTTACTGTTTCACTTATTTTGGCACTTCATTATTGACTTGCTTGGTTTTAAGGTTTGTTTGCTTTGTTTTCCCAACAAATTATAGATTGTAAGCTCTTAGAGGGCAGGGCCTATGTGTTGTACTTTTAAAGAAATCTATAGGCGCTGAGCACAGTTGTTGGCACATCTTGGATGCTCAGTAAAATACTTGTTGAATGAATGAAACAAACACACAGGTACTCTCCTGCAGTAGAAGCCAGTCAGTAATGCTACAAGTGACAGTTTTCAGTGGTTACTTATGTAACTTTACATTATTACCGTTTCTCTTGTTTTTGGTGTCTGCCTTTTTACTGTTGCTTTTTATTTGACAAAAATGAAAGATAAATAAGGTGAAAGTAATAAACAATTTTTAGTTTGTAAAGTGAATACTCATCTTCACTTTGTTTTATCTGTATGACTTCATTGATAACCATCTCTTTAAGAAGTTTTACCACAGATTTTTCCATACTCTAGGGGAAAATGATTGGGAATATAGGCCTTTCAGAGAAGTTTAAAGTATTGGTATCTTAGATTTATATGACTGATTTGATGAATTGATTTATTGCTATTCCTTTGGAATTACCCTTACTTTTGATTACTTACAGAATCCATGCTTTTACATTGAATATTAGCCACTAACAAGCTTTTTTAGGTTATATGCTCATAATTCTTGAATCTACAGTAGGTAACTTTTTCTGTGCATTTACATTACCCAGACAAGTACTTTCTTAAAAAAAAATTTGCCTTGAATCTAGGAATGTTTGTATAACTTTTGCGCTGTGTATATAGTTAATTCTGATAGGGTTTTTTTTTTTTAATATATTTTATTTTATGTTTGTGTTTTGTTTTTTAATTGATTTCAGAGAGGAAAGGCAAGGGAGATAAAAACATCAATGATGAGAGAGAATCATCTATCCACTGCCTCCTGCATGCCCTCTATGGGGATGGAGCCCACAACGGAGGCATGTGCCCTGACCTGGAATTGGAACTGTAATCTCCTGGTTTGATGCTCAAACACTGAGCAGTATCAGCTAGGTACTAGTTTTTTACTAGTAGTACTGAAAGATAAGTTTGTTTTCATTATATTTAGATAGAAGTTCATTTAAATATGAACTTTTCTATTTAAAGACTTTAGCTTTAGTGTTTCAAGACTGTTTTCACTTAGTAATTTTTAGTTTTATTTGACCATCTCCTCCTCCTTCACTTCCCTGGTCTCTGTTACCCTCTGTTATCTGTTTATTTTGCTTTGTTTAGCATGGAATTTGCATTTTTATGAGAAATGCTGAAATAGGGTCACTTACTCATTCTGTCTATTCTTTACTAGAAAAAGAAAACATCAAAATAAATTAGTATTAACACACATAAATGAAAGCAGTTTATAAAATGCAAAATAAGTATTCAGTAAGTAGTGAGATAAAAAAGAAAAGAGAACTAGTAAATGTCAGTAAATCAACTTTTTATTTTATTTTATGTGTTGATTTTTAGTTGGGTTTGTAAGAAATATGACCTGACCAGCCAGGGCTTTTTTTTTTTTTTTTTTTTTTTTTTAAGGTTTCAGGAAATAGTATTGAAGCACTTAAACTGTGTTAGAATTATATCACATGTTTGTAAACAACTTAGAGAGATTCATATACCCTATTAAATTTGATTCTCCTGACTCTGAAACATAGATTGACTAGATAGATGTCCAATTTTTAGGCAGTAATGGTAAGACTTAAGAGAATTAAGTGTAATATGCAGTGACATTTCAGAGCCATCTGTAAACTGATGTTAATATAAGATTGATTTATTATCTGTCATTACATGTGTTGATTTCTACTGAAGATGATGATTAACAATATTTACTAGATGTCTTTAAAGAACCAGTGTGCCTATCAGACAGATAGGGAATAGATAAGAAGCAACATAAGAGATGCTTTCATTGTGAGTTAAAAACTAGCATTTATTGAGCATTATTCTAAGTGCCTTCTAAGTGTATTTCCTATTCGATCCCCTACAACCATACTATCATATGAGTAGTTTTTTTTTTTCGTGACCCAGGTAGGTTAAGTAAGTTAGCCCAAGATTACACAGTTGGTAAATGGCCAAGCTGATATAGGAATGCTGAATGCTGGCAATCAGACTCCATAGTGGAAGGACAAAATAGCTTATAGGCTGCTTCCCTGTATAGCAGCATGAGGTTGTTATTAAGCTAACTAACCTCTTTAGAATTTGAAAGGGAAGAATATACAGTTTACCCTTGAGCAATACAGATTTGAACTGCCCAAGTCCACTTAGATGGGGATTTTTTTTTCAGCAGATACTGTAAATGTATTTTTCTTATGAATTTTAAAATAACATTTTTTCTAGCTTACTTTACTGTAAGAATACCATGTAAAATACAGATAACACATAATATTTATTAGTAGACCATGTTATTAGTAAGGTTCCGATCAATAGTAGCTTATTAGTAGTTACCCTGTTTTCCCGAAAATAAGACAGTGTCTTATATTAATTTTTGCTCCCAAAGATGCACTAGATCTTATTTTCAGAGGATGTCTTATTTTTCCATGTGCTAGGTTTTATTTTCGGGGAAACATGGTACTTTTGGGGGAGTCAAAAGTTACACTTGGCTTTTCAACTGCCCAAGACATCAGCACTCCTAACCCACTGGTTCAAGGGTCAACTGGACTTAGTCAATTCTAAACTCTCCGTGTTAAGAAAATCTAGCAAACTAAATGTTGAATATTGGCAACTGACTTATTAAATGGTAAAATTCTATTTAATGTGGTAACAGTTTGTGCAAATATTGTCTGGAGTTTTTTGTTTCTTTTTAATCATTGTGTCTTATATCAGAAAAGGACAAGTGTGTTAAATCTTACCTAATAAAAGAGTAATATGCAAATGAACCATACCTATGCTATACCAATAAGCCACACCCACCATTCAATCAGGAGAAAGTATGCAAATTAACCTAACCAAGAAGGTTGCAGCCACAGAGAGAGCAGGAAGCTTGGGTTTACTTGGCAATGGAGGAAGCCACACTGATGCAGCCTAGTTTCCCATTATCAGTGGTATTAAATAAAATGATTTAAAAAAATTAATGGTCACAAATTTATGGTGCTGCCAAGTTATTGGCCCAAGTCAGCACAAATCCTCTGAAAGATTCAACTTCAGTCAGATATGCATGTCCATGTTATGTGGGTTGTAGAATTAATGAAAAAACAAATCATAACATTTCTACAAAGTTGATTCTTCAGGCTTTGGAATCAGGCTTGCTTGTGATACTCAAGCCTCTGGAAGAGCTATTATATTGTTAAACTCTTGTAATAGCCTTTCATAAGAAACATCATATTTTGCATATTTATGTTTTTGTTTTTTGGTTTCATGTGAAGAACACAATTTTGGTTTAAAATTATATTAGTGACCTAATTTTGGAATAGTGAGTTTATTTAAGAATCTTAAAAATATCAGGCTGAACAAGCTTAACCAGTTGTTGCTCCTAAGAATTTATTGAGGTACTGAATAAGAATTTATCTTTTTATTTGAAATTAAATCTCATTCTATAGCCAATATCATGAGTTCTAGTCTTAAGGTAAATTTTTGGATGTTTTAAAATTGGAAGTGTGGGAAGAACAATTGAAAATTCTGTCACCTTTTTAAATTAGAGTGGAGAGGAGTAAGGGAGAGAAACATCTATGTGAGAGGAAAAACATCTATTGGTTGCCTCCCCTAGACACCCTGACCTAGGATGGAACCTGAAACCTAGGTTTGTGCTCTGACCTGAGAATTGCACCCACACAACCCTTTGGTGTACAGGATGATGCTCCAACCAATTGAACTACCCTGCCAGGGCAAACTGTTCTTTAATGATTCTCCTATGTTATCTGTTGAATCACTGGCCTTGTCTCTAAACTTTTGTGCTTTTTTTTAAATGGGATTTGATCACACTGTGTCTGGAGATTTTGTTTTTCTGTTAAGTTTTCAAACTTCAGTTTTTCAATTTAGCTTAGAATTCTAGTTATTGGGTGTGTTACTAGCTTTTTAAAAAAATATATTTTATTGATTTTTTACAGAGAGGAAGGGAAAGGGATAGAGAGCTAGAAACATCGATGAGAGAGAAACATAGACCAGCTGCCTACTGCACACCCCCTACTGGGGACGTACCCGCAACCAATGTACATGCCCTTGACCTGAATCAAACCTGGGACCTTTCAGTCCGCAGGCCAACGCTCTATCCACTGAGCCAAATCGGTTTCAGTTTGGCTAGCTTTTTTTTTTTGATTTTATAAACAGACCATTTTAACAGCCATCTCACCATAATCAGTTACTTAGTACTTATATAATTCAAACCTATTTTACTATTATATTAGCCTAATGAAAAATTAATGTGAGGGTATGTATGTCTGTAGGGGTTGGAGAAGAGAAGGAACAAGCATAGTTCTCATTTGATCTCTTTAATTTTTTCTCTTAATGTGCAAATTATTTTTATTATTTTGTCGGTGTGGGTTCGGGAGGCTTGTCAGTATTTCGATTTTCAAATTCTGTACTTTTTTTTAAAGGCTTATTTGAAAGTGTATTTTAAGTTTTAGTCACATGTTTTCTGTTCTTGTTTAGTAATGTTTAAACAGTTTATTTAACCTTGTGAGAAGCAAACAATTTTTCCTTTAACTTATTAATACCATTCTAGTTCATTTTAATTGTACTTTAGCTTTGCTTTGCTTGATGATATGACTTTCAAGTAATAAAATCCAGTATCTGGGTGGTCTCGTCTATTTTTAATAACTTTACATGCATATGTTTCTGTTGACTAATATTTTTATTTCTTTTTGGTTCTTATTTCTCAAATTGTTCATTTAATTTAAAATTTTTGAATAATTGGTTATTTAAGTATCTATAATTATAATTTTTATCACCTTCCATGTTTTCTTTAGACTTGTTCATAGTAAAATCAAAATTATAATATGGGATTATACTAATACATGAATATAGGTTGGAATTCTTTGGAAATTTGTTATTCATGATCTTTATTCATGCTTAGTTATTGGTACACTAGATTAAGGTTTCAAACTAATATTTTTTCTTCAGGTATTTTTTCTACAATGAGGTTGTAGATGATTTTGTATTTGAGAAGTTTGATTTTCATGTACTTTTAAAAATCACTGAATTTTATGAGACTGACATGCTACTTACTGCACAAATGAGGCACCTGAAAAATTACTGAATTTTAAACTCCTTTGATTTAAAAGGTCCAGATTGCTATTAAATTATTTAATTAAATATTAAAAAGGTGAGAAGTACTGAAAAAAAATTTATCTAGCTCCAAAAAAGGGAGAAAAGCATGAGTGTTGAGCTAAAATTTAAAGGAAATTAATATTCTTAAATTTAGATTACAAATAACATTTGAACTTTTAAGTTGTTAAAATAATTGACTATACATACTAATTATCACATAAGTATTAAAATAGGTAATTGATGAAGTACTTCATTCATTCAACAAGTGCTTACTAAGCATACAACCTATATAATATAGTGCTCACTGGGTTTTAATCTTAAGTTGTATGTAGATTCTTCAAGTCATATTAAGGGCTTTGGTCTTATGCAATAACCTTTTTTTTTTTTTTTTTAAACTTTTGTTATAGATGCCTGGAATGATGTCTTCAGTAATGCCTGGAATGATGATGTCTCATATGTCTCAGGCTTCCATGCAGCCTGCCTTACCGGTAATCTTGTGAAAATAACTATTTCCTATGATGTTTTGATTACTTTTATCAGATTCCTGCACATTGAAAGGAAATTAATTAGAATGTGGTCGATGGGGCTGGTTGGGCAGGACAAGGTGAGACTGGCCAGACATGCCTGGAGCCAACCTCCTGTGGTCCCTTCCACAGGTGAGGATCAGACTAAAACTGGCTCTCATACATCCCCCGAGGGGTCCCAGAGTGTGAGAGGGCACTCTGCAAAGTTGCTGTCATATAGATGTGTAACGCAAACACAAGTGTACAGTAAACCATATTTGGGGCCGACAATGCCCCAGCAACAACATAACCCATGGCTGAAGGTGGAAACACATGGCCCTGCAAGGAATTGGGCTCCCTTCTCTCTGGTTTTGGGGTGCGTCACCCAAGAACCGCCACTGCTAAGTCATGTCAGCTCAACAGCTCCCACGTTGAGTATCTGCCCCATGGTGGTCAGTGTGCAACATAGTGACTGGTTGGAAGGTTGGACAATTAGCATTTTAGCCTTTCATATATATGTATTTGATAGGCATTCATTGGCTTTTTAAGTGCCTCTGGAGTTATATTGGAATTATAGTGGACTTTTATTTTTTAGCTTCTTTAATAAGTGTTTCCATTTTCCCTTTATTTATAGTATATGAATCTATTTATTAAATTAATTATGCGCATTAGATAAAACTGAAATACTGAAAAGCATAATTTGTCAACTAGAAATATTTTGTTGGTCTGCTAGCATTTTAATAGATTCTAGATTTAAAAATCAGAAGATTACATTTGAAACACATATTTTTTGAGACTTCAAGTGTGGCACATTACTTATCAAAACTATGAACATGATAATATAGCAATATATAAATCATTATGATATTCAAATTTGCACAACTTTGTATTTTCTTTTTAAAAAAATATTTTTATTGCTTTTTTACAGAGAGGAAGAGAGAGGGATAGAGAGTTAGAAACATCGATGAAAAAGAATAATTGATCTGCTGCCTCTTCACCCCATACAGGGGATGTGCCCGCAACCAAGTTACATGCCCTTGACCGGAATCGAACTTGGGACCTTTCAGTCCACAGGCCGACGCTCTATCCACTGAGCCAAACCGGTTTCGGCTGCACAACCTCTTTATTACATGATAGCCTAGTGGTTGTAGAGAACATATGTGGCATACTCCATTGGAGTGCTGAGTTTGTAGTGTTTTATCCCAAACCTCTAGGATCAGATATATTTCAAATTTGATTTTTAATATAGAGTAATAAATAATATATACTGTATATTATTTTTTAAAATTCCTATTGAGTCTTGGGCAGTGCCCTATAATTTTTAGCACAGTATTTCTATAGCAAAACATAAGGAAATTTCCTCTGATATGTGGCAAATAAAGACTAATCTCATTCAGGTCAGGTTTTGCTACTATATTGAGTTTTGATGTCAAACAGGAATTGGTTTTCAGAACCTTTTGGATTTCAGAATTGTGAATGAAGAGTTGATCCTGTATATAATTGATGATCATATAAATGTAACACTTAGATTAAAGAGCTTCAGTAGCCCCAGGTTCTTGGTGTTTTTTATAATTATATATCAAGCTCAAGGAACTACCATTAAAATTTAACAAAACAAAGTTTTTAAAATATATTTTATTGATTTTTTTACAGAGAGAAAGAGAGAGGGATAAAAAGTTAGAAACATTGATGAGAAACACTGATCAGCTGCCTCCTCGACACCCCCTACTGGGGATGTGCCCGCAACCAAGGTACATGCCTTTGACTGGAATTGAACCTGAGACCCTTCAGTCGCAGGCCAACACTCTCTCCACTGAGCTATACCAATTTTGGCAACAAAAAAATCTTAGAATCAGGGGCTTCAGAATTATACATACAGGGAACTGATTGTTCTTTATGAGTGACTTATGTAAAATACAATTTAAAAAAGGTGAATATTAATTTTTTTCTTCTTCTTACAGCCAGGAGTAAATAATATGGATATAACAGCAGGTATGCGTGCCATTTATGTTGGTATACTATGTTACACTTTCTTTGAATAGTAGCTACCATATTCTAATGAGGAATGAAAGTAGTATCTCCTGGGATTTATAGTCATCTCCTGTTTTTTTTGTTGTTGTTTTTTTTGTTTGTTTTTTTAAGGCAGTGGGAAATAGGGATAACATTCATAATTGAGTCCATAAGAAACTACTTTTAGATCAAGAGTTCTGGAGCCAAATTTGGTCTACAGATATACTTTGGCCTACACAGTGTTATTAAACTTTATAATTAGTTTCTAACATTTAAAGTCTGTTGACTTTACATAAAGTTTGAATTTATCTTTTTGCCCAAAGATTTGATTTCGCTTGAAAAATTGGATGATCTGAATATTTATTGATTACAATCGTCTTAAAATATTTGAATGAAGAACTCTGGTGAGGTAATAATTGTATCAGCAAACATTGTAGAATGGGGTAGCACTTCCATGTGGAACGTGTATTCTTATCAGGACTATTTAGTTATTTTTTTTGTAACCTACTTGGTCCTTATAGTCATTACAATTTGCAAATCCTATTATAGTATTTTTTTTCTTTAGCCAGTTACCAATAAGTGTTTGTTTTGACTAGTGTGGCTTTAATATATAATAGTAACTTTTCATTTATCCATAAGTAAATAATGTTCCATATAAATTAGTAATTCACATGCTAAACTTTGTCCCGGGATTATGCCTAAACTTGTTTTAAACATGGGTCACAGCATGTTTAAATGCACAATGTGCTTTCCATTTTTAAAAACGTAATTGATGTTTTTAAGATCTTTCACAAATATGATTTAAGCTGAAATTATGTTCTGAAATAACACATGTAATATTTTAATGTATATAGATATCTGGGGCTGATTACTATTATGTTAAATAATCCTGGAAAATTACTTAACATTTATTTTTAATTACTTTTTAATACCGTTGATGTCATAGTGACCTCTCAGTTACTCTCAGTGGACCCTAGGTAGTTGAACTTGCCAGAAATCTAGTGCATAGGATTAAAGAGGTTTAAGGTATTTTTCAAGTTCTTCTGTAGTATAGCTGGTAAAGAGGATACCTATTAATAGCGAGAACAAGAGAAACAAAAGGCATATATATATGAATACTCTCAAACCAGCATTTAATTTGCAAATTGAAAGTTCAATGTGCCATTTAATTCTGAAAATATGATGTACTATAGATGTTTGTTTCTTGGAAATAGCAATTACATAATCATAGAGGTTTTATGTGACGGTTTTAGGATATTTAGTGTGATGGAGTGACTTGGGAGAAATAATTAATATTTTTAAACTGTTAACTCCAGAAGAACATAATTTATTACATTATAAATATATACTTTTTTTTCTTTTTTTTTTTTTTTTTTAGGTACAACAGGCACAGTAAGTACCTCTGGAAGATATTTCATTATACTTTAGCCTGTTATATTTATTCTTATTTCTGTATTAAATTTCTACTAACTTTAATCCTTTTTCTTTCTATGCCAAATGTTGAAAAATGGTTTGTGAATGTTGTATTTTGAAATCTGATTTTGATGGGACTTAATGGGAATCAAGTGTATTTTATAAGGATTAGATTCTGCCCATCACAATTAGAAGGGAAATGAAATTTGTAGATGCATAGTAATTAGCCTGATTACTTTTAGTTAAGCATTACATTAGATATGATTCTTATGTACAAATATATAATTGTTTTTTACTATAAAACGAATGTAATTTAAAATGCTTTTTTCTGCCCTAGCCAGTTTGTCTCAGTGAATAAATTGTTAGCCTGCGAACCAAAGGGTCCCAGGTTCAATTTCAGTCAAGGGCACATGCCCAGGTTCTGGGCATGATCCCTGGTGTGGGGCATGCAGGAGGCAGCAATCATTGATTCTCTCTCATGTTGATGTTTCTATCTCACTCTCTCCCTCTCTGAAATCAATAAAAAATAATAATACTTTTTTTTTGTACCTTAACATTGTCAGAAAGACAGATATATTCAGAATTGCTTGACTTTGTTTAGGAAAGGAATATATTGCTGTGCCATGTTTTGTTTTGTTTTTCTCAACACTTAATTTTAAGATAGTACCTTTTAGTTCTTTTTGCTAATGCTCCTGTGTAGGTAAACTGTTAGACATTTTGTGATATGTTTCAAAAATACTGTAAGCCTGAAACCATTTAAAAATGCCTTTTTATGCTTATTTTTAATTGCCCCATGCTTTAGCCTCACTGGCTTTTTTTTTTGCTTGTGTTTTTAAACATCAGTGAAAAAAAGTTTATATGTATAATTTCATTTATTCAAAACTACAGTACTGGAGATAGCTGTTTATCTCCAGATTTAGGTAATATAGAAAGCTATGAATTGATTGCATATATGTCAGTATTTTAAATTAGAGAAAACACTTTTAATTGTGAACTATATATAAATATTTTAAATTATTTTGTATCTTTTGTTTTAAAAGTTGAATGTTTATTACATATCTGTTTGGGTTTTTTTCAATGTTAGTGCCTATTTTTATTTTTATTTATTTATGAACATGTCAAAATTTTATTGTCATATAATAAAACAAAATATGAAACTTAGAACTTGATCACTTGACCCTTTATCTTATTTCCTCCTAGTTCAAAATGCTTGCATATCTCAGTAGCCAGCATTCTCTTAGATCTGCAGTTAGTCTCAACGCATTAAGCCTCAGTACAATCTTCTTTATAATTTTATCCTTTTTTTCAGAAAATTGACTTCATCCACCATTGCCACTCTGCTTCCTGTATTAACATTGCTTACTCTGTGCATACAAAGAATCCTTGCCCTTCTTATACTGTTACTTTGTGAGATTGATGCTTGCCACACTTCTTAAAGTTTGGCGGGTTTTAGGAATGTTCACCATGTTTGTGAGAGCGCTGTCAGCAAGGAAAAGCCCTGTTTTTATTTTTAAGTAATGATAGTTATTAATTTCAATTGTAGGAGGAGTGACATTTTAATATTTTTCTATTAAACTTTTCCAAAAATATCATTTATTGATTTGATAGCTTACTGTTACTTTCTTTTTAGATTCAGGTACACAAATATGAGTTACTTGTATGCTTCAGATTATGGTCATTACCTTTACGTTCTTCATCTTTTATTTTGTTTTAATTAACATATTAGTATTAGGTATACAACAAATGATTCAATACTTGTATACATTGTGAAATGATCACAATAAGTTATGTATTTAACGTTCTTCACTACAAATTATAAAAATTTTTCTTGTGATGAGTACTGTTATGATTTACTCTCAACAATTTTTAGATATGAAATACAGTATTATTAACTATAGTGATTATGCAGTTCATTATAGTCCCATGACATTTATTATATAGTTGAAAGTTTTTATTTTTTGACTTTCTCTACCCATTTCACCCATCTCCCAATACTCCCCTCTGACAACTACCACCAATCTGTTCTCTGTATCTTTTTTTGTTGTTTTTTTTTTGTTTTAAATTTTTACATATAAATGAGATTATAGGGTATTTGTCTTTCCCTGTCTGATTATTTCACTTAGCATAATACCCTCAAGGTCTATCCATGTTGTCCCAAATGCTAAGGTTTCATTCTTGTGTAAGACTGAATACTATTCATATATATACATACACACACACACACACACACACAGCCCACATCTTTATCCATTCATTCATTGATGGGCACTTAACATTATTTCCATATTTTAGCTTTATATAATAACAATAAAAGTATAATATGCTAATTAGACCTGACGACCTTCTGGATGAAGCTGGGGGAAGGAAGGCCTATTCTTCCACGAACTCTGTGCATCAGGCCTCTGGTTGTAAATAATTCTGCAGTGAAAATGGGGGTACATATATCTTTCCAAGATAGTTTTTGTTTTCTTCAGTTAAATACCCAGAAGTGGAATTGCTGGTTCGAATGATAGTTCTATTTTGAAATTTGGAAGAACTTTCATATAGTTTTCCATAATGGCTATACCAAAAATGCACAGGGAGTTTTTTTTCTCCACATCCTCTTTACCACTTTTATTGTCTTTTTGGTAATAATTAATTCTAACAGATGTGAGGTGATAGATATCTTGTAGTTTTGATTTGTACTCCACTGATAATTAGTGGCATTGAGCATCTTTTCATGTGCCTGTTGGCTGTCTATATTTCTTCTTTGCAAAAGTGCCTATTCAGTTTCTTTGCCTCTTTTTTAATTAGATTGTTTGTGGAGGTTTGCTGATGAACTGTTTGAATTTTTTATATATTTTTTATATTTACTCATCAGATATACTAGAGGCTCAATGCACTCAGGGGGAGAGGTCCTTCAGTCCTCTCTGGCAGTCCAGGAGCCCTCAGGGGATTTCCAACTGCCTCCTTACGCCTGCCCCCACTAAGCTAGTAGTCATCCTGAACTGTGCTTGCCAGCCATGTACCTGGCTTTTGGTGTACTGACCACCAGGGGGCAGCTCCTGTGTTGAGCATTTGCCCCCTGGTGGTCAGTACAAATCATAGCAACCAGTAATTCCACCGTTGGGTCGCTTTGCATATTAACCTTTTATTATATAGGATGATTTACAAATATTTCTTTACATTTAGTAGGTTTGCCTTTTCACCCGTTGATGGCTTCATTTGCTGTACACAAACAAGTTTTTCTCAATTCAAATCTTTAATTCATTTTGAGTTAAAATTTTTTAAAATATATTTTATTGATCTTTTTACAGAGAAGAAGAGAAAGGGATAGTTAGAAACATCGATGAGAGAATCATTGATCAGCTGCCTCCTGCACACTCCCTTACTGGGTATGTGCCCACAACCAAGGTACATGCCCTTGACCGGAATCAAACCCAGGACCCTTGAGTTCACAGGCTGACACTCTATCCACTGAGCCAAATCAGTCAGGGCCATTTTGAGTTAAATTTTGTATGTGGTATAAGACAGTAGTCTAGCTTCATTATTTTGAATTTGGCTGTTAATAGGATATATAATAAAAGCCTAATATGCTAATTGACTGAATGGCAGAATGACAGGTGGAACGACCAGTCACTATGATGCATACTGACCACCAGGGGGCAGATGCTTAATGCAGGAACTACCCCCAATCCAGGCCAGCCAAGGCAGGTGTCAGCGGGAACCCCTGGATTATCCTTCAGGTTGCCCTGCAGAGGGAGGCAGTGGCTGTGGGGGTGTGGGGCCAGTTGGCGAGTGGGCAAGTAAGTATCAGTGGTTTTTATGTATTCACAAAAGTGATGTGTGATAAAGTCAGTGTCTAAGTAAAAATAAATTCAATAAGATTTAACATAAAAGCTGATTGGTACAAAGTGATAGTTTGACAGTTTTCCTTTCTTAGAGTAATGTTTTTTTTTTTTTCTTTTTAAATATATTTTATTGATTTTTCACAGAGAGGAAGAGAGAGGGATAGAGAGTTAGAAACATCGATGAGAGAGAATCATCGATCAGCTGCCTCTTGCACACCCCCTACTGGGGATGTGCCTGCAACCAAGGTACATGCCCTCAACCAGAATCGAACCCGGGACCTTTCAGTCCGCAGGCCGATGCTCTATCCACTGAGCCAAACCGGTCCCGGCTACAGTAATGTTTTGTCTTAGATTTGAAGAAATGTGGAAAGGTCATCTCTATAACCCTCTTTGTTACCATCTGAACAGTTTGCTATAACTGGACTTAGTATCTTTGATCTCATTTAGTAATTCACTCATGATTCCTTCTAAAGCTATTTTAAGACACTTTATTAAAGTATGATTGACATAGGAAAAGCTGTACATATTTATAGTGTACAACTGGATTGTGTATACCTATGTAACTATCACCACCATCAGATAAGACCTCTCAAAGTTTCCTTCCTTAATCTTTAACAACATTTTGTGTGCGTGTGTATATATAACCCTTGTAAAACTCTTGACAAACCTTTATTTGAGGCATTAGATTTTACTAGGAACTTTAGTAGGTTCTTTGTAGTTATTATTTTGTTTTTGGACAACAAGAGTAAATTTATATTCTATATCCCAGTAGTTTCATATGAAACTTTGTCTCACCTATCTTGTGTTGAGCCATTTGGATTCACATTTTCTATCTGTTAAAATTTCAGCTTGTTGTTAAGTTCTTATTGTCATCCAAAAGTCATGCTTTCTGATTTTGACAGCTTCATCTTTATAGAATGTCAGTGTAGATTTTGTAAAACTTTGTCCAACTTGATGTAAATATTCTTTGGATTTGGGTTGTTGAGTTCATGAGCAATTTACATCATGCTACATTAGCGTGAACTCTTATCCATAGGCATTGATTTACATTGCTAAAAGATTATCTTATTTAAGTTGCAAAGTTACTGTTCTTATGAGAATGCTCATAGCGTTACAATTCTGAGACATTAAAAAAAAAAAAAAATACTAAAACCTGAATTTACTCATGCTGCTTTTGAAGCATTTTTAAAATCTGATTTTCAGTTATCACCTTATTTTTGCATCACTGAATTATTCTATATGCCTAAAACTGTCAAAAATGTACCCATTTAATACTTTTAATTCCATCATATATTGTGATTTTTTAAATGTATTTTATTGATTTTTTACAGAGAGGAAGAGAGAAGGATAGAGAGTTAGAAACATCGATGAAAGAGAATCATTGATCAGCTGCCTCCTGCACACCCCCTAGTGGGGATGTGCCTGCAACCACATGCCCTTGACCAGAATCAAACCCGGGACCCTTCATTCCTCAGGCCGATGCTCTACCCATTGAGCCAAACCAGTTTCAGCAAATTCCATTATATATTGTTTTGAAACCAATAATACTGATGTTCATTGTCAGTGAAATTGTTAAATAATTTAACATTGTAATTTTTTTTCTTTAGAAATCAATGTGGACTGAACATAAATCACCTGATGGAAGAACTTACTACTACAATACTGAAACAAAACAGTCTACTTGGGAGAAACCAGATGATCTTAAAACACCTGCTGAGGTAAAAATTTAAAGGCTGGAAATTGGGGGTTATTAAGTACATTTGGGTTTTTGATTTTTAGGATTTTGTGGGTAATTGACTATCAAATAGTACTTCTCTCTCAGAAAGGCATTCAGAGGATAAAAGGCTTATTAATAAAAACACCAATCAGCAAAAAGACAAAGTGAATTCTCTTCTTTCAACAGACCCATCTCATTATTTTGTCACTGCTCAGGAACTTTTTTTAGGTGACATAATTTAAGAAAGAATTTAAAGAATAAATTGGAAGGAATAAAGACTATCTCCCTGACTGCCCTTTAACTTTTAAATTAACATTTCAAATTGTTTTCTTCTATAGTAAACTTGGATAATTTCATGTGTATTCTAAGTTTTCTTTAAAAAAAAAATGGGGCTGAGTTTATCGAGATGAAATTAAAATGCAAATAATTATCTTAAAGCGAGAAATTCTCTCTTTGGAAAATGCCCCTTCCCCCCCACCCAAAAAAAAAAATGTATTTTTCATTTTATGTTGCAAGTTTGCCATTCAGAATATAAGAAAAGGAAGTAAGATGGAAGGAATAAATTGAGTAAGAAGTATTATTTGTGGAAAACGCCAAAATCCTAAGTAAAAAAGATTTGGTATTTCAAGCTATACTTAATGATTTTCCTGGTTGACACCTTTATCTTCCCCTCCTGCCCTGTCCTCCATTCCATCCCATCCCACTCCCACCCCCGGTCACCCTTAAGGAATTTGAGGAGATAAAATTATTTTCCAGCCACCACACTAATATGTACCACAGTGCTTGTCAGGAGAGGTTATAATTCTTTATCTAATACTGACATAGTGATAGTTATCATTATATATTTGCCAAGATGCTCTGTCTGAATTTGAGGTTTTCAATAGCATTCTTAGACCACCCTACTGGTTTATATATTACATTTTAAGTATATCTTATATATTGTTTCCTTTTAGTTAACTTAGATTTGTAATTATTTATTATGAAGCTGAAATCTTAAGCATTACTAAATCAAATTTTGCTTGTTTCCAGTTTTTATGTTTTTACTACTGTGTTAGTTTTGAGAAGTCTGAAATGTAGTTGGTAACTTTTACCTTTGATTGGCTATGAATAAAGAGGAAAAAAGTTTAAAAAACAAACAATAAAATAGCAATAAATATGTATCAACAATTGAATTTAAAAATCAAAATAAACAAATCGAATGAACAAAATAAACTGTTGAATAAAATAGAATCAGAGGCATGGAAAAATGGAACAGACTGATGAATCTCAGTGGGTAGGGTGTTGGGAGGTGGAAAGAGATGAACCAAGATCTTACCTATGAACATAGACAGTGGAATGGTGAAGGCCTGGGGCAGGGTAGGATCCCAGTGGAGGGAGGCAATAGGATAATTTGTACACCGGGCCTCTAGTAATAGTATAACTGAAATGATTAAATAATATATTCTGATCTTAACATTACTCTAAGTATCTTGTAATTGGTATTTTATATACCATTACTTCACAAGCTTTCAAATTATATACCTTGAAATATCTAATTTCAAACATTGATGTGAATGATGAGGGATGTGAATGATGAGTGATACTAAAAACATTACTGTTAACTGTTGGTTTATTTCCCTCCAGCAACTTTTATCTAAATGCCCCTGGAAGGAGTACAAGTCTGACTCTGGGAAGCCATACTATTATAATTCTCAAACAAAAGAATCCCGTTGGGCCAAACCCAAAGAACTTGAGGATCTTGAAGGTAAAACAGAAAAAAATAATTCATAATGTTTGTTTATATATATATATATGTGTGTGTGTGTCATATATGTCATTCACACTGAAACAATCCCCCATAAATAGGATTGTTTGTTCAAAGGTTTTTTTTAAATTAAATGATTAGAATGTTTTAAATGGTAAAACAGTTTTATGGGCTCTTATTTTCTTGTTGCTCTAGATCTCAGTTCTATAGATTTTAAATAGATTTTTATTTGATTTGATTCCACTGAAACTAGGATACCAGAATACCATTGTTGCTGGAAGTCTTATTACAAAATCAAACCTGCATGGTGAGCTGCTTTGATAATTCATTTTCTGTCATTATTTAACATTTTTATACTGTGTCACTAATATTCACTAACCATGATTGGATAAATCTGCAGTGAGAAATCTCTAATTCAAAGAAGTTCTTTCATTTAAGGGTTATATTATAAATGAGCTTATAGTTTTTGAATTTGCACTTTGGTGCTTGTTTTTTTAGTTATATACCATTGGAAAATTGGGCAAGGACAATTATGTACAATATTTCTAAATACAGCTCTGGGTGGTGGTACATACATGGAATATGGATCTTAATCATTTAGCAGATAGTAGAGAACATTGATTCTTTATCTGTTTAAATTTATTAAATATATTGTTGTGAGACTATATATTTAATGCAGATTTTATATAATCAGCATTGCAAAATAGGCCTTATGCTTGTTCTGGGAGAATTAAGGTAAGCAAAGAATTATGCCTAACTTACAAAGGGAGGATTTTTTTTTTTTTAACATTCTCAATTGTTCATAATACTGTTTAAAATCCAGAAATATATACCTAATATAAAAATCAGGACTTAAAATAGCAGATTTTGAATAAGAATTGAGAATTTAGTTGTTTTACTTTCACTTAAGATATAATCTGGTGTCAAACTATAGTAGGTTAAAAGTAACAGTAGGAGAATGGGACTAACAAAGTACTAGTTTGCAGTGTAACATGATTTGAAAGAGATGAAAAGGGTTTCTTACAGGCACTGTGGTCTGAAGTCTTATTTACTTCATTTGCTCTGTGTCACCCCGTTAGCTTAGAACAGTGGTCGGCAAACCAAGGCTCGCGAGCCACATGTAGCTCTGGCACCGTGAGTGTGGCTCTTATACAAAATAACATGTGCGGGCATGCACTTACAGTGTGATTGAAACTTTGTGGCCCATGCGCAGAAGTCGGTTTTCAGCCAGGGCGTGTTTATTTTGAAGAAGTGTCATTAGAACACTCAAGGAGCCAAAGAGCTGCATGTGGCTCGCAAGCCAAGGTTTACTGACCACTAGTTTAGAATATCATCCTATCTAATAAAGAGGGATATGCTAATTGAACTCACGCCATGCATATTTGAGACTGAGGCAAAAGAAAATCAAGTAGGCAAAAAATAAAGATAACACTCAAGTAGACAGACAACCCTCACGCCAGTCAATAAGGAGGGAATATGCTCATTGGCTGCCACGCCCTCAAATGACAGCACCCAGTCTCCTCAAGCCCTGCCAGGGTGGCAGGTGCTACAAGGCCGAGTCCATCCCCAAGCAAGCCTGGCTACTCCGCATGCCTGCCTCTGGAGTCCCCCAGTCTCCTCAGCTCCCCAGCTACCCAGGGCCAGACAGAAGCACAGGCAAGCCTCAGATGGCGACTGCCCAGTCACCCAGGGCTGCCTGAGGCTCAGGTAACCAAGGCTGGCCGATGGCCGAGGCTTGGGCTTTTGGCAGTAGCAACAGCAGAGGTGTGATGGGGCATTGCCTTCCCCTGATCATCCGGTCGCCTCCCGCCCCCGAGGGCCCCTGGACTGTGAGAGAAGGCTGGCCTGACTGAGGAATCCCCCCCTCCAGTACATGAATTTTCATGCACCAAGCCTCTAGTTTGTATATGAAAATTATGATAATTTATGTTATTAGCAGTAACCCCTTTAGTATATTTTGTCAGCCATCCTAAACAGATTTTCAGAAATGATAGTTTTTAAAATACAGGGCATCCTAAAAAAAATAATGTATACACAGTTGAACATTTGATTCTATTTTATTTTAAAGATGAAATGTATTTTAGTAAACACTACCTTTATATATTATTCATTTTCTTGGGACACCCTCTATTTTCGGAGTTAGAGCACCTCATTCCATAAAGATGCTAAGATATTTTGATTACCACTACAAAAAATGTTACTACCTTAACCAGAATGAAAGCTGGATCATTGAGTTGCTAATCTTGACAGTTCAATTTAAATTTCTGTATTAGCATTGGTTAATAATACTGTAGGTAGGCTCAAAGTTAATTGACATAGAAATATGAAGCTCATTTCTGATATAACCCTACTACATATAGTTGGTGTGTATAACTATCTATCTACCTGTCAATGCTAGTATATATGTGCTGGAATTCATAACATGTTTTTTATCTTGTTTTGAATTTGATATCGTTAAGAAATAACAAATAGTGTGACCCTTGGGGAAAGTAGTTTTATTTCAGGTAGTTTTTGCAGTAGCTAGCAATCTTGGGGAAAGCAGCAGTGTTGGGAAAAGTTTTCTTAAAAACTGCTCTTTAAATTTGTCTTCATTCTTTAATTGTTGCCCTGTGACTTTGGAACAAGCATTTGCTCAGTAAAAGTGGTGATTTTATATATATACATATAATAATAAGTTAAATCCTACTATATGAAACTTTATCTCCTTTAAAGTTTTTTTTCAGTGATTGTATTTAAAAACTAGTATGTAACTTCTTTTTTCTCTTCAATAGCAATGATCAAAGCTGAAGAAAGCAGGTAAGCAAATTTCATATATCAGTATGTATGTTGAAATGTGATATCTCCTTCAATTTTATTTTAACTGTATAAATAATATTAACATGTTAGGCCTTATGGTTTTGTGTCTGTGGAGAATTTGAGGGTTCGAGAAGGGTATTTACTCAGGGTACACTAGTGATCTTTAGTAGATAGTGATTGAATTTAGATTGCATCATTTATCATTAAGATTGTGTTATAGAACTCTCCAGAATTTTGTTTATATTAATTTGGGAATGGATAAAGTACTATATAGATATAGGTATCTTCCTTTATTCAGGTTTTTCTTTTAATGAGTAGAATATAAAGTTTGTATGGAAATTTGTGATATAAAAATTTGATGGTATGATACAATCTGATAGGGCATTTTGTAAATGAAAACAGTTATTATTAGGCTTTTGGAAATGACAGAGTTGCCTGAGTGCCTATCATACATTTTCGTGAATGTTTGCTAAATTAAATCAAAGTAATCAGTTTCAGCTGTGGTTTTAATTAATTATTTTGAATAGCTTCACAGTTTGGCAGCACTGCCTTTTTTCCCTTTTAAGAGTTTCTCTTACTCAATTGATTGTATGATAATTAAGCACTAGCTTTATTTGGCTTTGTGATTACTAATATTGAAATAACCAGTTTTCTCTCTTTATAAATATATAGTAAGCAAGAAGAATGCACCACAGCATCAACAGCCCCAGTTCCTACAACAGAAATTCCTTCCACAATGAGCACCATGGCTGCTGCAGAAGCGGCAGCTGCTGTTGTTGCAGCTGCTGCAGCTGCTGCTGCAGCTGCCGCTGCAGCCAACGCCAATACCTCCACCTCTGCTAATACTGTCAGTGGAACTGTTCCTGTTGTACCTGAGCCTGAAGTTACTTCAATTGTTGCTACTGTTGTAGATAATGAAAACACAGTAACAATTTCAACTGAAGAACAAGCACAACTCACTACTACCCCTGCTGTTCAGGATCAGAATGTTGACAGTAACGCTGGAGAAGAAACATCTAAGGAAACTGTAACTGAGTAAGTTTAGTAACTTGTCTTCTGCAAATCAGTACCAGACACATTGCCATTTTAGTCAATGACCATTAATTTTTGGAGAATCAAAATATAAGTCTTCAGATAATAGATTACTTTTGAGGCTGAATTTTTTTGAGTCAAGCTTATGCATTCAAACTCTTATAAAACTAATCCATAGACATTTTAAGAAGCAGAACTTCTTAGTGTGAGACATATTTAAAAGTGTGCCCAGAACGATAGTAATTAAGCTATATTGTGGTGCAATATTTTAAAACAATCAGCAAAAGTTCATGATTAATAAAATAGGAAAATTTTAAATAAACATCAATATTACTGATTTTCTTTTGCCTCAGTCTCAAATATGATTTAGCATGGCATTGCATTGAAGTTTGCTATAGTTTGATATTGAACAAACAAAAATCAAGTATGCAAAAAATAAAGATAACACTTAAGCAGGCAGGAAAAAAAAAAAGCTAACATAAGCAAGATGTAGGAAAACTATTATTAAGATTAAATTAGTACAACTTTTTTTAAGACAGCAAAAGTTTGCAAGTATTTGCATACCTATGATCTAATAATATTTCGTAGTAAAAGCCCGATGCACGAATATTCATGCTAGAATGGGCTTTCCTTTCCCTGATTGCTGGCACTGCCTTTCCACTCCGGCGCAGCCCCTTTGTGCTCAGGCCCCTGAGCCTCTTCTTTCCACTCCAGCCCCTCCTTCCCACGCTGCCAGAGGTTCTGAGAGACTGGGGGTTGCCCACCCTCATAGCTTGCTGCCCTGCCTCCTCCTGCAGCTCTCTGCCACCTGCTTGTAGTTCACTGATCTGGTCTTCACAGCATAATAACCATTTGCATATTATATCTTTATTATATAGGATACATAAGTTTTAAGTGTTCTACTCATAGACATTTAAGTTTGGAATAACAATCTTTTATATACCAAAAATTTGTTTTTCAGAATTCTAACAATTATTTCCTGCTTTTTTTCTTTCAAGTATTTAGTGTGTGAATATATTTGTATTTTTTGTTAGTATGTACTCCATTATCTTTCCCTAAGCATTCTATTTGAAGCTTTTTTCCCCCTAAATTATATTTTTTTATATAAGAAGAAATGTTAGCGTTATATAACCTTTCATTTCATAAAGACTCCCCAAAAAGTAAACTAAGAGAAAATACTTTGGGTTTTGTAGTTATAATGTCTGTCACAGTGACTCAGTTCTGCTGTGGTAGCACACAATCAGCCATAAACAGTATGTAAATTCATAAGCATGGTTATGTTCTAGTAAAGCTATATTTTAGAAACAGGCAGCAGACGCGATTTGACAACTCTGATTTAGATTAATCTCCTTTTATATTTTGTCCTGCTTGCCCCAATTCTTAGTCATTATGGCACTATCATAAAATGAAGGCATTGAATAAATTTTGTAAGTCATTTTAAAGTTGTTAACTAGTGGAACCAGCCGAAACCGGTTTGGCTCAGTGGAAGAGCGTCGGTCTGGAGACTAAGAGGTCCCGGGTTCGATTCCGGTCAAGGGCATGTACCTTGGTTGCGGGCACATCCCCGGTAAAGGGTGTGCAAGAGGCAGCTGATCGATGTTTCTCTCTCATCGATGTTTCTAGCTCTCTCTCCCTTCCTCTCTGTAAAAAATCAATAAAATATATTAAAAAAAAAAAAAAAAAAAGTTGGCAAATGCTTTTAAAAAAAAAAAAAACTAGTGGAACCAATATTTTAGTGCAATTACATTTTTATTTTGGCCTTTTTGCAGGGTCTTAACTGAGTGTTTTATACAAAATTATATATTACCTTTATTTCTTTATGTTTAAGTAAATATGTAGATTTCACATTGGCGACATTATTCTATAATTGTCAAATTTTAGCTCAACGTTGAAGTGCTAGATTTTTCTAAATGAAGCAAATGTTTATTTAAGCTATAAATAATATGTTTAAATTTCTCTCTAGTTTTACTCCCAAGAAAGAAGAGGATGAAAGCCAACCAGCAAAAAAAACATATACTTGGAATACAAAGGAGGAGGCAAAGCAAGCATTTAAAGAGTTATTGAAGGAAAAGGTATTTGCATTACAGATTTTTATGTGACATAATTGTCTAATAAATGACGTTACTTTTCATTATAATCCATATCATGATGACTTTATTGAAGATGCTGAAAATGAACTAAATTTGTCCCTTTTTTGAAGAATATTTTTTGGGAATCTGACTTAACCAAAAAAAGCCCACAAAATCTATTGTGTGCAAAGTTACACCAGTACCTTTCCACCTCAATATTTTTTGGAAAGTTTTTTTTTTTTTTAATTATTCTTACAACATGTTTATCTTTAATCAGTAGTTTTAAGAAAAAGTATTCATGATCTGTTTAAATTTCAGTTTAAGTTTTCTTTTTAGTGTATAGATATAACAGTACCCAGATTTTCCTTGCTTCAGTGAGAAATTTTTTTAGAACTTAAAAAAAAAAAAACTTCTGCAAAGGAAGTGCTTGATGTTTTCAGTGAGTATTATATTTTGTTCTTTGTCGTATAACTTTTATTATATTTGTGTAAAATTCTAATTTTCTATTAAATGGTTTTCAGCGGGTACCATCTAATGCTTCATGGGAGCAGGCTATGAAAATGATTATTAATGATCCACGATACAGGTAATACTTTGATTTTTTTCTTTTTTAATTTACTTTGCACTTGGAGCATAGCAAGCCTATAAAAAATCAAAATTGTCTAAAGCAATGTAACTTTCAACTCCCGTTATCTTCTGTTATTTTGGATTGTAAGAATAGAGTTGTTCTGTGTGTGATATGAACCAAAAAGCAAAAAAAGCTGGCTTATTATTCAATTTGAGTACTGTGCTAAAGATGAAATTAGAATTACTTTGAAAGTTGAAATTATTTTCTATAATCATTTATCTTTAATATCTTCCTGCAATGTACCTAATTTGTGAATTAAATCAATTGTATTGTTTTTCAAAGCATTAACATTCTATCATTCTGCCTTCATTTACTCCTATGTGACATTTTCTGTTATTTAGCGCTTTAGCAAAGTTGAGTGAAAAAAAACAGGCCTTTAATGCCTATAAAGTTCAGACAGAGAAAGAAGAAAAAGAAGAAGCAAGGTCGAAATACAAAGAGGCTAAAGAATCCTTTCAGCGTTTTCTTGAAAATCATGAGAAAATGACCTCCACAACCAGATACAAGTAAGAGTTTTTAGTGATGCGTAGTATGTATTTACTGCACTGTGTGTATCCAACTTTTTGCCAAGTGCATTAACTGTTCAAAAGTAGATAGATGTTCATTAAATAAAATGAGATGATTTGTAAGCATGGCGCTTTTTGTTTATGACTATTTTATTAGATACACACCAAATCAGTAGTTAAATGTAGACTTTATAGACTCATTAAGTTATTAGGAAACTAAAACAAAAGGATTGAAAGACTTGATTTAATATTCAAAGCTTGACGACTACTAAATATAAGAATTGAAATTTTTTTGTATTTGTTGAAGGGAACAGGCTATTTTCATTAAGTATAGCATTTTGAAAACTTGCATTTATATAGCATTTTTGATTTTAGAATGCTTTATTTTTTTAAAATGAGGTAATTAAATATTAATATATAGTAAGCTATTATGTTTATTTTCCCTATGTGCCTCCTTATTTTCCTGTCTTCTATATAATGACTCTTTGTTTCTTTAATTAGTACTATTTTATGGGTTAGCTAAATTTCTGACAACTTTTAATTTTTATCCTCACCCATACTCCCTCTGAGTAGGGATCAAGCCCCGAGCAACTTTTTGGTGTACTGGACCCACCCTCTCACAAACTGAACCACTGGCCAGGGCATCTGATAACTTTTTTAAGTCGATCATTTAGTCCCATGGGCAATTTTATAGTCTCTAGCTACCCTAAGTAAAAGAGATAGTTTTGACTACAAAACATTGCTTATTTAGAATTATCTCCTTTGTCTCTAAGGAGTCCTAAGCTCTTTTATTCTTAATTATTCAAAAATTTTCCTTTATAATACAATCATGAATTTATAGTTGTAAAGAGTGTTCATATGGTGGTTTTAAGTTTAGTATAAAATCAAAATGGTCTGAGATTAATTTTTATTGTATGATATAGAGTAACATTTAATTATTTTGAACAGAAAAGCAGAACAAATGTTTGGCGAGATGGAAGTCTGGAATGCAATATCGGAGCGTGATCGTCTTGAAATCTATGAAGATGTTTTATTTTTTCTTTCAAAAAAAGAAAAGGTATAATTCACTCTTATTGGTATTTATAGATAAAGCAAGATGTTTCTTCATTCTGATTAGTAGTAACTTTATATAATGTTCATTTTGGTTGTTATTTATCCAGTTTATGTGTAGCATCATACCCATTTATTAGGAATTAGGTTTGAAATGGATAGCTTCTGTAAGTACTGATGGGAACATAGAAAATACAGATTTATCTATTGTTTGAATTGTCATTAACTAGCTGTTTTATACCTACTTTGAGAGAGAAGATACTTTTCCTTTCTAGCTCATTGGGTTTAAAAAATACTCTGTTTCTGCTTATGGTGCTTATACTTAAGATTCTTTTATAAGAAGGGCAGTTATATTCTTCTATAAGAAGGGCAGTTATATGTAATGGTTTCCATTAAAATGTACTTAGGATAGTGTTTTAAAAAATACCTCTTTTTTGCTTATGACTATTTTATGCACTAAATTGTATATTATGCAGTCTTCAAGAGACTTCCAGATGTGTATTGTAAATAAAAATTTGGTCATAACCTTAGCATTTATTCATTGTATGATTTGTCTGCAATAACTAGCTTTGTAGAACATAGTTGTAATAGGAACAGACATTACTGGAGGGAGGAGAGAGTGATATTATCCAGATTTTGGCTTTAGAAGAGAAGTGAAAGAGAAGTGAAAAAATTGAAGATCGGTACCAAGCCAAGCAGCTAGGGTAGAACATTGGAAAGGTAAATTATGTTGACATTCAAAATAAATGAGTATTGAAATTTGGTCATCAGTTAGAATGTAAAGAAACTTTTATTAATTGCAGTTCAAATATCATTCTTCCTTTGAACTTCAAAAATTTATTCATACTTTTTATTTAGGAGCAAGCAAAGCAGTTGCGAAAGAGAAATTGGGAAGCCTTAAAAAACATACTTGACAACATGGCTAATGTAACATATTCTACTACTTGGTCTGAAGCCCAGCAGTATCTGATGGATAATCCGACTTTTGCAGAAGATGAGGAATTACAGAGTAAGCATAATAACTAAATGGGGTAAAGTTCTTAAAAGGTTGTTGAGCAGCAAAGAATTCTTACTTTTTTAATGAGACCATTAATTGAATTCTACACAATTGTTAATTCATTTGTGAAAAGATGTTTTGTTTCCAAATCGGATATTTTTGTGATTTAGGACAAAAATATCAAATTAGCTTTATTAGATAATCCTTAAAATGTAGTTATCATTCATCAAACCTGAAATTGTCATTGTGAGAATTTTAAATTGTAAGAACCAAATGGATTACCACATTTTATTCATGCTATTGTTTTTAAAAAAATATTTTTATTGATTTCAGAGGAGTAGAGAGTGGGAGAGATAGAAACATCAGTGATGAGCCAAAACCAGTTTAGCTCAATGGATAGAGCGTCGGCTTGGCGACTGAAAGGTCCCAGGTTCGATTCCGGTTAAGGGCTTGTACCTTGGTGCGGGCACATCCCCAGTAGGGGTGTGCAAGAGGCAGCTGATCGATGACTCTCTCTCATCGATGTTTCTAACTATCTCTCTCCCTTCCTCTCTGTACAAAATCAATAAAATATATTAAAAAAAGAAAGAAAAAAAAGAAAAGAAACATCAGTGATGAGAGAGAATCGGAATCATTGATGAGCTGCCTCTTGCACGCCCACCCTACTGAGGATCCAGCCCAACCCAAGCATGTGCCCTTGACCGGATTTGACCTGGGACCCTTTAGTCCACAGGCCAATGCTCTTTATCCACTGAGCCAAACCATCAAGGGCTCATGCTATATTCTTAAATTTATAGTTTTAAGTTTCCAAAATGCCAAAAAAGTTAGCATTATCTTACATTAAGCTTTCCCAAGTTCTGTCTTTACCATCTAGTTGTTTATTAAAGTTTTTTTTTTATTATCCTCTGACTACCATGCTTTGGAAGATTTGGGGTAGCGCCTAGAACTCTGTACTTTGAAAAGTTCCGTGGGTAATTCTGATACTGCTGACAAATTTTCTAATAATTTTGTTTTCATTAGATGGATCATGTGCATAGTCTTTCTTTCATCCTTGGATGCAGGGTATCTTTTGATGAAGTCTTTTTTGGTATTTTCCTTAAATGTTACCCATTTAGAGAATTACAAGTCATATTTGAGTTACAGTACAAGTATTTTGGGGAGGTGAATTTGAAATTTATAAAGTTAATACAAATAATTAAATTGCTTTCCTAATTGACACTTGACATTTTAATATTTTTAACTGGAAAAAAAAACAACTCTAGACATGGATAAAGAAGATGCGTTAATTTGCTTTGAAGAACATATCCGGGCTTTAGAAAAGGAGGAAGAAGAGGAAAAACAGAAGAGTTTGCTGAGAGAAAGGCGACGACAGCGTAAAAATAGAGAATCTTTTCAGGTATTTAAAATCTTTCTAGCTTAATTTTATAATGGGCTTCAACAATACTACAAACTATTTTGGTACACCTGATCCCAAATCACTAACAGACTTTGTGAAATATTCGTACACAATTAACTCTTAAGGTCTACAATTAGTTACGAACCCAGCCATTTTAGTCCAGCGGAATATGGAAGACTGTAACAGGTTTAGTATTAAAGGGGTACACTGATAGATAAGGTTTTATTTGGGAAAGAGAAATGGGATGACAGAAGACTGAAAACAAAATATATGTGATGAATCATTAGTATTGTTGGTTTTTAAGCAGTAGAGAATTGTGGGGAATGCTGTTTTTATGTTTAGGGGATAAGCTATAATTCTAAAATGCTATACATAGGAGCTGAAATCACTTATCATTTATATAGGTTAGTATTTCATTTTCACCTTTATGTACCACCTTTTATTTCTCAGTAATGAAGAATATTACCAGTGAATTATAATGATAGCATTTAGCATTAATTGCTTGCTTACTGCTTAAACATTATAAATTTAAATTTCTTTTTATGACAGCCTTGTATAAGAGTAGGTACTATTTTTATGTCCACTTGTATAGATAGGAAATTATCTGGGAGAGGGGAAATGACTTCACTAAACTCCAAATATTGAATAGTGGAGCCAAAATTTGAATCTATGCAGCCTTAATTGCAGGGTCTCTTCCATTAAACACTGTATAAATGCTAAGTTTCAGTAACTTAAATATGTCTGTTTCTTAAAATAACAGTTGTCTAGCCTTAGCCAGTTTGGCTCAGTGGATAAAATATCGACCTGTGGACTGAAAGGTCTCAGATTCGATTCCCAGTCAAGGGCACCTGCCTCGGTTGCAGGCTCAATCTCCGGGCCCTTGTGGGTGGCAACCAGTTGATGTGAGGTTTGTCTCTTGTGTCTCTCCCCGTCCACTCTTTTAAAATCAAAGGTAATGATTAAAAAAAAGTAAAATAACAGTTATTTGGTCTAGGGAAGGACACATTGCCGTGCCCTAAGCCAGTGATTCTCAAAACTTAGTGTACATCAGAATCATCTAGCAGGCTTTTTAAAAAGTTCGAGCCACCATGCCAAAGGTCACTAACCATCTTAAAAGTCACAGTTAATAACATTTTTTCAGTTTTCATTCCATAAAAACTTAAAATTTACTACTCTTGATGGATTTCTGCATCTTGTTAGTGGTTTCTCAGGGGATCATTTAGAGTATTTTTAAAAACATAGATTGTTGAGCCTTAATATAAGAGTTTGATTTGGTAATTCTGGGTGGGTTCTGAGAATTTGCTTTTCTAATAAGATTCTAGGTGATAGTAAAGCATGGCCCATACTTTGAAATTGCCTTAACCTTGTCTGAATGATTTAGGGCTGATGTTCCCATGATCACATCTAAGTTGAAAGGGTAGTCCTTTTGTTCTTGTGGGTTGTTTTTTTTCCTGTTTGTTTAATATATAATTTTCTGATTAGAGAAACAAATGTTAAGAGGACAAACAAAACTTCCCCATCCATTACAACAATTTAAGAGATAAAAGAACAGTTAAAATAAATGAAAAACAAAGGAGAAATACATAAACTTTTTTATCTTTAAAACATTAATGTCTGATACAATTAGAATCACATTCATATTGCAGAACTTCTTTCCAAAGTATGGCTTCTTATTTAAAAATATACTGTATCTTACTAAAAATGGACACACAGGCTTTCTCAGCCACTGTGGGTCTCTCTGTCTTTCTGGTGGTGGCCCTGGCCACTGAAGCAGGGTGACTGTAAGCCTTCCTGAGTTTCCCAGATTAGATTTTACTTATAGGTAAATATAACCTATATAAATATAACTTATAGTACAATATAACTTCCACTTCTTATCCCAGGCTCTAGAACTTCAATAACCACTTTATGGCAATACCACTGATTATTAAACATACCAGAGCCCAGTGACGGGATTCATGCACTGGTTTGGGGGCATTTTCTGCAGGGATCAGCTGCCCCCTAGTGGTCAATGCATGTCATAATGACTGGTTGACTGGTGGTTCTGGTCATTCTGTTCAGTCGCTGGGCTTTTATTATAAAGCATTGTTTAAAAAAAAAAAAAAAACTTTAGATAGCTACTGTAAAGCAAAATTACACTCAACAGCATTTCCATGCTCCCCACCCCCACCCCAGTCCAAATCATGCTCTCCAGAGAATTAGCAGTCAGATAAGAAAACAAAATCTCATTATTGGGTTCAGTCCTCCCTCAGGTCCATGGCACTGGCTGAATCTGAACTCAGCTGCTCTGATGAGAATCTGGGACACACTTTGTCTCTTTTTTTTTTTTTTTTTTTTTTTTTTTCCCCTCTTTTAACCCTTGTGTGGAGGGCTAACTATCACAGCAAGGACACTCTGTCTTTCCTCACTGTTCTCCTCTACTTCCCTCCCCCACTCCTGTGTCTTGATAAAACTTACTAAGTTAAGAGAATAGTTCTTTTTAAATCTAGTAATATAGAAGTTCTCCTTAATATTCATTTGCGGAGAATTTAGTCACTTGATCATAACTTGTTAAAAAAGAGGCTATAAAACCTAGATTTTTAAATAATCGGCCATGTGCCCAGGAAGAAGGGGTGGAGAGATTTTAAGAAAGTCTTCTGCAACCATTGAGTTTTCATGGCTCTTATGGAGGTTTTGAAATAGTTTAAAATACAGAAACCTGTATGATAAAATAATCCTATATAATAAAAGAGTAAAATGCAAATTAACCTTCACTCTGCTACACCACCAGCCAATCAAAGCAAGTGCAAATTAACCAAGCCAAGATGGCTGCGGCCACGAGGCTTGGGTTTCCCAGGTGATAGAGGAAGCTAAGCTTTCCACACCCCCTGGCCAGCCCAGGTCTCCATTTAAAGCTACAAAGTATCAATAAATCACCTGACACCAGGAGCCTGCTGAAGGCTTGGCTCCGCTCTAGGCTACAAAATTTCAATTGTAGAAGGTAATAAATTGCAGATACCAGGGCCTCTGCTTTGGTCACCATGGGGCGTGGCTGGCCTGCAAACCACCACAGGTCCCTCTCCCAGGCAACCCCATGCCCCAAGGGAACCCCCACCCTGATCCTGGACACCCTTTAGAGCAAACCAGCTGGCCCCCACCCATGCACTGAGCCTCTATCCTATCTAATAAAATAATAATATGCAGATTGACCATCACTCCAACACAAAATATGGCCACCCCCATGTGGTCAAAGATCTTGCCCCCATGTGGACACAAAATGGCCACCATAAGGTGGCCAGCAGGGAGGCCATTTGGGAAGGGCCAGGCCTGCAAGGGGGGCAGTAGGAGGCGATCAAGCCTGCGGAGGAGGGAAGTTGGGGGCAAACAGGCTGGTAGAGGGCCAGTTAGACATCAATCAGGCTGGCAGGGCAGTGGTTAGGGAGCAATCAGGTTGGCAGGCAGAAGCAGTTAGGGACAAATAGAAAGGTAGACAGGCGAGCAGTTGGAAACCAGCAGTCCTAGATTGTGAGAGGGATCCCAAATTGGAAAGGGTGCAGGCTGAGCTGAGGGACACCTCCCCCCCTCTTCAGTGCACCAATTTCATGCACCAGGCCTCTACATGTATAATAAAAGCCTCATATGCAAATCGCCCAACCAGTGGAATGACTGGTTGCTGTGAGACGCACTGATCTCCAGGGGCAGACACTCAATGTGGGAGCTGCCCGCAGGCCCTAGGCCAGCCAAGGCAGGTTCGGGGAGGGAGGGGGCTGATTGCCCCATCAGTCACCCCACAGATCAACTCTGATTGCCGGCCAGGCCTGGGGACCTTACCCATGTGCGTTGGGCCTCTAATATAATAAAAATAAATATGGGTTACAGAAAATATAATAGAATATACACTGAGTGGCCAGATTATTATTATCACTGAATGCATAATAATGTGACCACTCAATATGTAGCCTATAAAATAAAAGGCTAATATGCAAATTGTCCCCTTGACCAGGAGTTCGATCAGCAACCAGGCCAGCCAACCATCCATGTCCTCTCCCCCTGGCCAGGCTGACTGGACCTCACCCATGCATGAATTCATGCACCTGGCCTCTAATACACACACACACAGACACACACACACTGAGTAGCCATGTTATATGTTCAGAGATCATAATAATCTGGCCACTCGGTGTATGTAAGTATTTATGTTATGAACCATATATAAGAAGACAAATAAGGGCGGAAACATTCAGCTGGCTCTGAGGCAGTGAGTGCCCAGGTTTGGAACCTCCCTTATAGGGAAGAAGTACCAGGTTCAGCCATCTTTAGCACACTTAATTTCTGTAATGTAAAAGACCAGGCTCCTGCCCACCATCCAAGACTGGGTTAGTAAATGAAAGGAGTAGAGACTTACAATTTTATCCTAATAGTTTTAAAATCTGAATTCAAATCAGAATCATTGAGTAATCTAAGAAGTAAAATTATCTGGCTTTTAATCCTTTTTTTTTTTTTTCTTTTTTTTTTTTTTTTTTTTTAATTCTCAGGTGATTGTAATTTTCACTCAGGTTAGGGATTCACTATTGAAATGGATTCAATATCAAAATTCTATGACCATCAGATCTTAGCAATCTGGAAGTGAAACAGTAATACTAACAAAGCAGGTATGATGGAGTGAAGCAGATTCTAAGATTTTAGAGAGCATTGTTGAAGGTAGTTTTGACCTATCTCAGGAATGCAAAAGAGGGAGCAAGTTAAGAACTTACCTTAACCTAATCTTAACCTAACCAACAGAGTTAGGTTAAGATAAGGATTCCATTTATATTATAGAAAGGATAAGGAAAAAAGGATAGGTATTAAGTTGGAAATAAAAGGCTGTATGGACATGTTTATTCTCCTGTGAAGTGGAATTACAGCTCTCTGGTGTTACTCAGGACAGTACTGTACAATAAAAATTAGTATATTACATGTGATTTTAATTATTTTAGTAAGCTTTTATTTCACCCAATATTATAATTTTGACATTTTTTTAACTAAGTCTTCAGAGTCATTGTATATTATACACTCATTGCACAACTCAATTCAGCAACATTTTATGAACTTAGAAACCACATTTTTAAAAAAATATATTTTATTGATTTTTTACAGAGAGGAAAGGAGAGGGATAGAGTTAGAAGCATCGATGAGAGACATCGATCAGTTGCCTTTTGCACACCCCCTACTGGGGATGTGCCCGCTATCAGGGTACATGCCCTTGACCGGAATCGAACCCGGGACTCTTCAGTCACAGACCGACACACTATCCACTGAGCCAAACTGGTTTCAGCAAAAGCCACATTTTAGCAAAAGCCACATTTTACCAATGGCTACTAAATTGAGCATTACAGTTTTTGGAATTTTAGGAGAATTTTCCGTCATTGTTCTTAAGGGATTTAAGGAAGCAGGAAATGTGGAAATTGCTAAAGTTGTCTTGAAAATCAGCAAGTAGCATAAAAGGAGAAAGAGAAATTGGGATAAGCATATAAAGATTTAGAATTAAGGTAGTAACATAGAAGTAAATGGGTTTTGAGTCCTAGATCCCCAAAATACTCTATGCATTACTTTGATAAAATTATATGTCCTCCTTAAGAAGTCCACATTTGCTAAGAAAATTAAAAAAATAAAAATAATCAGTCACAATGTTTTAAAACCAGAAGTATCCTATATAATGAGAATATGCTAATTATCCATTAGGCCCAGAGGCATAAGATCTGTGTAATGACTGGATCTTGGATCTGTAGGAGGGTGGGGCAGGGAACTACAACCAAGCTGTGGAGACCTACCTGAGGGATCCTATGAAGCTATGAGGGGTGGAGGGTTGGGGAGGTTAGGGGGAGCTACAGGAGGGCAGGAGTGACCTATTGGCGCACAGATTTGTGCACAGGGCTACTAGTTATTTTATAGGAAACGTGCATAAATATACTTTAGCATCATCATTTGAAATAGATAATATCAAATATATTAACTTTTATATATATTTTAAGCTGGAAATGATGTTCCATCTTACAGGTCAGTAAAGTGAAGCCTAGAAAGATAATACAGCTTTTCAGAGATCCTGTTCTCAGAAGTACAAAATACTTTTGCCTAAAAGCAGCTGCTACTTTCATCAAGGAACCAAGTATTCTTTGCACCTAAACATATATGGGATAACATTGGTCGAAGAGTTTTAAGTGTTGATGTGTTCATGTTATATAATATTTTCTTTAATGTCCTTAGAGGTAATTTCAATATAATGGAAAGTTGTTTGTTGTTAATGGTCTAAAAAATATTTTCCCCAGATATTTTTAGATGAATTGCATGAACATGGACAACTGCATTCTATGTCATCTTGGATGGAATTGTATCCAACAATTAGTTCTGACATTAGATTCACTAACATGCTTGGTCAGCCTGGTGAGATTCTTTTCTTTCCTAACTTGGTTTTGATAGTAGTTGGAATGGGCCAGAGTGGAAGGTGGGTTGTGTTGGGAAATGATGGTGGGGAGAGGTGTGCACTTTATTTTGTTTTATAAAAAAAATAATAATTGCAGCTCTTTAGTTAGAGCTAGCTTTTGACTTCTTTAGTTTTTTCATTAGGATCAACTGCACTTGACCTTTTCAAGTTTTATGTTGAGGATCTTAAAGCACGTTATCATGATGAGAAGAAAATAATAAAAGATATTCTAAAGGTAAGCAAAGCAGTATATTTATATAGACTGTGGTATATTTTAAAAATTCATTCTCTGCTCCTTTTATACATTTTATTAACAAGATTTCTGTTTTTTAGGATAAAGGATTTGTAGTTGAAGTAAATACTACTTTTGAAGATTTTGTGGCAATAATCAGTTCAACTAAAAGATCAACCACATTAGATGCCGGAAATATTAAGTTGGCCTTTAATAGTGTAAGTTAAGGTCTTTTATAAATGAGTTTAATAGTACCATTTTTAATGTATTTAGGAAAAAGTTCTTTGGTTGTAGGCTCCTAAAATAGAATATTTAGGATGTAGGATTACATAAAGTAGTAGGTAGTCAGACTTTTAGGATAAGGTAAAAGAAAATAATGAATTTAGGTGATGGGCTGATGTTTTCTTTGCTCAAATTACCGGTGTTATAAATTGGACCTTACCTTATAAATAATGGAAGATTTAAACCAAGAATAATGGGTTATTTCAATTGACAAAAATTGTACCATGGTAACTGATTAAATGATTTTCTAAAAGTTACTAGAAAAGGCAGAAGCCCGTGAACGTGAAAGAGAAAAAGAAGAGGCTCGAAAGATGAAACGGAAAGAATCTGCATTTAAGAGTATGTTGAAACAAGCTGCTCCCCCAATAGAATTGGATGCTGTCTGGGAAGATGTATGTATATTTGCAAATTTTTCCTAATGAACTGTTGTTCCCTTTACAATTGAAGATAAAAATACTTTTTAGTTCCTTTCATTTTATAGTCACAAAAATAAGCTGAAGTGATTTGTAGAATATATTATATATATTTGAGGCTATAAAGTAAGTCAGCTATGACTGCAGTTAGAAATATTTTTTTTTAAATGGTATTGATTTTAGAGTAACGGAAAAAAATTAATAGACTTGGAAGGGACTGGGCTGTCACAGTTTCCACTTCTATTGTTTCCTTTTAATCATTATCAGTATTTTCTTGGTATTAATATATTTATTGCATATGTAAATTTTTCAGATCCGGGAGAGATTTGTAAAAGAACCAGCATTTGAGGACATAACTCTAGAGTCTGAAAGAAAACGAATATTTAAAGATTTCATGCATGTGCTTGAGGTAATTTTAATGTTTTCATAACTGGCTGAAATGCAAACTATATAAAATTATAAATAAAAGTTAAGGAATTCAGAATCACACGTATGTTTCTTAAATTACACCTCTGTTATGCAAATGTAGCTTTTAAGTGAAATAGGTTTCATGGGAATGTAAAGATTTGTTTGTGGAGACAGATATTTTTACAGTGTTTCACAAATTCAACAGCCATATCAATTGACTAGTAAACCCAAAGAAAACTTAAAAGCTATTTTCTATCTGCTCTATAAGATTCAAGCATTTATTTCAAATATATTATATTATTAGATGTCTTAAAAACTAAGGGAGGGGTTCTAAATATAGTGAAATAGGTTTTGTTAGAATAAGTATTGATAAAATTACTCTGTTAGCTGAATAAGGGTATTTCAGATAGATACTTGTATGTAGTAAATATGCTAAATTGACCAATAATTATTAAATTAAATACTAATATTTGATGCCTATATGAGCCATTGCTGTTCTAATTGTTAGACAAATACTAAATACATTAATTTACTCATCTGTAACTTCATAGTGTGAGGATTAAAACAAGGCAAAGAGAAATAAAGTGGCAGGGATTCCAACACGGGCTGTTTGACTTCAGAGTCAATACTTTTAACACATCTATACTGCCAGTTATAGGCGGACTGATACTTCACAATAAGCCAAAAGCTGACACATAGTGTTGTATAGTCCTCAGACATAGCAAGTCACTTAAGTTGACTGTTTTCATTGTGTTTAATGTTCTTTCTTGATGTCTATCAATGTTGACAGGAGTTTGCTCTGTTAACATACACATGTACTCTACTGTTTCCCAGCTGCCTCTAGATCTTTTCTACTCAAAGTATGTTTCAGACTAATATTATCTCTGTTAACCTGGGAGCTTTTGTGAGATGCAGAACTTCAGACCCCATCAGTAGAAATCCTGCATCAGAACCAAAATTTTCAAATGTATATTTAATTGTCTTAACAGAAAGTAGTGTAACGGTTCTGAAAAGTATACCTCTCTGGAGTATACAGTTATCCCTACTAACCCATACACTGCGATTCCTACAAAAACTCAATATTTTTAACATTGTTGTGTTTATATATCTACATTATAGTTAATTATAGTTTGAATTATAACTTAAATCGAATAGCTTTTAATTCTTTATAATGTACTGTCCAGAGTAAATGTAAATTTTTGAATATTTCTTTCTTTTACCCCTGTAGCATGAATGTCAACATCATCATTCAAAGAACAAAAAACATTCTAAAAAATCTAAAAAACACCACAGGAAACGTTCCCGCTCTCGATCGGTAATAAAGTTTATTATATGGCATCATAAGTGTATTCAAACATTTGTTTATCATCATTATGAATAAATGTTTTGTATTGTGTAGGGGTCAGATTCAGATGACGATGACAGCCATACAAAGAAAAAAAGACAGAGATCAGAATCTCGTTCTGCTTCAGAACATTCTTCTAGTGCAGAGTCTGGTAAGGCATATCTTTTAACTTGATTAAAATCATTGACACTTGAATGTGGTCAAATTCTGATACCTTTTCCTTTATATGTTGCTTAGAGAGAAGTTACAAGAAATCTAAAAAACATAAGAAGAAAAGCAAGAAGAGGAGACATAAATCTGTAAGCAAACTTATAATTTTTATATTAAGATTTTACCCTTAATTTCCCCAGTGGCAGTAGAGCCTTTTTCTGTCCAGTCCTGTGCAGACCAACACAGTTTAGGTGGGCACTTAAGTTCAAGAGTTTTTAAAAAGTTGGTCATCATCCATGAAGATCTTTCGATGAGATTTGGAGAAAAAATAGAACATACACACCAATGTTAAGATTCCCAATCTGGGTTTTTAAAGTAATCCTAGAGAAAGACGTGTGTGGTTTATGTACTTATTACAGCTATTGTTGAGAACCATTTAATCTTAGGTAAACCTAGAAGGCTTTTTCAAAATATTAGGGCCTGGGTATTACCATAAACCTGTTGACAATGAGATTTTTTTCATGCTGCTCACTTAAATTTGTACTATCTAATGAAGAACTGCATGTTTAAGCAAGCTATCAACCTAATATGTGATTGAGCTAATTGCAGCATCTTAGTATTGTATTGGGTTTGTATAAAATGTAAAATCTGCACTCATCATAATATATAATTCAATCAGCTATGCGTTCATTCTGACCCTTAATCCTTGAGCTTAACAACTAAAATTTCACCACTCTGGGCACACATACTCTGTTATACCTGATTTTTTACACAGGATTCTCCGGAGTCAGATGCTGAGCGAGAGAAGGATAAGAAAGAAAAAGACCGGGAAAGTGAAAAAGACAGAACTAGACAAAGATCAGAATCAAAACACAAATCACCTAAGAAAAAGACTGGAAAGGATTCTTCTGTAAGTACTTAGAATTATTTCATACCTATATTTTCAAAAAATGCATAAATGAAGACAATGGTTAAAACTAAGGGTGTTTAAAGAAAACAATGAAAGTTCGGTTAACTTTCACACAAAAATAGTTTTCTAGTGTATGTGGTCATAAGTTTTACATTACTTTAAAAAAAAAAAAAAAGTAGCTATGTAATGCTCAATGAGAAAGGAAATAATGCTTGGCCAGAGTGACTCAGTTTGTTGAGTGTTGTCCTATGCACTGAAAGGTTGCTGGTTTGAATCTTGATCTGGGCACATATATCTGGGCTCTGGATTTGATCCCCAGGGCACATTTAGAAGGCAGCTGATCTGTTTTTCTTTCTCAGCATAGGATATAAAATAATAAACAAAAAGATCTGCTTTGATCTGCTTTGTGCATTCTCACTAAGAAGTGCCACTGGATATTTTGTACCTGATTTAAGGAATATAAAATTTAAGAGACTCAAATTAATGGTTCTCCCTCCAAATATTCAGTTGTCATTGTTTCTAAGTCTGATTTCAAAGGGTAGCATTCCTGTAATCTTTTGAAAAAATTATTGAGAAGTGTGAAAGCAAATTGATAGGAGGGGACTACAAGCCAAAATTAATATCAAATTATTCTTTATTTTCCCATATGGATGTGTGTGCACATATATATGAATGACAGCACAGTAACAAACCTTCTCATCCTTGCCATTTTTCCCACAAATTTTAGAGGCTTAGCAAGGGTAATGCCTCGGATTTACCAGTGGAGTTTCAGTTTTGTAGACAAGCCCCTGGATCTCCCTCTGTATATTCTGATTAATTGCTATATTAGGAGGTTTTTTTGTTTGTTTTGCTTTTTAAAAGGCTGTACTGGTGAATCTGATGCACGCCCTTGGTGAAAAATGAATGTTTCCTCTAAAACTATTAGCAACTATCTACTTTTCAAAGATTATCACAAAAGTCTTATGTTGCTCATGAATGCTTGCATGAAGCATACTTTTTTGTAATATAAAACACTCGTAGGGCACAAAACACTCGTAGGCAACTTAAAATGTGCAAAATTAGCAAGGAATATGGTGCCTGGGAAATGAATCCCTGACTTCCATTAATGGAAACAGGATGTCTTGTAATCAGTTGTGTAAGGGGAAGGAAAAGAAACATATATACCACTGTCCCCAATTCATATATTAATGTAAGTAAAAACACGTAAAAATCTCGTTCTAAGTTAAGGATCTCTCCTAATATAACAAAGGCATATATATTCTTAGTAAGCAACCCATTGATAGGCTCTTGGGATAGAGGTAGTAAGTCTTTAAACTATGTGCTGTAACTGTTTCTGTGAAAGAGAATTCATTTTGAATTCCTTTTTCAAAAGTTCATTACTACTTAAACTTACTTTTGAGTACTACCATGAAATTAATCGTATTCACTGTCTTTTCAGGGTAATTGGGATACTTCTGGCAGTGAACTGAGTGAAGGAGAATTGGAAAAGCGCAGAAGGACCCTTTTGGAGCAACTGGATGATGATCAATAAATTATACCAAATATATGTTTACAGTATGATTTAAAGTCTAATTCAGACCAGGGACTCTATTTTAAGTTCAGTTGAAATAACACTGGGTTTTAATTATATCACAGGAAAAAAAGTGCATTTAGGTATTGTTATGTGAACTTTATAAAAGCAAAGGCAATTGAAAATAACTTTTGATTCTGTATTAAGAATCTTATTTTCATACGGTCATAACTGTTTTCCTGTGACCCTTTCATAGGGCACTGCAGGGTGGATTAAAGGTGGCAATTTACCGATAACTGCAGGTGTCTCTACTTTCTTCTAAAGTCTGTCATTAAGGTGATTGCATTTTCTTTATGGAAGTTGGATTTTGAAGATATGAAACCTTTTTGATATTTAGTCATACAAAAGAAAAAAAAGCACCAGCAACTGATAAAATTGCTTTTTTGTGCACTTCCCAACTGTTTGAAACTAATCTGATCTTCTATTGTGAACCCACAAATAGGTGTTCTTAATGGAAACCTGGTAGACCCTTAACTATAGTGGTGCTAGTGAGCACTACTATAATAAAGCCACCGTTATTTTTTATGAAACATCTGAATACGTTTTAAAAAGGCTATTGTGAGGGCATTATTTTGAGGTGATGTTTTAAAACAACATTAAATCAAATTGTAAATTAGTTTAAATATATTGCCTTAAGGACCTACTAAAGAATGTGCCACCAACTTTAAGTGATAGATGCAATATCCTTGTCTAAAACAAAAATCAATGTTGACTCAAGCATTTTAACAGTTGTCTTTTTTTTTTTTTATCGGACTTTTCTCTTGCTTTTTTCATCGAGGAAGTCTTTTACCTTCCCTACTCACTAAGAAGTATTGACTTCATGATACACATTCTAAAGCATTTCTGATTTGAATATTTTTGTACATTTTTATCAATTATTAAACCTTCTCTTCTAGTGTGTACTAGTATTTATTTCTATGTAAACTGATCAGCTCTAAAAGAAGTTGTATGATAATTTAAAGATAAACTAAATTCCTTAAATTTTGCTTCCTCTTGCCCACACAGCTAAGTCACTTTCTTTTTAGAGTCAGTGCATTTGAGGCCCCTATATTTGTTTTTGATCTTCGAATTGCTATGGAATACTTTGGAGAGGCAATGGTTTAAAGTTAGAATACTTTACCCTGCCTGGTTTGGCTCAGTGAATAGAGTATTGGCCTGTGGACTGAAGGGTCCTGGGTTTGATTCCATTCAAGGGCATATGCCTGGGTTTCAGGCTCAATTCCCAATAGGTGTATGCAGGAGGCAGCTTATCAATGATTCTGATCATTGATGTTTCTGTGTCTCCCTTTTCTTTCCTCTCTGAAATCAAAAATATATTTTTTAAAAAGTTAAAATACTTTTACCTGCTAACTTTTCAGGGTTAGTAATGTAATTTATACTATATTTCTTCAGTGCAGGATTTTTTTTTAATAGTAAGTTTTAGCATATAGTGTTTGGTATATTAGGACTGATCCTATTTCAAGTTGGGATTTAAAAGAGCAAAAGGTTCATTTTATTTTTTTCTTCATCTTAGCGAATTTGAAAAGATGATTCCTATCTCTGCTCCCTATTTTAGTTAAATTTGTCCACTGTAAAATGGTTGAAAAATAAGGGGGAGAGGGTGTTGTTTCTAAACGTCTCTCTCTGCCAAGTCATTTTTCTGCTGTGAAATGTGACATGACTTTGTAGAAAGTGAGGACCATTATTTTTAGAAAATGGGAAGTAACCAAGTTGCTTGCTTGAGAATCCTATTGTATATTAGAATCAAAACATAATTTATTAATCGGGAATTCATCTAGATTTAGTTTTCAGAGCTTCCACTATAATGATAGTACTGCCAATCATGTCTAACACTTGACAGGAAGGAAGTGGTAAAATCTTTAAGCATATATTGGCAGAAATACTAGTGATGTTTCACAAGAGAATTTAGAATCTGCAAAATGTTTTAATTCTATGAATGATTTTTAAGTACAACTTTAAAGTTTTGATTTTTCTATTTAAATAAAAGGCTATTGATGTGTTTTAGCATGTCCTCAAATTTCTGCACTTCTATCACAACCTCAAATCCCATAGGACAACACAAATTCATGTTTCCCTATAGTTCACCCATGAAAATTATTTAACCTAAAACAAAACTAGTGAACAGATTACAGCTCTAAATATAACATCTTGTTAAAAAGATGCTATTAAAGTGAGTAAAATCCTTGTCTACTACCCTTTGATTATCCTATCAAAAGAGATTTAGTTGCTAAAAAGATATTGTCCAGTCTGAAAGCACAGATGATGGGAAGATTTTGTTAAAACAAGTTCTGTGACTTTTTAACCAGTTAAAGATTCAGGTTGTAAAAGCTGAAATGTCTTGTAATTATAATTGATGTTGAAACAGTTTGATAGGGTTTGAACAAATGTATTCAAACAGAAAAGCATTTTCAGATAAGGGAGAATGTATATTTTTAATTCTTAGAATAAGGCAAATGTTGAGGGTTCATCTTCCCTCAATATTAATGAATTATTGGATTAAATTCACTAATACATTTAATATATTTAATCGTAAAAATGGGAACTTTGAGTATTTGATGTTTTTATTCTCGCCCAGTCTATATAATCTCTATGTGGGGAAACTGAATTTGTGTGAAAAGTTAATTGAATCAATCAAGGATGAAGAATTCATTGTACTTTTACCAAATGTTATTTAAATAATTACTTTCAAATAAAAAAAAGCCCCCCCCCCCCTTTTTTTAAACATAGTGATGACATTTTGTTATTACCCAAAAGTAGCTTCAGCACATAGATTATTCATGTTTTTCAACAGTGGGTCTCTCATAATACTATAAAATGAAAAGGATCGGTTTAGATCAAGGATGGGAAACCTTTTTCCTGCCATGGACATTTGAATGTAGCATCATTTGAGGACATACAAAATCAACTTAAAAATTAGCCTGCTATATTTGGCCAAACATTTAATTAGTTCACCCCTAATGTCTTAATGATTTCATAGACATGAGGCCTTGTGGCCAGATGTTCTCCCTCCTGGCCTAGATAGCGTAAGGCATTCTTAATTCATAGTGAAGAGACTAAAGTCTCCTGAAACATTTGTGTACATTTTTTCTGGAAAGAAGGTCCAGTTTTCATTCAGTTACCAAAGGACTTTGTAAGAAGCATTAGCTGCTTCTGTGTATGGTCAATTTAGTGTTGACTAGGCAGATGCTTAATTTTTGCATAAAAAAATGTCCCTTTTATGTAAAGATTTTTTTTAAACCTAGATGTTATTTAAGAGAGAGAATGGTTTCTAATCAAATAGGACCCAGAGAAAAGTAATGAATGCTGTTTTTAAAGTTTATAGGATATTTAAGTATATTGTGTGGTTTATAAAAGTAAATAACTAAAACATTTCTAAAAGCAAAATGAGGAAAAGCACATTAATTCCCAATATCTTCAATGTGAGACTTTTCCCTTAGGGATGTCTCTCTCTCAGTATGAGGTAGAGTTTTAATTCTATCACGTTCTCTAGGTAAAATTGCACTGATTTCACAGAAAGGAAACAAAATAAAATCGAATGATTTTCATGGAACTGTTGGAATAGGTTTATAACAATAGGCTCATCTTATTCTATGATTTTGAATACCAGTGTAGTAATTCTTACTTCCCTTATTAATGCTTACCTTGCTCTAAGTTTTCAATTGTTTTGTCTTCAGGGGTGGTCTAGTTCCTATTTAAGTTTCATTCGCTGCTGTATTCTGTGGATTAGCACAGTGTCTGGCACATAGTAGGCATCTATTGAATGAATGTAACATATTAGTTGATAGATGTATTCAGCCAGCATACACGGTACCCACCATCTCTATTAAGGGCTTGAAAAAGCATCTTTGCAATAAACCAACCTAACCTATGACTAAAGCCACATACACAACTGAAGTGCACTGAACATGAGTTTTAGTGACTGTACCTTAACCGTTACTTGTGAAACGCTTTTGAACGTTTCACAGAAGATCTGTGAAATCACAGATCTTCCATGTGATTTTTTAAAGTATAATTTATTTGAAGAATTAACATTTAGCTAGATCACTTGGGACTTTAAAACCCGAGGGGATACAATAGCAAACTTCCTATTTTAATTACAAGCTGAGAACTAATTTTCAGGCTATTTTTGACAAAGGAGTAAATAATGGTGACATGACAAGTATGCAATGCTATTGGAGCTGACTTAATGGTGGAAAGTAAGATTTTGCTCCTGTTACATTTCCCCAGCCCTCCATTTTATTTCACTTGTCTAGCTGACTTAAATTACTTAACTGCAGATTACTTTTTAAACTTGCTATGTAAAAACTGCTTTTGTGACTCAGTAGGATCTAGTTCAAAGACATCCCATAGAGAGTGATTGATAACTGAATTTAATGGCATTTGCCCTAGGTGTAAGGTTGATGTTTGCATTTCAGGGCAGCTAGTTAAACTCCCTCCACCCGTTTTTTTATTATAGACTGTGAAACAGAATGACTGCCTAATCAGATCAGATTCAGACGAAGCCACTTCTGATTTTTTTCACATTAAGCCATTTCTTGATGCCCTTTTATGCTGTTCCTTGGGGTATCTAAATGTGCTATTTATAAACATCGTTTCCTTTGGTTGTACCTGCTAACTTTTGGTAGGTATTGGTCTCTTGCTTACCTCTCCAAATAAACCGAAGACTTGTTCTGAAAAGGTGAGTAATAGGGGAACAAGGTTTCTATGTTCTGTGTTTGTAATTATCAGGTTTTCTCTTGTTTCTATATTGTCCTGATGTAAAGAATTTCAGTTATATAAAATTAGACCTTTTGTAAATAAATATAATTTATTAGAAAACAATGACATCTTTTACTAAAGTTGTTGCTGTGTCAACTTTTACCTTCAGGCACCCCTCATGCAGCAGTTCTGTGCTGTGAGATGCTAGATGCCCACGTTCTGTTTTCTCAGTGTAATGCCTGCTTTTCTCTGTAAAAAAAAAAATCAAAAATGTACCTTAATACTTCATAATGCATTTGTTTTTGCTTCAATTTTTTTTTTTTTTTTGTAAATAGATGGGGTATTAGGTTTAAGAGAAATTGGAAACTATTCTTTTTGATGATAGTAGATTCATCTCTGCAGACATTTCTGATACAAGCTAAGTAGAGTTACCAAGTACACGTGTGAATTGTAAATATTATAAAAGCATAATTTTCAGTACAAAAGTAGGTAGCTCTATAAAATTCTGTGCTGATCCAGCAGATCCTATGGTGGATGTCACACCACTCTGTAGAGCACTGCTGAGTCAGCAGGGTCACTGAACACTCACTGCAGTGAATATTGGTGGATTAGGTCTTAGAGTTTAGCTAGTGATTTGAAAGGGAACAAGGGAGTTTAGTTCTGGGTCACTGGTCAACATTTTAAAAAATGGATGCTACTGGAACATAGGTACCCTTAAACCTAGCCCTATCTGGCCTCATTTGAACTTACCATTGAAGTTTGGGTTTGAAGACCTGAATTTGTACAATATTAAGGTGTGTGTGTGTATGTGTGTGTGTGTGTGTGTGTGTGTGTATATATATATATATATATATATGTATATATATATATATACATATATATATATATATATATATATATATATTTTTTTTTTTTTTTTTTTTTTTTTTTTTTACCATGAAGCACTTTGCCCTGCAACAAAACAAACCGCAAAGGCTGGCTAACTGCAGGCTTGAACTCTCCCCTCCCCTTTATAAAGTGAGGCTTCAGCTTTCCTGGTACAGGAGAAAGGGCACCAAGTTGGGAACAAAGACCTAATGTAACAATATAAATGACTAATTTACACTCCTCTAAAGTATCTTCAAGCCAGTTCCCTGAAATACTAAATTTCCTTGCTTCTTCCTTAAGAATATGCTAAAAACAATAAAATTTTACAATGTTAACTGGAATGAATAAATATGATTTGGGAACTGTATCCCTCACCCAAATCTAAGTGGTTACTTTGTTCCCTACAGCAAGTGCTCAAGAGTGTACAGGAAGGGATTTTACTAAATTTACCAAATACATTTAGATTCTGAGTTTAAGCACCAAGACCTCTTTCTGGAAGATAACTGGCAAAACCCATAAAGTATACCATTGAAAGACAACATGTTACAGGATAGTAGTGGTGTAAATAGTTTATTTGTTCATATGCCATGAAAAACCAGAAAAGTAACATGAACCGCTTTTATAAAACATTTCTAATATTGCTAAGAAGCAGGCCTATTAATAGACAAACAGAAAAGAACATGCCAACATTATTGTCTTGGAGATTAATAAATATTATTTTAATGTGCTCATCAGCATTGAGCTTTGGGTAACAGCTGCTTGTGGTCAAGGGCCAACAATTTGTATTGTGTATCATGATAATCATCAAAATGAATGTTGAGTCAATAGAAAAACAATCTTGGCATGTTCTTTTTAAAGTACACATTTATGAAAATTTGCTGGCAGGTGGCAGTTTAAAAGCAATCTTTCTGTAAATAGATATGCTAAAGTGAAATGTGATAACTGATCTCTAAACTGTCCTTGTAGTTAAATATATATATTAAAAAAACTATAAGTTAAAATAACATTCAGATTGTATAGCATAGGCCGATGCATTTTTAAACAATATTTACAATATTACCCAGAGGCTTAGGTGGGAATTAAAGAAGTGTAAAAACCATAAAAAACTGCACCAATCTTATAGCAAAATATCTGTACATTTAAAAAGAGATCATATATAACTACACATTATCCAAGGAAAATTGGACCTTCACCAAGGAGTTCACATAGCACAACATAAAATAAGAAATTCAGTGGTTAAATACTATACAATAAACTTTACAATTAATATACTGATGTAATGTACCAAGAAGGTAAGCCAGAAGCAGAATGTATATTATGAAAAGTACAAATTAGCTTCAGTCCAGTTTTTGACTTTGGAATGGTTCGAGTGCCCTGCCAGAGGAAGGAAAAGGAACAGTGGCTTAGTTGGCCATTTAGTCCCATTACATATCATTTAAGCTTTATCCCAATGTGAATATTCAGCAATTCCTCGTAAAGTAATCTGGGAAATAACAAAGCTTATAGCTTCGAGATGTGGTGCCAAATATATCTTCCCCGACTTATAAAAGGTAGAAGGGGGTGGAGGGTGGGGGGTGAGCCAACCGATTGTCAGAGGAGAGTAAGGCCGTGTGACTAACTTTTCCATCAGCAGAAGTGATCTTGAGCACTGTTGATAGAACTAGTGAACTTATCCCTGGCTGCAAGGCACTGATTTATCTTCTCAGGTTTGACCCATAATAGTCCTCAGAAATCCTAATACTGATAACTGAGATGTTAATTTTAGTGCTAATTAATAAATATATTGCATTATCTTTTCAAAGCTGCCCCTAGCTGAAGAACACAGTACTGTGCAACATTTGTATGCCATCATATCCTTGCATTCATACGGGGACTCTCCCAGGAGGGGCATGGTACACTAGCACGGCGTACTAGACTGTGAAAGGAGACTGCTGAGTATCCTCCTGAGCTACTGGGATTGCAATCTGTCTGAACTTTGCTAGGGCTTAGTTTTGGACACAAGGAGTTTATCATGGGACTTTTTCCTCCTCCTCCCGTGTTGCAAGCCCTTAAAAATACAAAGTTGGTGGGTATGACTGAAACACAAAATTCCTTAAAAGACATCTCAACAAAGGGAGCCCACTACAGAGTCATCCATGTTATTTACAACTTCTCAGGACACCAGGGTGGGCCATCCCAGGGACATTCACAATGGCAGGTAATGCATGTAATAGGAAATTTACAATTTGATTAAAAAATTGAGTAACATACTGGTGTAAAAAGATACCTAATCAAATCCAATCCTATTGCTTTGATTAATCTGAGCAGGTACTTCCACTTTTTAGGCACTTGTTAACAAAGGTTGAGAGGGCCCATCATTTTAAAATTCCTATGTTTGCTAAATCTGAGCCCTTAGAATATTTCATCTGTGTTCAAGGCTGCAGTTAAATGGTGGCACGTGAAGTCCATGTGGACAGCTTCTTTCACGCACACCCTGTTTATTCAGTCAGGTCTCAGGTTCACAGGGTTATTTCGGCACCATTAACAGAACGCAAGTTCTGATCATCAAAGCGCCTCCTGACACTTCTCCTCACCGCATCGGCTCGTCTGTATGGTTGGTTTCTAAGATCTGTAAAGAGAACATCAATGAGAGAAGTGCAACTTTTAATGTTGTGCTTCTAAGCAAGACAAGGCCAGCTGGCAGCCAATCAAAGCAGCTTGTGTAGAAGAGTCAGTAATGGGCCCTTCAAACCCATGGAATATCTGAGCCAAACACATGAACTTTGACCCTCTGTATTTACAGTTAAAACATGATGTAATACTGGTGGGATTTTGGAACTTTTAGGAAGTATAGGAGATTGCTTTTGTCACTGGCCAGAGAGTCTACCTGAAGTCTTACTTTGAAATATTTCCTCAATTGGAGATCGCTATGGCTTAGGTGTTTGTTTTTTCTTTCTGGAAACCTAAATATAAACAATAATGAATTTAAACTGCAAAACTAATAAAACCGATTGTCCTGTCCTATCTTATCCCAAGTTTTAAGAAGAAACTATAGTCCTAACTGGTTTGGCTCAGTGGATAGTGTGTCAGCCTGCAGACTGAAAGGTCCCAGGTTCAATTCTGGTCAAGGGCACATCCCCAGTGGGGGGTGTGCAGGAGGCAGCTGATGTTTCTTTCTCATCAATGTTTCTAACACTATCCCTCTCCCTTACTCTCTGTAAAAAAATAAAAAATAAAAAATAAATATTTTTTTAAAAAAAGAAGAACCTATAATAGTTCACAGACACAGATTCCATTTTTTAAATTAATATTAGCTGGGGTCAGTTTTTTTTTGTGTGTGTGTGTAATAGAAACAATGTTCAATTAACTACTAAATAAATGTAATCAAAATAATACTCAATTCTTGAATATTCTTTCCTGCCACCAATATTTTTGGTTTTTCATTACAGCAGAGAAGTTATATGGGCCCCCCTGCATTCTCTGATTTGTATTGCAAATGCACAGCAGAATGGAATGCCTGTTATTTTAAAAATGGCTCATTGCATATTAGTTCAAGCAGGCATTGCGCTGGAGGGATGACGTGGGAAGAACAAGAGGAATTTTATTTGAGTAATAAGAACTCTATGAAGTGTGCTTTCCTTTTGATGGAGTCAGGATATTAGGGGGTGGGGGGAAGCAGGCTTCATTCTTCTCCTTGTTTTGTTTATTAGACATTTCCCTTTCATTAGTTTTAGTACTTTATATTTCTGTTAGGAAACATTCTATCTTTAGAAGGGGAAACACAAAAACAATAGAATGTTTGACCTTGACTTACATTTTTAAGTACAGTTTCCTGATAGTTAAACTGGTAATTGACATAAAAGTCAGGGTTTCTGACTTCAGTTGGAAAACTGGAGGATCTGGCAATATTGGAGCCAAACTCTCAGCAGGCAAACACAAGCTGGAGCCGAATGCAAGACGGTGCCCTCGTTCCGTACTACTGTGCCCACCAGCTCTGGGCTTGGGATTTGTGACCCTGTCCTACTCCTAAATGCAAGCAAAGCACAGGTTTGCATACCCTGATCCTCCGGAGACTGCTCCCTGGCACAGAGTGGTAGGAGGGCTAGAATCCCACTTCTGGCTAAGGATATGCAGGGACCTGCCTTTCTGTGATTCCTGAGCCCTCCAAGCAATTAATTTTAAAGATCCTAATCCTTCAAAGGCTATTTTTGTCCTCTGGCCAGGACTGGCTTTCAATGTCTTCAGATAACAAAGGGGTTAACTGAATAACTCAAAGGCTAAGAAGGGGGTAAGGGACAGCCTACCACCCAAAGCAATCACAATAATCAGCGACAACCCTTGCCCAAGCCCTCATACGTGAGAACCCGGAAGCAGGCCAGAAAGAGTACAACAGAGGCCTGGCCTCACATTGAGAGTGAGGTGCAAAGACTTCTCCCTGGTAGACTCTCACCAGAATTACCCTGGGACATAGATTGAAACCACTGATCTGCATACAGAGAGAGGAGGAAGCTAAGTAAAAAGTGATGCTTGCCAGCTCTGTGTATCCTCCACCACCGGTGTGCTAGAAGAAATCCTTACCCTCGAGTGAACATTTGGAAATTTAGTGATATTATTCTTCTTTAAAGCTAAACAGAAAAAAAACAAAAACACAAAATGATGGTTAAATAAAAATGGAATGAAAATGAAAAGCAATTCAACTTAGTGCTTCACATTCCTAGGCGTGTCAGCCAACAGAGGGTGAGGGTGGGAGGCCATCACTACAAGAGGTTGTTAGATAAAACGGGAGAAGATAAGCGTTCTTCCCATCCGGGTCGCTGACCACCCAGATCCAAGCTGCTTTGAAGTCTGGCTCCAGAATGATAGACAAGCCAACAGCGACACTGACCGTCCACAACAGCCATGGAGGTAACAGTTTCCAGCCTTGTTAATAAGCACTGGCGGGTAAGTACACTCAGAGCAGGAACCACACACCACATCCTTTCACATCTCCAGAGACAGAGGAACATACATGAGTTGATGACAGAGGGCTTCATGCCACAAAATAAACACGCAACAGTTCCATGTCAATCTTGGCACTCACGGGAGTCCAACCACGGCAACGGCCTATGAGACCGTGTGCAGCCCTAGTCTCATCTCTAGTCAACCAGGCACTGCAGAGAGGTTGGTTCCTTATCCACGCATCAGGATCTAAGCCCAGGCAGTGACTTCTTGGTAATATTTTACCTTTCTCTTTTTTAATTCAGTGGCATTTTCCGAAGACAGGTAACTGCTATTAGTATCTGGTGCCACCATTCTGACCAAAGAAGCAGGCCCAGATATAATCTGGTCATGGAAGAAATGCCCTGGGTTTGACATGGAACATAGTGAAGGAACATGAACAACATGAGACAGTGAGGGGCTCCTGAGCCTTGGTTTTCACCTTCTGCCTCACAGCGTTACTGCAACACCGAACCGCTGGTTACTGGACTCCGAGGGAAAAAGGGTGGGTATAAAGCCATGGATTGCCTTGTCACCTTATACAGGCTTCTAGGTCAAAGGCCTCCCTGGATTAAGCTCGTACACTGGGACACTGTGGATGATGACTATCACTGCATACAACCCTGGAGGCCCAGTTTACATCTGTGCATAGCTCACAGTTCCTTCTGAAAAGCATTTTGCAACTTAGAGCATCTTGCATTGGGTGCCTATATACCAAGCATGTCAAACTCGCGGCCCTCGGAAGGCATGCCTTGTTTATTTGGCCCATGGTTAGCCTTTGAGATTGACATGCTTGCTGTATACTATCAAAGCACAGGGAATGAGTACAAAATAAAGACCAGTTTACTATCTGTAAACCTGTTAGAACACAGTGCGTGCTCAATAAGTGTTAGCTATAGTAGCTATTGTTATTAACGACTATTAGTTTTTGTTCGAATACATTAGACCAAAAATCTTATAAGCAACCTAGTGGGACCCAATCCCGATTCTCAAAGAAGTACTCTTTTTACTACTTTTCTGAAAATTTCTGCAAGCAGTTCTTTTCATTCAACTCACACACACACAGACGGTCACAGCAATGTGGATTCAGATGTAGGGAGAGTGGCAGCGAGAAAGCCGTTACAGCTGAAACGCAACACCGTGCAAGCATGAAGACGACATAAAACACAACATGTGGAGATGGCAGTTCCATGCTGGTCCGGACAGACAAGACATACAGAGGGTGATAGGAGGTCGTAAAAAAAAAAAAAAAAAAAAATCTGTAGCGACCTTTTCAGAGCATCAGGTGAGAAAGTAATAGTTTAGTAATGGTGCTCCTCAGTGAGAACGGGTTCGCAGAAAAACCGAGAGCCACGCTTGGCGGTGCGAGCAGTGAAGGGCACAGTCTTCAGCACTGCATCGGGAACGACAGCCAAACAGGACAAACAGAAGAGAGTGAGAAGCCAAGATCTATCGCATTAGTACGCAGTTAGTGCTTTGTTAATCATACCTGGGGAGGGTGGGGGGAGGGAAGCGGGACAGGGGAGACGGCAGTAATGTACCCAAGTGAGCTCATCAAACCTAAGCTCCTCAGTCTGGGCTCGGTCGTGGGTTACAGAAAGGAAACGCACCCCGGGACAGTGAGGGGTGCTCCACAGGCAGCTACGCACTGTCCCCTCCCGTGATAGATCGAGGATTAGGTCAGGCAAATGAAAACTACACGTTTTGCCGAAACCGGTTTGGCTCAGTGGATAGAGCATCAGCCTGCGAACTGAAGGGTCCTGGGTTCGATTCCGGTCAAGGGCATGTACCTTGGTTGCGAGCACATCCCCAGGAGGGGGTGTGCAAGAGGCAGCTGATCAATGAACTCTCACTGACATTTCTAACTCTCTCTCTCCCTTCCTCTCTGTAAAAAAAAAAAAAAAAAATCAATAAAATGAAAAATAAAAATGAAAAAACACACAGACACACACACACGTTTTGCTCAGTTTACAAGCCAGGGGTCACTGAGATGGGGAATACTCATGAAAAGGAACTCAAGCACGTAAAATGCGAGGCCAGATGCTTCTCTGTAACAAGTTAATCCGGCAGCTCCGAGTGCCGGGGGCGCTTGCCCAAGGAGGTCCGTTCCTGGTCCTGCTCAGAGCAGAGCCTCTCCCTCCGTGTGGGAGGCCGGGAGAGACGCTGAACCCCGGGGCTTTATCGGGGAGCAGCCACAGAGCCCTGCAGGGTGGACCCGAGGGGCAGGCAGGCAGGTGCGCACAGAACACGTCTGTACGGTGTGCAGACATGGCCACTCAGAACCTACTCTGCGTAACTCTGGGCCAGGGACTCCTGGTTCTTGGCTGACAAGGAGCCCTTCCCCTGCCCTGGGCTGGAAGCCCACTGGCTCTTCTGAGTGGAAGCACCAGCCCCTGCTTTGCTCTGGTCTTCAGGTCCCTGGGAGGAGTAAAGGGGCTTTTGCAGAGCAAGCTGGCGACATCCGCACTCACTGACTGGTTAGTGTTAGTACAGACCTCAAATGGGTCTTGCCAGAGCCTTGATGAGTCAGGGAAGCAGTGACCACGAGGAAGGAAATGGAGCATGTGACTAATGGAAGACAGTGGAAAACCGTTAGGACAAGGAGCCCTAGTGAAATCTAAAGGGTTCCAATAATATTGAGAAATGAGATTTTTTTCCCCCCAATAATATTGAGCTATTGAGAAATTTTGTTCCCAATGATATTGAGAAATGAGATTTTTTCCCCCCCGATGATACTGAGAAATGAGATTTCCCCGCTCAATGATATTGAGAAATGAGGTTTTTCAGAGAGCTTGAGGGCTTCTCTGACAGGCAGTCCACGGGCCACTATAATACACTTCAAACACCAGCAGAGTCTCTGCACGATTCTGGGTCTGATTAAAGCCGGGAGAACTGCGGGCGGCCGGCGGCGAGGCCGGCGCAGCTCCCCGGCCGCCAGGAGGACGCGGCCTTTACCTGTGATGATGTCCTCAATGGCACCGTCCTTCCCTTCGTACACGTGCCTGTTATCTTTCACTTGACGCCTTCTTAACTCTGCGATCAACTCCTGCTGCTGCCTCTTTGATTTGTGAGAAGGAGACTGAGAAGGAAGAGGCAAGGCGGAGATTAGTGGGACCACACGCCCGCCGGAGGGTTGAGACAATCCAAACGGTGCCTGAGCCTCCACCACACACACAAGCAGCACCAGCCCACACTGTGCTCAGACAGAGGGAAACAGAGCTTCTGGGGAGGGAACACACTCACTGAGGAGCACAAAGTCCAGCCGGTGGCAATGGGGAGGGTGGGTCCTACTGACGTCTTACACTCGGCTGCAGAGGATCGAGATGAAGAACGCTTTGACCTGCGGCCTTTATGGTCTTTACCTACGATGCCTCCCTTCACGGCTACACCCTCCCCCCACCCCACCCCCGCCCATTCTTCCTGGCAATGCCCTCCAGCCAGCAAAGCCGGCACCAGAGGCATCCCCTTGAGGCCTTCCCTGGACACAAGCAGCCCAATCATGCGACATGGCCTCTCCGTACAGTCCACCATGGAAGCTGCATCCCAGATCTCTGTAACCTTAGGAATGCTACGCACACAGGCTCTCAGCCTCATTCCAGTCTTTGCCAACCCGAGTAATGAATGAGCACGTGTCCGGCTGCCAAGTTGCCGGGCCCCAGGAGGAAGCGGCAGGGGTCCTGGGCAGACCTGGTCTGCTGCCTGTCCCCACTGCTCGCTCCCAGGAGCCTCCAGGGCAGGGCAGGGCGGGGCGGGCACCTCACCTTTGGGTCCTGCTGCTCCAGCAGAGCCTCCTGCTCCAGGAGCTTCTCCATGAGCGCCTGCTCCTGCTTCTTCCTCAGCTCGTTCTCCTCCTCCGCTTGCTGGGTCAAGCCAAAAGAATGAGATACACGTCAGCGGACATGGCAGCAGACAGGATTCTAAAATGTCCTTCTGAGAGCGTCCTCGGGGAGCCAGCAGTTAAGAGCAAGGGGAAGAAGGTTCAGATCTACATTTGGTGCCTGTACGTAACCCGGGCGTGGGGTGCCACTGTCTGTGTCTGTGGCATCTCTTCAAAATGAAGTAGTGATTTATCCCATGCAGAGTCCCCTGCGGGTCCCACTGTCAGGGGAAGACCTCCATTCCTTTCCTCGTGCCTCCTCCGGGGCCCTGACCCAGTGACACTCTTAGGTGCTGCCCACAGCTCGCTCCTTCCCAAGGCAGGCAGAGCCACTAGTCCCATCCGTTTAGGACAAGAAATGAAACAGGCACGAGTCCGCCCAGCCCTCCCGCACCCTCTCCTCTGAAGGCAGCCTCCCTGAGGAGAAGGCTCACTGCTGGGAGCCGGTTAAGTCACTTAACCCAGGCTGAGTGTCACTCACAGGCACACACCAGTTCCTCCCATCCAGCTGGTATGGATGGGGGGGGGGGGTTGTTTACATTTTGATGCCTCTCGAGTGTCACGTTGACGGGACGAGAGAAGGGAAAGGAGGGATGACAATCTACAACCTCACTACCCACGCACAACGCCCGGGTCTGGGTCAGGCTGGCAGGTAACACATCCTGTGACGTCGCTGCCTGACGAGTGTCCCGTGGGGCCAGCTGAACGGGCCCCAGGAAGAGGTGAGGTGGATGGGGCACCCCGACAGGCATGACCTGGGGCACCCACCCACCAAGAACAGCTTCTCCTGTTCCTCTGCTCTCCACGCGTTCCTGCTGAAGCACCACGCTTCGAGACCAACCAGAGCCACGTCCCAGCTTGCATCGCACGATTTAAAGAGAGCATATGTTTTCCCTTAAGGCCTCAGGCGATTAACTTCTTAGGCAGGACATGAGGGAGCCACCTGGCCCCGGCACCAGTCAGCAGCCCCTGACAGGGACCTTCTCAGGCCCGTGGCTCTGCGCCCTGCACAGGGCTTAGTGCTGGGCTGGGGTTCACCTCGCTTCCAAGGACAGTCCCACGTGCACGCAGCCCGTGACATCACGGGGCCACGCTGAGAAGAGAGCCCTGCGTTTCGGTAAAAGGCCCCGGGATGGTTCTCCGAAGCTTACTGTTTCCAAGAGGGTGTTTCTCAAAAAACGGAGACAACTCTGGCACGCCACTCCTCCTTCACAACCACCGTCCCTCCTGCCGCCACCAGCACTACCCAGGGGATGGGTGTACGCAGACAGGCCTGAGAGCATGGGATGTGGTGTCTCCTACCTGCACTGCCATCCCCCAATGCCCTCCTGGTCACTCTTGCTCCAGGGACAAAGCCTTCTGACACAGGCCCCTGCGGCTCACATGCTTTTTCAAGACCAGAGCCTGGATTAGGTCAAAGAGAGCTTCCCATTCAAAGGACGGGCCCTGCTAGTCCACGTGAAGGGGCAGAGCAGCCGAGCGCCATTCCTCAGCGCACAGAGAAACGCTGATCTAGGCGCTGAAGCCCGGGCAGCACCCACAGGCCAGGCCCAGTCCCCGGGGGGAGGCCTGGGTTCCTGTGAGGGTGAAAGGTCGACGAGGCAGCCACGGCAGCGAAGCATCTCACTGGCCCCAAGGAGCAGCCAGGGCTGTTTTCAGGCCGAGCCTGGCTGGCCGGGGGACACGGGGAGCCTGCAGGGCTGCGGCCCGGGAGCTCGGCCTTCACAGGCCAGAGACTCCGCCCCCGCTGACCACCAGCTCCGCTGCCCAAAGCAGCTGCTGAGGCCCGGGGCAGCTCCGGGAGGTGTGGAGGGGTGAGGAGGGGTGAGGAGGGGTGAGGAGGGGTGCGGAGGGGTGCGGAGGGGTGAGGAGGGGTGAGGAGGGGTGAGGAGGGGTGCGGAGGGGTGTGGAGGGGTGAGAAGGGGTGAGGAGGGGTGAGGAGGGGTGAGGAGGGGTGCGGAGGGGTGCGGAGGTGTGTGGAGGGGTGCGGAGGGGTGCGGAGGGGTGGGGAGGGGTGCTGAGGGGTGTGGAGGTGTGTGGAGGTGTGTGGAGGGGTGCGGAGGTGTGTGGAGGGGTGCGGAGGGGTGAGGAGGTGTGCGGAGGGGTGCTGAGGGGTGTGGAGGGGTGAGAAGGGGTGAGGAGGGGTGAGGAGGGGTGAGGAGGGGTGCGGAGGTGTGTGGAGGGGTGCGGAGGGGTGCGGAGGGGTGCGGAGGTGTGTGGAGGGGTGCGGAGGTGTGTGGAGGGGTGCGGAGGGGTGAGGAGGTGTGCGGAGGGGTGCTGAGGGGTGTGGAGGGGTGAGAAGGGGTGAGGAGGGGTGAGGAGGGGTGAGGAGGGGTGAGGAGAGGTGAGGAGGGGTGAGGAGGGGTGCGGAGGGGTGCGGAGGTGTGTGGAGGGGTGCGGAGGGGTGCGGAGGGGTGAGGAGGGGTGAGGAGGTGTGCGGAGGGGTGCAGAGGGGTGCTGAGGGGTGCGGAGGGGTGTGGAGGTGTGTGGAGGGGTGAGGAGGGGTGAGGAGGGGTGAGGTGAGGAGGGGTGAGGAGGTGTGTGGAGGGGTGTGGAGGGGTGGAGAGGTGTGTGGAGGGGTGTGGAGGTGTGCGGAGGTGTGCGGAGGTGTGAGGAGAGGTGAAGAGGGGTGCGGAGGGGTGAGGAGGGGTGAGGAGGGGTGCAGAGGTGTGTGGAGGGGTGCGGAGGGGTGCGGAGGTGTGTGGAGGGGTGCGGAGGGGTGCGGAGGGGTGCAGAGGGGTGCTGAGGGGTGCGGAGGGGTGTGGAGGTGTGTGGAGGGGTGAGGAGGGGTGAGGAGGGGTGAGGTGAGGAGGGGTGAGGAGGTGTGTGGAGGGGTGTGGAGGTGTGAGGAGAGGTGAAGAGGGGTGTGGAGGGGTGCGGAGGGGTGAGGAGGGGTGTGGAGAGGTGTGGAGGTTTGTAGGGGTGTGTGGAGGTGTATGGAGGTGTGTAGAGGTGTGGAGGTGTGTGGAGGGGTGTGTGGAGGGGTGAGGAGGGGTGAGGAGAGGTGAGGAGGGGTGAGGAGGGGTGAGGAGGGGTATGGAGGGGTGAGGAGGTGAGTGGAGGTGAGTGGAGGTGAGTGGAGGTGTGTGGAGGTTTGTAGGGGTGTATGGAGGTGTATGGAGGTGTGTAGAGGTGTGGAGGTGTGTAGAGGTGTGTGGAGGGGTGAGGAGAGGTGAGGAGGGGTGTGGAGGGTTGCGGAGGCGTGTGGAGGTGTGAGGAGGTGTGGAGAGGTGTGTGGAGGTGTGTGGAGGGGTGAGAAGGGGTGAGGAGAGGTGAGGAGGGGTGAGGAGGTGTGTGGAGGGGTGAGGAGGGGTGAGGAGGGGTGAGAAGGGGTGAGGAGGGGTGTGGAGGTGTGGAGAGGTGTGTGGAGGTGTGTGGAGGGGTGTGAAGGTGTGGAGAGGTGTGTGGAGGGGTGTGGAGGGGTGAGGAGGGGTGAGGAGGGGTGAGGAGGGGTGAGGAGAGGTGAGGAGGGGTGAGGAGGGGTGAGGAGGGGTGAGGAGGTGTGTGGAGGTGTGTGGAGGGGTGAGGAGGGGTGAGGAGGGGTGTGGAGGTGTGTGGAGGGGTGAGGAGGTGTGTGGAGGTGTGTGGAGGTGTGTGGAGGGGTGAGGAGGGGTGAGGAGAGGTGAGGATGGGTGAGGAGGTATGTGGAGGGGTGAGGAGGTGTGTGGAGGTGTGTGGAGGTGTGTGGAGGGGTGAGGAGGTGTGTGGAGGTGTGAGGAGGGGTGAGGAGGGGTGAGGAGGGGTGTGGAGGTGTGTGGAGGGGTGAGGAGGGGTGTGGAGGGGTGAGGAGGGGTGTGGAGGTGTGGAGAGGTGTGTGGAGGTGTGTGGAGGGGTGTGGAGGGGTGGAGAGGTGTGTGGAGGTGTGTGGAGGGGTGAGGAGGGGTGAGGAGGGGTGAGGAGGGGTGAGGAGGTGTGTGGAGGTGTGTGGAGGTGTGTGGAGGTGTGTGGAGGGGTGAGGAGGGGTGAGGAGGTGTGTGGAGGTGTGTGGAGGTGTGTGGAGGTGTGTGGAGGGGTGAGGAGAGGTGAGGAGGGGTGAGGAGGGGTGAGGAGGGGTGAGGAGGGGTGAGGAGGGGTGAGGAGGTGTGTGGAGGGGTGAGGAGGTGTGTGGAGGTGTGTGGAGGTGTGTGGAGGGGTGAGGAGGGGTGAGGAGGGGTGAGGAGGTGTGTGGAGGTGTGTGGAGGGGTGAGGAGGGGTGAGGAGAGGTGAGGAGGGGTGAGGAGGGGTGAGGAGAGGTGAGGAGGGGTGAGGAGGGGTAAGGAGGGGTGAGGAGGGGTGTGGAGGTGTGTGGAGGTGTGTGGAGGTGTTGGAAACAGTGCAGGGCAGGCTGGAGGGCACTGGCTCCCAGTTACCTTGTAGGCCTTCACAAACCGGACGAACACAGGAAAGAAGACAGAGGGGGGCGTCGTCTTGGGGTTTTCTCCAAAATACTTCACCACGTCATCGAAGGCGTCCTGTGGGAAAGCAGAATTCCCTTCACTCCGTCATCCCAGCAGCTGAACTTGGCGCTCCGGACAGAGCTGCCGCGAAGAGGGTGACGACAGCGGCTCCCCGCTCCCCGTCCCCGCGCTCCCCGTCCCTGCCCCCTCACCTGTCCCTCACCTGCCCCAGCAGCCCGTGTTTCCCCCCTGCCCGTCAGAGGCAGCCAGAGTGAGCAGGGCTCACAGGATCCTTCTCTGGGACCTTGCCCCTTCCACACACACACACCTCCCCCCCCACACTCAGGCACACACACACCTACACACACACACATACCCCACTCCACACACACACACCTACACACACACACTTCCACACATACACACTCACACACCTCCAAACACACACCTACACACACACACACACACACACACACCCCACTCCACACACACACACACCTACACACACACACTTCCACACATACACACTCACACACCTCCAAACACACACCTACACACACATACACACACCTACACACACACACTTCCACACATACACACTCACACACCTCCAAACACACACCTACACACACACACACACACACACACACACACACACACACACACTCCTACACACCACCATACACACAAATATTCTATTCCTCTCAAGCCAGGGCAGAACTTGAAACCAACGGGATCTTAGAAGTCACTCAAACTCGAATTCCCCACTCGCTGCTGCACTGCTCCTTACAGGAGCCCGCACCAGGGACACTCAGGGTCTGCTTGACGCTTCTGGGACCCAAGACAGCCAGCCTCAGACGGGGGCCACCAACCGCACCCACTGCTGAGTCCCCACAACACTCTGCTTTCCCTTCGGTGGCGCATGCAGTGACTGGCTGTTCCTCACGTGTGTAGACCGCCTGCCCAGTGTGTGAGACCTCAAGGCCAAAGGCCTACAGAAACCTAGCGCACTGGGGACGCTGCTGAGCACAGCCTGACACGTGTGGGCGGAACCGAACATAGGACTCCCATACAGGAAGCCTGGCAAGGGGTGGGCAGAGGAAGGGGAAACTCGACCTAAGAGGATGAAACCCCAAATTAGAGAGGTCAATGAACAGGAACAGGAGCCCTTCCAGGTACAATTTTCAAGAAGACACTACCTGCTCAGTGAGCTACCTAAGAATTCCCCCCTCAGTGGACAGAGGGCAATCTCCCATGAAATCCGGGGCCAGGCACCGACCTGCGCGATCTTGGCGTCGTCCTGCAGCTTCTTCAGCCGCCCCTCGTTGCCGAGGATGAAGTCCTTCAGCAGCGTGTTGTGGTCGTGCATGGTGTACTCGCGCTTGGTCAGGTCCATGCCCCTCTGCAGCTCCTTCACGTCCAGCAAGACGTTCTCCAGGGAGACTGGAGCAGAGAAAGCAACGTTCCCGTGAGCCTCGGCCGGGGAGTCCGGACCACGGGGTGCTGGTTGGCGAGCAGAGCTCTCAGTGGATTCCCTGGGCCACTCAGGGGCTGAGATCCCACTGCCAGCTTTCAGAGCAGACATCCTTAAACACAAATAAGTCACCTCGTGCTCACCGCCAAACACTGCGTTAAAATTCTTCACTCCCAATAGCTCATTTGTACCGTTACCCATTCCACCAACAAGGAGCAGCAGCACCACCGGTGACCTGCCCTGCCCTCGGCCGGGGAAGGTGGCAGAGATGGCGTTCAGATAACAACCACGGGCTCCAGTCGGGGGCTTTTACACACCTGCTCCCGGGCTCTGACAGGAGAGGATGGCCTCTGGGTTGGCCTACAGAGGTTCTAAGATGGGAACACTCTGAACTCTGCATTTCTGTGGCTCTCCAGCAGAGGGCAGCATTTTACCTGCGGAACTTGAGTTGTCTTGACCACTTGGCTCCAAGATGGCCTTCTTTTTGTTAAACAGCCCTTCCCTGCTTTAAAGGGTTTGTTAGCACGGAGTGGCCACCTCCCAGGCCAGGTAGCTCCAGGGCGTTCGTGCCCCAGCTCCGGCTCCCCCCTGCTGCCGTAGCTCTGCACATGCATGGAATACAGAACACGGGGGACGCTTCCCCTCTAGGCTCATGCTGCCTTGGTCACCTTTGACTCCTCAATGCTTAGGATGTGCCCAGGACACAGCAGGGAATCACAAAGGCTCACTGGATACAGGAAGGTGAGTGAATAAGTGAGTGTAGGCATGTAAGGAATCTGAGTCAGCACACCAGAAAAGCAACATAGAAAGCAATGCAGCCGGAGTTCCTCCATCTCGCCATTTCCGCCCCCACAGATTTATTTTTTCCAAATCACACTTTCAGGGAATCTCATTTGGGCCCAATAAAACGTGCTAATTAGTAAGGTTGACATTTTTAAAACCTGTTTTTTAAATTAGAATTGTGATGCTAAAGAACTCCTTTAATTGAGGCAGAGGAAAACTTGAAAGGAGGAGAATCACACCACCGGAACAGAAAGACAGGTCACAGCCCACCTCAGCCCTGAGCCCTCAATTGACCTGTCACAGGGAGCACTGCAGTCCTTCACAATCACACTATCATTTCCACCTGCCTCTCCATCCCCACCCGGTTCCAGCAGCATCCATCCCAGGAACAGTGCATTCCCCTCATTCATTCATTCATTCACTTATTCACTTGTTCATTCCTTCATTTATTCCCATGATCAATTTGCCAGGGCAAAGGGAATTATAAAGATAAATAACACTTTAAAAATTAATAAAATAAAATAAGATAAATAACACTTAAACTCATACATACAAAGAACATTTTGATGTTTGCCAGATTTTGGGAGGGGTGGTTGTTAAAAAGGAGAAAGGGATTAAAAAGTACAAATTTCCAGTCATAAAAATAATCATGGGGATGAAAAGTAGAGCATGGGAAATGGAGTCAATAATCCTATATAATAAAAGCCTAATATGCAATTCAACCAAAAGGCGGAACAACTGGTTGCTATGATGTGCACTGATCACCAGGGGGCAGATATTCAGCACAGGAGCTGCCCCCTGGTGGTCAGTGTGCTCCCATGGGGGAGAGCTGGTCAGCCAGAAGCTGAGCTCAACACAGGCGAGTGCAGCAGCAGTGGCGGGAGTCTCTTCTGCCTCCACAGCTGTGCTAAGGAGCAGTGAGTTGAACAGTAAGGTGCAGTGAGCAGACAGGTGGTAAGGGGCGACGGGTGCCAGACTGTGAGAGGGCCGTCCGACTGCCAGCTAAGGCCCACTTCCCAGACTGCAAGAGGGCACAGGCCAGGCTGAGGGACCTCGCCCCCCTGCGCTGGGCCTCTACTATGTAATAACTGTATCACGTCAGATGGGTACTAGATTTATCACAGTGATCTTTGAAGAAATAAAATGTCTAATCACTATGTTGTACACCTGAAATTAATGTAATATTTTATGTCATCTGTTAACTGAAAAATAAATTTTTAAAAGATAAATAAAACTTGATTATACCTGCAAGTACAACGGACGTGCAAACTGTTACAATGGATTCAAAGACTCAATTCAGCAATTTGGGGTAGGCCTCAGGAATATTAATTTTTAATAAACACCTTGTTTCACAATGATAATTTAGGAGTCACATCTTGTAACTAACTCTGAGGTTGACTTGCATGTGTTCCTCTTTCTAACCTAATATTATTTTTAAAAATATAGTTTATTGATTTTTTTTTTTACAGAGAGGAAGGGAGAGGGATAGAGAGTTAGAAACATCAATGAGAGAAAATCATCCATCAGCTGCCTCCTACACACCTCCCACTGGGGATGTGCCCACAACCCAGGTACATGCCCTTGACTGGAATCGAACCTGGGACCTTTCAGTCCGCAGACCGACACTTTATTAATTGAGCCAAACCAGTTAGGGCTAACCAAATATTCTTTCTAGAGGACATGGAACTCTGGGCCATACACTGTCTGAGAAGACAACTTAGGTTCTAGTCCTGTTTCTGTTGCTTGTGACCCACGTGATGTTAAGCAAGACATGTAACCTCTAAAACAGTCAGCGCTCTCATCTGTCACATGAGGAAATGATTGCCTAGCGCAGCACCTACCTCTGGTGATTTAAATGAGGAGATGCCCAACAGTCATAGCAAAGTCACGACCAAGAAGTCCTGGTAATTTAACTTGTTTTCAGACTAAAGAACCGCCACACCTGAGCTCATGAAACATCACAAAATACAAGTGTGTGTTGAGGGGGTAATTCTCAGACTCTCGTTCTCTTATTTCGAAAAGCAGCAATAAAATAAAGGGCGAAAGATGGAAGAGGGAAGGTGCATACGGCCCAGAGACCTGGCTCTTTACAGAGAGGACACTGAGGGAGGTCACCTTCATGTCCAAGTTCATTACTGCTCCCAGGGATGGGCCACACCGTAGTCCATGTGTTCCCGCTCAGAGCTGGATGCTCAGCCGCCTCCTGAGAGGTTCTGAAGGGTGTCTGCTAAGCAGGTTTGTCCCCCCCGCCCAAGAGGAACATTCACGGCTCACGTCCAGTACCTGCCGCAGCTTTCTCCACATAATGCAGCTCGTTGTAAAAGAGGGACACCTGCTGGTACTTCTCCTTGACGACATTGGATATGTAGTGCAGCAGTGTTTGCTTCCGGTCTGTCGACTTTGTGTCTAAAAGCTGGAGACAAAAGGGCGTGAGGGTCAGAGGGAAAGGCAGTGGGAGAGTTACCCATCGATGAAGGTCTCCCGGAGTCAGGGGCGGGGTACAGGTGCCCAGCACGGACAAACAACACTGCTGGGAGATTCCAGCCTGCATCTATTCCTGGATGAGCCAGCCCGCTGACTTTAAACGACGAGGGGACATCCTAACGACGGGACAGGCTCCACGTCAGGGATGCCTCTGGCACCGAGAACGGTCCCCACACCTGCACTCACGGGAGCTCCCCACCCCGCACCTCTCTGGCCTCAGAGCAGGAGGACTCCAGGCGGAGTGCTGCTTTCCCAGGTGGAGGCCCAGAGCAGAGGGCGTGGGGAGCCGACGGCTGTGCACAGGTTCGCCCTACACCACAGGGCTCCTACACGGCGGTCTTCAAGAGAAGGGTAGCTCAGCCCTTCTCTAGCTTCCCGGCCTCTCATGACCCACACCAGACGTGCCCAGCAGTCCACGACCTTCTAGGGGACAGCACTGTGACTAATGGGACACTGACTGTCAAGTAACCACATCCCCCCCCAGGCTGGGGACTCCGCTCCCGCCCCACCTCCGGGCGTGGAAGCCGAGTTAGCCCTGCACCATCTGTCTCCCCCACAGGCTGTGTCACACAGCATTTCCTCAGCTACTGTTTATATAAATCAGGTGGCTCTGAAAGCCAGGGCACCTGTTACATCCAGGGGGAGGGGAATTTTTTTAGAAAGGACAGAAAAGGTTAAAGAAGCAGTTTTTAAAAATGCCCCAATTCCGCCGAAACCAGTTTGGCTCAGTGGTAGAGCGTCGGTCTGCGGACTGAAAGGTCCCAAGTTCGATTCCGGTCAGGGGCATGTACATTGGTTGTGGGCACATCCCCGGTAGGGGGTGTGCAAGAGGCAGCTGGTCGGTGTTTCTCTCTCATCGACGTTTCTAGCTCTCTATCTCTCTCCCTTCCTCTCTGTAAAAATCAATAAAATATATTTAAAAAAAAAAAATGCCCCAATTCCATGCATCCTCTCTGTAAATACCTCAGCATACTTCTATTCAGGTTTTCCTACCTACTTCACTTAGTTGGAAACTACCTGTACATTCCATTTATACCCTGTGCTTTCTTTTCTCAACACAGGATCACCTACCCTGTTTCCCCGAAAATAAGACAGTGTCTTATATTAATTTTTGCTCCCAAAGATGCTCTAGATCTTATTTTCAGGGGATGTCTTATTTTTCCATGCGCTGGGTCTTATTTTCGGAGGATGTCTTATTTTCAGGGAAACACGGTACTTCTTTTAAAATTCTTCACAGGTATTCTAGCAGCTGAAGAAGTGTTCCCTGTATTAACTATGGCTATAGCATATTTAATTATTTCTCCAAATATTGGCTCTTTAATGATGTTGCTCATTATTTGCAATGATGAGTAAATACGGCATCCACCATTCGGACTCCTGAGGATGGATTCCTAGAGATGGAAACACTGGGTCAAAGGGTAGGAGTGTTTCCAAGGATCTAAGTGCCTGCTGGCAAACGCTGTCCCAGAACACGGGCACCGACTGGTCCTCCACCAGCCAAGCATCCTCAGCACAGCATCCCAGAATGTAATCTCTGCCTCCAGGATGTGATCTCTGCCAGCTGCTCTCTGCCTCAGAGAGCTCTTGCGTTTCTCAAGTCCACTCACCAGATCTAAACTCTGAAGCTTGAATCCATAAACTGCTCCTCGTTTACTGCTGTTCATGTAGTTCCCAAGGGCCAAGATGATCTGCAAACAAAAGCAAGATGAGAGACACCCATCAGCCCAGCTCCCAGGCAGAGGATGGGCTGTCAGCCCCTACCCCCAACTCCACCCACTGGCCAGACACCAAGGAAACGTCACTTGCCTCCAGAATTTTCTTGAGTTTTTGAGACGACTTTATAGAGACAGATGCTGCTATAATGGAGTGCAGTTGCTAGATTCCGGTCAAAGGAAGGAAGGGGAGGGAGGAAAAACAAAGACGTTAAAAATGGGGGGGGCTCTAATTGGAAATTGAGAGCTAACACAGAAGAAAACAGGCCTGCACTTAGACCTTAAAGCCTCCTTGCTGAGATTCTGTAAGTAAAAGTGAGTGCTCTGCCAGGTCTTAGGTAACCACATCATTCCGTGCGAGCTCTTCCCTCACATGATTTAACTGAGAAGTGATGTCAGAACCGGCTTGTCACAAACCTATGACCACGAGGCTCAGTCAGCAGCGCGTTCCAGCAGAGCTCAACTCCCGGCCCCCTCTCACCATGGGACACAGTTTGTATTTAAACCAACGGGGCTGCTCAGCGATGGAGACAAAACAGCCAAGGAGCAGAACCAGGCGCTCTCAGAAGGTGTTCGGACAGAAGGTATCCATACTCCTATAATCAGTTACCATCAAAAGCTTGTTGAGGCTCTAACTGGTTTGGCTCAGTGGACAGAGCATTGGCCTGCGGACTCAAGGGTCCCAGGTTCGATTCCGATCAAGGGCATGTACCTTGGTTGCGGGCATATACCCATTGGGGAGTGTGCAGAGGCAGCTGATCGATGTTTCTCTCTCATCGATGTTTCTAACTCTCTATCCCTCTCCCTTCCTCTCTGTAAAAAAGCAATAAAAATATGTATTATTTTTAAAAATCAATTTAAAAAAGTTTGTTTAGAAGCAGAACTGGGAAAGAACCTTCTAAGATATTTATGTTTGTGATATCACAGCCTCCGCCAAATCACCACAGAGGAGGGGAGATGGCTGGCTCTTCTCCCTGCATCCCCCCCAGTGCACTGCCGCCAGCTCCGAGGAAGCCGCTGCCCGTGATAATGTGAGGCTCCCAACGACAGCCAGTAAGCCTGTCCGTTAGGGAGCTGGGGTGGGTTTTGAAATGAAAGTCACACTTTCAGCTCTGCCACCCCAGCCAGAGAGCTGGTCTCTTCAGGAAGGGACGGAGGCTAAGGAAATGGTTTTTCCTTGTCCTCCGTATTGACCGGCACTTTAAAATCCAGAGGACACATATAGACGCAGACGATGGCATCCTCGAGAGAGAATGGCAAGACGTGGAAAATGTCACCATTTCACACAAATTCACTTGGCATGCACAAAATGGGAAAGATGGTCAAACTAAAAACGGAATCTAGAAAGTTCTGGGAAGGCGTGTTTAGAGCCCACAGCACGAAGCACAATCCGTGAGAGAGACTTCAACCAGCAAAAAGGACTCGGTACCTCTTGGGAACCCCTCCCCGGCCAGAGCCACGGCACTCACCGGCGTGAGCATCTGGATGCTCTCGGCGAAGTTGCCGATGAAGGCCATGATGGTCATCTTCTGCATGAGCCGCTCGATCTTGCTGAACTGCATCATGAAGCGGTCCTCGTCCGACAAGTTCTCCAGCGGCTTCCTCTCCCGCTCGTAGAGCCGGAGCACCTTCACCTCGTTCTCGGTCGGCAAGAACCGCATCAAGCACTCCACAAAGTCCACAGGCAGCGTCTTCAAGTCGAAGCTGAGGGCAGAGGGGGCAGGTCAGCGCTGGAGGGAAAACCCCCGCCCTTCCGCCCACACCCGCGTTGGGTCCGGCTCAGGAGCCACCACGTCAGAGCGTCACAGGGACCGACGGTGAAGAGGCCCCGTGGTGCTGGCTCCTGGCTGTGCGGCAAGCGCCTTCCCTGGTCCTTCCTGACAACCTGGACTCACACACCCCACACCGGTGTTTTAAGCCGTTACCAGAGCGCGAAGCCTCCAGAAATCAGCAGTAAATGACAGTGGGACGAGGCAGAGAAAGGCCGAGGTTAAGTCCTTTGAGGACGTGGATTTTTAGGCATGTTAAGTACTGCTAATTAGGAGATTATTATACACATGATTATAGAATATCTGGTGAACTCCAGCCGAAACCGGTTTGGTTCAGTGGTAGAGCATCGGTCTGTGGACTGAAAGGTCCCGGGTTCGATTCCGGTCAGGGGCATGTATGTTGGTTGCGGGCACATCCCCAGTAGGGGGCGTGCAAGAGGCAGCTGGTCGATGTTTCTTATCGATGTTTCTAGCTCTCTCTCTCTCTCTCTCCTTTCCTCTGTAAAAAAATCAATAAAATATATATATATTTTTTAAAAAGAATATCTGGTGAATTCTGTAAAATATTTAAATTAAACCAATAACTGAGAATGTATTCTCTTCTTTAGGAAAAAAAAAAATGGAACCAAATGCCAGTGCCATATGGATATTTTGGCTTAAGCGTATACATCCCTTGAAGGATTACCTAATCCTTGTGGATATATGCTCAATTTGAACAAAGTATCTGCTACAACCTCTAGATTGTTCTCCAGACAATCTTTGTTGGGCAAAATAATATAATTATATTAATCACCATGGCAAACAAGGCATATAATAATTAAAAATCAAAGTGTGTATCAGGTTCCAACCTCAGAAATCAGAACAGACTGGAGGAATGCACTATTAGATTATGACTCTGGCAGAGGACATAAAATTGAAACAGATGATTTCTTGGGGCCATTTACTGCAGAAGGAATCCCTGATCAAAATTTATGAAATGCCAATTTACAATGATTTAGTCCCTGAAACATCTAATAATATCCTTATCATATTTGAAAGTCATCATGACCATAAGAAGAGTAGAAAGATTTCTCTAAGAGAAAAATAAATAAAACCAATGCCTTCTCTGCTCTTCAAGGATAAAAATAAAACAAAAAAACAAAACAAAAAAAAAACCCACTCAACTTTGTTGAAAATGTCCTGAAAGCACTAAAAGCAACAGCAATCACATTCCTATTGTTATGAATTAAAAAAATATGCCTCCGTATCCTATGTGCATCTGGTGTTGAATGGATCGTTCCACAAATGCCATCACATTTGTATTCAACAAATCTGAGTAAAATTCAGATACTCAAGAGAAAACTGACATTTCTTCCTTTCCTTAGCATCTGCAAGACTCCACCCAACTTTCCTTTTATGGAAGCTTTGCTGTAGACCTACACGAGAGCCGACCAAGATAATTAATGTCACGATCCCGTTGTTCTTCCCAAACGATTATAATTACTCCTTGTAATACCACCCTCCCGGGGTAACGTCTGGCCCACCTCTTTTGTGTTAACATTTCATTAAGCTCTCCAGCTGCACAGATGTAACAACGGGATTCTCTGGTGTGTGGATATGAACAATTGCTCCATCTTTTACCTTAGGTCTTGCCTCACGCTTGAAATATTCCTGTCATCTACGAATTCATGACCTTCTTGTTTTACTGAAATAGAGTTCCCCAGAATGCCCTGAACTTACACGTGAATGGCTTTACAGATCTCGTCGGCGGTCTTTCCAGCTTTCCTTAAAGTGATGGCAAGGTTTTTGGCCCTATTTGCTTCCAGGAGCGTCACCTTGTTGGATCCCTTCTGCGTTATCTTCTGTTTGCTTGAGGAAAGATCAATGGCAGGACCCTGGGCTTTGGTCTTAAATATTTCCTCAAATTCATCCACATTTAAATCCTGGGGTAGAGAGGACAAATGAATTAAACTTAAAGATTAAGTTAGGAAGCCACCATTTAGAGTGTCAAAAAACTTACACAATGCCTGCCTTTGACCATGGTCTGCTCTATTTTCTGGTTTGTGCTCGAATGAGTTATACCACGTATGTAGACATGAGAGTTGAAAGTACATGACTGGTCCCAACCAGCCAATTCAAATGCCTTTCAATAATTAGCTTGCAGGGATGGCAACCACAGACTAAAACTACCCATCAAACCGGCTAGTGAGTATGATTATTAAGACCTCATTCACTTTAATTTAATAAAGAGTTTTATGCCCTTTATAAGTTAAGGGAAGACCTTGTGTCAGATATACATACATATATGCTCATATACACTGAGTGGCCAGATTATTATGCATTCAAGATCATAATAATCTGGCCACTCATGTGTGTGTGTGTATACATATTAGAGGCCCGATACATGAATTTGTGCATGGGTGGGGTCTGGCCAGCCTGGCCAAGATGAGGGGACATGGACAGTTGGCCAGCCTGCCTGCTGGTTGAACTCCTGGTCGAGGAGATAATTTGAGTATTAGCCTTTTATTATATAGGATATACACTGAGTGGTTAGATTATTATGAGTTCAGAGATCATAATAATCTGGCCACTCAGTGTGTACACACACACACACACACACACACACACATTTGGCATACCCTGAAGGGGTTCAAAACTATTTCATTTTAACATAACTTTTTAAACAAAGTTTTAAACCCACCTTATAAAATAGTTTGCAATTTTATTCTCTGACATCATATATCCTTTTTTTTTTTTTTCTTTTCTTTTCTTTCCATCAAAACCCTTAAAACACCAGCACTTTAATCACCAAGATGCCCAGGTTACCAACACACCCATTTTGGCTTTGCTGTACAGAGTAACCCTAGGACAGATACCTCCAGAATCCGCTCATCATCGATCTCATTGAAGACTGTGCCGTTGATCTGATTTGGCTTCAGGGCAACCCAGTTAAAGACTGGCATTCTGAATTTCGTCTTGATGGGCTTCTTAATTTTCACAGCTACAGAGGTCAGAGAGAAGGAAATTGTGATTCCACCGCAACCCCATTGGCCCTCCAGAGCACTCAGACAACAGTCCTCGCAGATGGCACGTTAACCCTGGAGGAAGGCTGGCAGGGGGCACCCGTGGCTGCGGCCAGAGCAGTCCGAGGCCGGCTGGCACCGCACTGTGTTCAAGTCGCCTAAGAGCCGGGGGCTGGCTGTCTTTTTAATGCGGGCAACTGGTTTGCTGCATCACGGTCACAATGTCTGGACAAGGCTTAAGGCAAATAAATACTGGGGAGCAAAAATGACCAGTCATGCATGCTATTAGACAGCGGAGAGGGCGCCTGCTCCGGGGACTGGGACTGAAACGGTGAGCCCCAGCGTCACTTCAACATCCTAAATCCCTGGCTCTAGAACACGCCTCTCCGAACGCATCTCAGAACATGACCAGAGACGACAGACAGTGTCTCTCTGAACCCCCAGGAATGGAGCGTCAGGAATGCTGACTTCCAGCCAGAGCAATGCATTCCTGCGGATGGTTTTAAAAATGGGGTTATATTGGCTGCCGAGTGACTTCAATAGACTCAGGGCCACGAGTGGCTGAACACAGAAAATGTGGCCCCAGGAGACAGAAGTGTACTTGGGACCAGGACTTGTACTGCTTTTTGAGAATGGCCCCCGGCCCTCCCCCTCGTGAAGAGCAAGTTCTCCCCAGGGCTCACTGCGTGGGACCAGAGGCATGGACGAACTCAGGCGAAACTCTGAAGACCTCTGGACAGAGAGGGAGGGCTCTATCTCTGAGGGGCCCAGGGAGCAACCCCAACTCCTCTTACTTTGGGGAAATGAGCTAAAAAGGCAATCCCTTAAAAATGCCATTTGCCTTAACTGGTTTGGCTCAGTGGATAGAGCATCAGCCTGCAGGCACAAGGGGTCCCAGGTTTGATTCCGGTCAGGGGTGTGTGCCTTGGTTGCAGGCATATCCCCAGTAGGGGGTGTGCAGGAGGCAGCTGGTCGATGTTTCTCTTTCATCGATGTTTCTCTCTCTCTCCCTTCCTCTCTGCAAAAAATCAATAAAACATATAATTTTTTAAAATGCCATTAGTTAATTCCACATCATAAATAAGTCCTCCCAAGACATATCTGCCTTCCTTAGTATGCCCTGGGACGCCCACCACGCTATTGGGGAGCTTTGCTCTTTGCCATCATTAGCAAGAAAAGGAGAACTTCAGTGCAAGGGGGAATAATGCAGCACACACCCGGGCTTTTACGGGGCGGCCTGCCTCAGTGGGAGGCAGACAGCGCCTCTCATTCCTCCAGAGTTACACGTGCGACACAATCCACAGCAGAATGTCATCCGTCACCGACACAAAGGCATGCAGGGACACAGAACACAGCTTTGCCACACCAGGCCTTCCCACTCCCAAGGGCGACACCTCCGCCCCGACTGCCCAGCAGTGCCGGGCTCCTCGCCACACTGCAGCCTTTGCCTATGCTGCCCGGGGACACCTGAGGCCTTCCTGGGACCCAGGAACAGCCCTTCCTCTGCACTGGGACTTGGGCGATGTTGAGGGGAAGGGCTGTGTGGGGAGCTGACCATAATCTTTGGTGAGAGGCCGGGGACACTTGGTTCCAGCATCCCTCCACAGGCACCGTGGCCTCTGGACACTCATTGCAAGTCACCCAACTGGCAGCCACCTTACTTGTTCGCTCATTAGTGAGATTAGTAATAACCTAAGACCAGAAGACAGGCAAATAAAGTCTTCAGGGCAGGCTGTTCTGACTCTGGGGAAGGGGGTATGATCCGAGGAGGAGCTCTGCAGGTGACTATGCATGAAGTTCTCAGGCGAAGGGGGTGGGCAGGTGCTCCAGGAGAGAGCCGGAGCCCAGGGAGGTGGCACCAGCAGCTCATCCTTGTTCTGTGGAGCTTTCTCTTTCCCCCCAGAACAGTGGTCAGTAAACTCATTAGTCAACAGAGCCAAATATCAAGAGTACCACGATTGAAATTTTTTCTGAGAGCTTTTTTAAATTTAATTTTTTAAACTTAAACTATATGGGTAGGTACACTATTAACTTAATTAGGGCACTCCTAAGCTGGCCTTTGCTTAAAATTCAAGGGGCCGGAGAGCCGCCTGTGGCTCTCAAGCTGCAGTTTGCTGACCACTGACCAAGAATAAGTCCAAAGTCTTTAGAGAGCTGAGGCCTTAGACCCAACTATGAAAATTAAACTAAAAGGAAAAACACTCCTTTCCTCGGGGAGAAAGGAATGTGGCACAGGACCCAGGATATCTGCTTGAGGACCATCTTCTCTCCTACAGGGTCAGCTGAAACCTGTGGGCAAGCCTGGGACGACAGTAAGCAACACCGAGATGTCCTGCAGACACAGAGTCAAAATGCAATGGGTCAGTGTAGGTGGAGTGGAAGGATGGAAGGCACGGTGTGACCAACAGGAGCACAACGCAAATACGCAGCACACTCAGTGAGCAGCAACCTACAGAAAAGCTTGATGGGCCCATCTTTTGTGGAAGCAGGAAGAACAAAGAAAATACAAATCACATTAGATACAGTTAGAGTCAAGCAGCTCAGCAGCTGACACGCTCTTCATGTAGAATCTCAGGCTTCTCGGACACACTTGGTGAGGCAGGCCAGAGCCAAAAATCCGTTTCCCTTCGGGCCTGCCTTGAAGACTCATTTATTTTGTTTTTTAAAAAACTAATCCTTTTTAGAAAAGGGGGGAAAAATGATTTCATTATAGCAGTCCCAAACAGCCATTTTCAACTGTGCTAAGTACTCCTAAAGATAAGGGAAATGTTTTCATGAAAAATAATCAGCCAGAGTCCACACCCTCACTGTGAAGTTCCAAAGCCCAATTCCAGCGCAGAAACAACACAGGGTGCAGACTGCCCAGCGCCCTGCAGCGCTGGCCTCACTAGGACTTGGGAGCCAGTCAATCGATCACAGATTTGAGGGAAGTAGACCTTAAGCTTCAAATGCACATTTCCCATCACTGTAATTTCCTCTATAAACTGCAAAGGAAACTTAACTAAATATAGGGGAGCCTTCTCCTGGTCCCCGTCTCGGCCACCAAGAGCATACTTGCTCATGGCCTGCTGGAGGGACAGACATCCTTTGGCCTGCAGATCCGGGGACCTCATGGTCACAGGTTTCTGGCTTCCCAAGAACCCTTGGCATGTTTGTCCCAGCTCTGTCTCTGGCTCTACCGGAACATCCTGTTTCTGTCTGGCCTCTTGGTTCCAGAGAGAGAAAAGCTACCGGACACCTCGGCAAAGCATCTCACAGCACGGCCTGCACCACGCAGTGTGTAGGGCTAGATGGAGGTTTAGTAACGAGAAAAGATGAAAGGCCTTGTAGAAACTGCCGGACTGCAAGCTACCTGCTACACGTAAGGTTCTCACAATCCTTACGTCTTGTGAAACAGAACACCCTGCGATTGTTTAGAGGACACAGGGCACTAAAGAGCAGTTTCTTCCACCCCACACTCAGTCCTCCAAACTGCAGGAGACACAGAGGGGACAGCTCCCCGGGGAACCAGCTCCGAAGGCAGCGGTGGGAAATCGGCTGAACAGAGAAGCAACTGGCCAGCACATTTTTAAAATTAAGCAGGAACAAAATCAACCATCGAGGACAAGTCCCGTTCAGAAGGGCCCTGGTCCCACATCTCAGCCTCCTGGCTCCTTCGCTCGGCAAGGCGGTCCTGAGACCTGGCCGAGCTCAGCTGGATGCCAGCAGAAGCTGCCAGAAAGGAAGCAGGACCGAAGGAGGGATACCGCAGCCAGCACATCTCACAGGGAGCGCGCGTAGGGCCACGCGGAATCGTAAGCCCAGCGCACACGACAAGTACGTGGAAAACAGCCTGCTGATGGGGCAGGTTCCCGGGTCAGGTGAAGGCTTTTTGGTTTGTTTACGTTCCGAAAGCCAACAGTTCCACGATGACACGCTTTCTGTGTTTGTCCCTCAGAGGCAATAACAGCTCTAAAGCAGTGGTTGTCAACCTTTCTCATGCCGAGACCCCCACCATAAAATTATTTTCGTTGCTACTTCATCGCTAATGTTGCTACTGTTAACGAATCGTCATGTAAATATCTGTGTTTCCCGATGGTCTTAGGCTCCACAGAAGCGGTTCTTAACCTGTGGGTTGCAACCCACAGGTAGCAAAATGAAAAAGAAAAAAAAAAAAAAAAAGAAAAAGTAGGGGCATTAGAAAGATCAAGAACCACTGCTCTAGAGGGAAGTGGTAGTTTGGGATGACCTTGAAGGGTTAAGGTGAGTCCCTGGTTTCCTGAGAACGTTCCTTTATTTGTTGCTTGGACAGTTTGGTAGGAGGTGGGGTGTGGAACCAGTTTGCTGTGGGCGGCGTTCTGTGACTAGGATGAGTTAGCACCACTGGGGACGCTGTGGTGAGACACGCTAAGGGACACAGGCGGGGAAGTCCTTGGCAGCTGCCGTCTTTTAGAACTGCCGCAAAAAAGCTGTGAGCACGCCTGCAGCCTTGGAAATGGGAAAACATAAAGACAGCAGCAGCTCCTAGGCAAAAATGAGACCTCGCCGAGGGACTAAGTGGATGAGGAGGCGGGATCATCTGATGTCACGGGGAGGGCACCGCGAAGCTCAGAGCAACTCCCCGCGCCAGGAAGACATGCCGTGGTCGGGAGAGCGGCGTGCAGTGCTTTAGAGAGGAGTCAACACGCATTTCCGAGTCAAAGATGAACACCCATTTCGAGGCATTAGAGCAACTGTCTTCCTCTCGCCCACACCCCCTGCCTTACTGCTGGCGGGTGCGGCCTCCGCATTGGGTCCAGCTCGGCAGGAAGACGAGGTGCACCATCAGGAAGCATTTCAGGGCATCCTAATGCGGCTGCTGGCAACGTTCCCCCTGAAAGCGTCCCTGCACCTCAGTGAGTCCTGATGCCCTCCGATACTCAGAAAGCCTGCAAGCCTGCGTCAGGCAGTTACACAAAAAGGCTCAGCCCCCTCCCACACACCCCTCCTCGTTTTAGGGGACATTGCAGATACCTTCGAGATAGAAGAGCCGCAGGCACCAGGGCAGTCTGCCAGAGCTTTGACTACGACAGACGTCCAGACGTGTTTGCTGGACCCGTGAAAACGCACGCATCCCAAGAAGGTAGTAACCTGTCTCTCCCTCCCCTGGAGGGTGCTGAGACTGTGGGAGCAGGACCTCCCGCCCATGGGAGAGTGACAAACCTACTGAGAGGGGGCGGCCCCCTGAGCGTGACCATCTCCCCGGCGCCTTAGCAGGATGTTCTATCCAGAGGGGAGAGACGTGACAATTCAAGGGGCTTGGAGCTCAAAGAACGGCTTGGACCCTCGGAAGAACAATGAGTATCCTGACACGGGTACACCAGGGTCTTATTCCCTGCTCTTACCTGCTAATCCTGAGTTGAAAACCACCGTGGGTGAAGACATCCCGGGCAGCGGGGGTGCAGAAGGAGGAAGGGGTGGCGGTAGAGGCGGCGCTGGCACAGTCTCCGAGGCGGGACCCGGCAGAGGCGGCGGAGGGGGTGGGGGAGGCGGGGGTGGGGGAGGCGGGGGCGGGGGCATAGGTGGTGTCACCGGACCGTTTTGCACTGGCAAAAGAAAAGAAACAAACGGACTTAGAAACCAGGGGGATGGGTTTGGCTCAATGGATAGAGCGTCGGCTTGGGGACTGAAGGGACCCGGGTTCGATTCCGGTCAAGGGCATGTACCTTGGTTGCGGGCATATCCCCGGTAGGGGGTGTGCAAGAGGCAGCTGATCGATGACTCACTCTCATCGATGTTTCTAGCTCTCTATCTCTCTCCCTTCCTCTCTGTACAAAATCAATAAAATAAAAAAATTAAAAAAAAAAGAAACCAGGGGAATGGTTTTTCCTGCCACAGGCCACGTGCACACAAAGGACATCCGTGGAGCAGCGAGTCAACGAAAGAAGAACAAATACCCCAATACCACACCGCCTTCTCCCGCCCAGGCCTCTTACCGGCTTCAGGCGCATCTGACACCAGAGGTAGAGGTGGGGGAGGGGGCAAGGGCCCCGAGGCGGCGGCCCCCGTTACTGGTCCCCCCGCGGCGTCCGAGCCCCCAGACAGTGTGCCGGGAGCCACGACCGGCAGGATGGCGATGTCCCCGTCCCCCTTCTTCTGAATCTTAATGGTCCCTTGTTTTTCCAGTTCATGGATCCTTTTCTCCAGGGTCGACTGTCTCTGAATGGCTTCTTCTTTCTCTTTGACCATTTTCCTTAACGTGTGAACCTGGGTATTTGCATCTTTGTAGATTTCCTGCAAAAGAGTCCACGGTCAAGAGTCTGGCTTCACAGGGCATGCTTGCCTCTCGCCACCAGATTGGCAAACTGAGGACAAAGAAAACAGCCGAAAGGGGGGGGGGGGGGGGGAAGGAAAGAAAAGAAAGGAGGATACTGGGATAGAGGAATTCTATAAAACTCAGCCAGAACCTATAAAGTTCCATTCGTTATCGTTGGCTCACTGGCAATGCATGCGCTATGTGTTAGCAATTCTTGTTGCTAACGTGGTTCTTCCCATGCGTTAATGCTTGACTGTCCCAGCAGGGGGAGAGGCACAGAGCCGAGATGGCCCAGCCATGACTTCAGAGGTGACTTTGGGATATCCCGTGGGTATTCTGGTGGCTTCTCATGATTTTCTTTCACTTACTTTAAAACTCATTCTGACTCTGGCAGTAGCCAAAGGGGCCCTACCTTAGCCTTGGACAGAAGTCCAAGTGGATTAAAAACCTGCAAGGTGTGGAATAACTGGCTGAAGGGTGGCCAGAGGCCGGCTGGCCCTGAACGGCCTCCCCAGCCTTCACCATGCCCCCGGCCGAGTGCAGGACAGCCATTGCTGCTACGTTTTCCGTTCGGTCAACAAAACCGGCCAGTGCTCCCCTCCACTGAGGACTTGTTTCTGTCTAGATTTTTAGCAGGAAATGAAGAAGTTACCGTTTCAACTCAAAGGCTGTCCCGCTTCCTTTTATCAGGGGCTTCCAGGGGCTCCCCGGGAGAGGATGCGAGGGCACTGCTCGCCGGGCCTTGTACCCGGGACCTCTCACCACAGCCTCCGGCAGGCAGGGGAGCATTCTTCACACCCTGCCATTATTAATAACTGAGAGCCTACCCTTGAATCGAGTCCATATGCTCCAACTCCGTCGCGATGGCATGCCAGAAAATAAATTTCCTAGAGTTAACTCCAGGACATGTCAGACTATCCAGCAACGCACACAGACATGATAAGAATCGCATAAAACGTGCCGTTTCATTAACGGCGGTGCGTAAAGGCGAGCCGTTTGCCCGAAGGCCCTCCAGGCGTCTCGGCGGTTTTATGTTCCCTGCGATTCTAAACACACGAGTGGGGCTCCATAAATACCTGCCATGGGAGGTAAAACAATGCCAGCGCCAAATAAAACAGCTGTGCTTATCTGATAATAAAATGGATTGGTTTTGCTTTGACTTTTTTCCCTTCCTTTTTTTTTTTTTTTTTTGGTGAACGCCATTAGGTCTCGCCTTGTGTGGTGATGTCACCATTTCCATGGCAACCACCAAATCTGGTTTCAAGTAGAAGCAAAGCAGAGCAACAAGGAAACCCAAGTTCTATTAGACATAATGAGTAGCATGAATTAAACCCATGCTGTGCTTTTATGGCTAACCAAATGAGTGGTCCGCACAGTCAACTCCGACTCCGTCCAGATGGGAAAATACTGTTGCTCCTGAAACCCGTGACGAGGACATAGTGCCCGGAGCGTGTGATTGCACACGCACGTGTACAGCCCACAACTGTGCCCGTTCCTTCGGAGGATCGCCTCGGAAACAGTCCCCACAGACAGGATGCCCAGGGCACTCCTCTGACAGGAACGCTGGGCCAGGCGAGGGCCGGAGTGCCCTCCCGGGGGCCCATGGGCCGCGTCACCTTCACACTCACTCGAACCACATCCAGCTCCTTGTTCCTCTGCATGAGCTGCTTCTCCAGCTCCACGATCTTGGACATGGCTTCGTTCTCCGTGTCTTGCAGCTTCTCAGACAACTGTAAGGTGCGAAAGGGAGGCTGCGTCACAACCCGGGGCCACTGGGACCAGCTCCTGGGCCCTCAGCAAGGGGAGCAGCGCAGAGGCCGGAAGGGGCCCATCGCAGCCCTGGGAGTGTTCCACAGGCCGTTTTATGGAAATGTTAACTTTATGGCATGGCTCTGACTGCATTTTGTTTTCAATGGGAGTTAATTGATACACAGTCCTCAATAAAACCCATACGTGAGCTCTGGCACGTCTCTCTCCGTTTCTGCAGGGGCTGGAGGAGGGCGGCGGAGGGAGGAGGAAGCCCACTGTTCCTTCCCCAAGAAGGGCCCTTGGGCAAAAGGTTTTGAAAACTGTTGATCCAGAGAACTTGGCTGTGTTAGTATAGGTAACCAGCTGAAAAAATACAACTGCTTGTTTGGGCCTAAACTACCCAAATATTAAACGTCACTCTGGAGGGGCCGTTCACACCCACAGGGGGCCGGCCTCCTACGAAAGCGGGTTATAGACGCCTGGTCACGCAATGCTGGCCAAGGCCTCCAGAGCAAGACCGGGTGAGCCGTGGGTCAGACAGGTCCTCTCCACATGAGGCTCTAGAACTAAGCGGCCTCGCACTCCTTTCCTCTCCCTGACAACCATCACAAGGGAGGGAAATCAGGGAGGCAGGCGGAAGGGAAGAGGGGAGACTTACACTGATCTAGACACCGTTCGAGTCTCGTAAGGGAAGAAGCACTAAGCCCATAACTGCTCTTCCCAAGCAGGAGGCTACCAAGCAACTTGGCTCAACCACAGCCACGCGGATGCACATGTGCAGAGTGACAGGAAAAGGTGACGGACACTAAACACATGTAAATAGGAACGAGGAGGACGTGGAGGGAGAGAAATGTTCAAAGGGGAAAATAACTGTCCTCCAAAAGAGACGATTCATTTCACAATCTCAGGGACACTGTCAGACCAGCAGAAGATCCGGGTTCTCCCAAGGCCTGGGTTTTTAAGCAGCACCGTTTTTCCGTCCATTCTTGCTATATTACAGGATCGGCTGCTGGATGAACCAGTGAATAACCGCTCATTCCCCTGGGTTGGCAGCGAGAAAACCCCCTGAATGGAAAAGGAGTCCCAGCCCTGACAGAGAGCACACATCACACTAAGAGGACACGCCGCTGGAAGAGCAGGACCTGGGGACGGCGCACCGGTGCCCCTGAAAAGGTTCATCGCTGAAGTGAATCCACAAGGCAGGAATGTGCACACAGGCACAGGAAGCCACCAGACGCCCTGTCCACGGGCTCGTGTGGACACATTTGGCAGAAGGTGACTCATATTCAGAAGAAGAAATGTATTCCCCTCTGGCCAAATGCACGTCTGAGTTGCACTTCCCTCTGGGTCATGCTTATCACGGAACTCTCCTGTGCCAACAACAGCGTGGCCAGGGACTGTGGACTCGGCAGGCACTGGGCAGGTGCGCTAAGTCAAGGCCAGGATCCCACAGAGCGTGAAGTAATGCTCCCGCCTTCCTGAGAGAACCCCGAGTGGCCTCTGACGGCCCTCTAGCTCATCCCTATGCTCCACGCCCTGTCATTCTCGGCCACCAAGCGGACACTTATTCTGTTCTGCACCCCTCGAAACACAAGCCTGTTTTCCTTTTCTGGGAAGTAGTTACATGAGAGAGGTTTTCTTCCAGCTCCTCCACCCTTTCCAAGGCTGCATTCTTGGTCTCCGCGTCCTCCAGCAGGGCCCCCACGTCGAACACGTTGTCCAGGTACGCCTGGATCTGCACCTGCAGCTTGTCGCTCTCCGTGTGTTTCAGCTTCTACACATCAAATGGCAAGAGAAGGGGGTGTTAGCCTATCGGTGAAGACAGAATGCAATTACCCAACAGCATATGCAGTTTTGTTTGTTCCACATAGTCTAGTCCAGTGGTCGGCAAACTCATTAGTCAACAGAGCCAAATGTCAACAGTACAACGATTGAAATGTCTTTTGAGGGCCAAATTTTTTAAACTTACACTTCTTCTAACGCCACTTCTTCAAAATAGACTCGCACGGGCCGTGGTATTTTGTGGAAGAGCCATACTCAAGGGGCCAAAAAGCCAAATGTGGCTCACGTGCTGCAGTTTGCCGACCACGGGTCTAGCGTGTTCTAGGATAGGGTTTGATAGATCCTCCTCCTTAAGAGAATTTAAGGGGTGACCATCCCAGAGGGTACCATCAGCTTGCTTTCTGGGGAAGACATCTTCCAAATACACTCATTTCCCCAATCCTTCCTGTGGGTATATTCCCCATACGGGTATATTCCAACCTAAAACCTTCTGATGCAGGTGAATTCAGAAAAATTAAAAACAACTTTGAATGGGAACGAGAGTCACGGGGAACATAAAACCTGAGAGGTATCTGTGTGGAAAAAGAGATAGGAGTGGCTGGTAACTGGCCTGGGTAATGATGGTAGCTCTAATTGGAGGTAGGGTTGTGGGACAGTGGAGCAGGCACTGATTGAATATATTGGCCTGGGAGCTTATTTTAACACAAATTGCTTCATTACTTCCCTATGACACTGCCGCCCATCAGGAGCTCAGGGTTCCCGAAGCACAGGTCAGGAAGCTCCCTCCCCCAATTCTTTGTATTCCAGGCCAGGCATTCCAGAGGAAGAGATCCAAGTCTATGGTCAAGTTAGAGGTCAAGTAAACCAGGACTCTTCCTTAGAAGTAATGTAAGGCCTGGCTTTCCCCGGGGAGCAGAGGAGTAGCTGGAATAATATCTGGCACATGGATGGTGTCCATAGACATGTACTGAACAAATCAATGGCTCCTTAGCAAGGCTGGTTTCAGTAAACCAGGGAAGCATTTATACATTATATGCTTATCCTCTTCTACTTCGAACCACTTCTATTTACCAGGGTCCAGAAGCGACAGAGCAGGAAGTTAGAGAAATAGAGTGTTTTCAAAAAAGTCTTAAAATTTTCCGAGGAATCCTACTCCACCTAAACCCCCAGGAAAGCAGGCTTTCTCCCCGGTCGGAGCCGGCCTTCTACCCGTAAGTGTGTGGGAAGAGAGCACGCTCCATCTCGGCTGGGGAGTCAGAACTGAAAAAGATTTTTTTTTAAATATATATATATATTTTTTATTGATTTTGTACAGAGAGGAAGGGAGAGAGAGAGAGAGTTAGAAACATCGATGAGAGAGAGTCATCGATCAGTTGCCTCCTGCACACCCCCTACCGGGGATATGCCCGCAACCAAGGTACATGCCCTTAACTGGAATCGAACCCGGGTCCCTTCAGTCCCCAAGCCGACGCTCTATCCATTGAGCTAAACCGGTTTTGGCTGAAAAAAAATTTAAACAAGGGTGGAGTCTAGGAAAGAAGCTGGAGAAGGTCAGCGGGGTTTTTCTCAGATTTCACAATGAACCACAGGTGCTGACACGTTACTACCTGCCACTGTCTCCCGGAGCCTAGAGTGAGCTCTGCGTGGCCATCACAAGACTGAGCCCAGAGCAGCGTTATGGAGTTCTACGCCCAGGTTCTGTCCTAATACTGCTTCTCTCAGAGCATGTGCGGCAAGACAGACACACCACGCTCTCAAAGTACCCTTCAGAACATTATCCTATCTGAGATACTAGTGGGTCTTTAAATAGGAAAACAATTCAAAGCCATTCTTCAGTAGAAACGGATCATGCCTCTCTCTGAGGAGTCTGAGACAACATTAGGCGAGTCTCCCTGGTCGGATGAGCAAGGCCATAAGCTGCAGGGTAACCGATTCTGTGACTCCGCCTGCAATACACTGAGGGTACAGATGTGTGATTCCCTGGCTCCACTCCTAAGGACGATGGGCAGCTGGGCTCCGAGCGGAGGACTCTTGTCTTCTTCAAAACTAGAAACAGCCTTGAAATTGAGGCCAACCATTCCTGCCCAACCACTAGTATCTCCCAAGTGCAAACGGACCATTCTTATCTAGAATGGAAAACCTAACTGCCAACGAGTCCAAGGAAAGGGTATATTCTGTGCACAGAGAGCTACTCGACTCCATTGACAATTTTCACATCAACTTTCTGAAGGGCTTCAGGGAACTGGCTGAGCACTTCTGCAAGGGAGCATGAGAAAGAGAAACTTTAGACCCTCTTGAACCAAGAATTAAAAGTAGAACTTCTAAAGCCACAAACATTTTCAGAATTTAACAACTACACAAGGAAGGAAGTCTCTAGTGTTCATTTCTCTCCCTCCCTCCCCCCACCCCCCCCTCTCTCTTTCTCTCTCATATGCTCTAAGGAATTCATCATCACTCTACAGCAGTCTGGGTTTGACCTTCCCTGCACAAGGTTCCCCAGAGTAACCAAGAATGTGAATTGCCCCACAGCCTGCCCAAATGAGGGGTGCAGTGAAACTTTGGGCCCAGACAGAGCTCCAAAGCAGAGGAAAGCTGCAGCAAGGCTACGAGAGAGGTTCTCTGCCTCTGGTTCTAAAAGACTGTGGGCAGAAGGCAGCGGAGGGCCCAGGAGGCCTGCAAGAAGCCAGTGTCTCTGGCAGACTGCATCTCCCAGGTGGCTTCCTTTTACCTCGCAGTACAGTTAGTGGGCGGCACAGAGCTGCAAGTGTTCTTTAGCCACCGCGGAAGTGTATCTGTGAGGGTAGGCAACAAACTAGAGCCAAAGCTTTCATCTATACTTACATCCAAGTATTCGTCCAGGCCTAACTTGGTGAATTCATACTGGAGGTGAACTCTGAAATTCATATCTTCTACTGAATGGACTACAATATTAATAAACTGCATAGAGGCCACCTGAAATGAAATCGCCAACAGGTTAGGTAGGGTTCCAAGCTTGTTTTCTCATTTCAATCATAAAATATGCTTTTAATTGCACACATCAAAGCTCACTTACCAATTTCCCTTTTTATCCATTTTATTGGGACTTGAAAAATATTTTATATTTCTAAAAAATTCAAAAGCCATTACATACCACTTCACATCCACTAGGATGGCTATAACCACAAAGATAATAACAAGTGTTGACAAGGATGTGGAACAGGTAAAACCCTTATTCACAGCTGGGGGTGGGGGTGTAAAATAGCGTAGCCGCCGTGAAAAGTGTGATAGTGCCTAAAACTGTTAAACACGGAGCTTCCGTGTGACCCAGCAATCTCATTCTTGGGTAAATATACCCAAGAGAAAAGGAAATACACGTCCACGTAAACACTTGTACACAAATGTTCATAGTAATCAAAACGTGTGTATGTGAAACAAGGTCCATCAACTGATGGATTAAAAAATATGTGATGTGGCCATACAACAGGATATTATGCAATAATAAAAAGGAATGAGGCACTGAAATGTGCTACAACGTGGGTGAACTTGAACTCAGTATAAGTGAAAGTCACAAAGGATGACATGTATTATAATTCCATTCATATGAAGTATCCAGAATAGGCAACTCCACAGAGACAGGAAGTAGGCTAGAAGCTGCTTAGGACTGCGCGTGGGGAAATGGGTAGTCACTGTGGATGGGTGTGAGGATTCTTTTGGGAGTGACAAAATTTTCTAAATTAGACTGCACTAAAAATGTGTTGACTTGTACAGTTTAGATGGGTAAATTGGATAGTATGTTCATTATACCTCAGTAAAGGCATTATTAAAAAGTCTTATAGGTATACAGAATAAACTATGAACATTATTACAGCTATATTGTAGAAAATGTGAAAGTTGTTACAAAGAAAAGCATTCAAATCTCATATAATCACAGGTGATTTATTGTCATCACTTCTGAAACCTCACCGTGGGCCCCATCACCCCAACAGGATCATCACAAGATCCCTGACCCATCTTTCCACTTTGAACAAGGAACGGGGTTCCATCCATAGAAGGCTTGGGTTCACTGCTTTCTGCCCACAACGGCGTCAGTGGCCCTGAGACCAGCCACAGAGAGAAACCAGTCCCCAGTTTGGTAAAAACGGCATCGAGTTCAACAGAGCTATTTTGCTTTTAATAGTGACAGTCAGTTTATTTATGGTGGAAATATCCCACTAATGCTTCCCTCCATAGTTAAACCTGCGAGGAGGTAAGATGATTATGGAAGCCAGATCCACGCTTTCTCTGAAAACCACCTCACTCTTCCTCTCTCCCCAAAACCTCATTTTCTTTCTCTTTTCAAAATTATTTTTTGACCCATTAGATTCTTCTTGGAGTAATGCATTGGATATCTGCTCTAGGTGACAAGGAGACACTATGGCAATTAATTAAAAAGTGACTTCAGGAGCAGTGGGTAAATGAGCTAAAGAAGATTTGCTTTTTTTGTTTTGTTTTGTTTTGTTTTGTTTTGTTTTGTTTTGTTTTGGGAGGTTAGGCCCCTTAATTGCAGTTTATGAAAAGCCTTATTTTCTGGAGAAAAAATACTTGGCATCTTTCCACTTCTCTTCTGAAAGCAGGTCTAAATGATCTGTTGAGTTTTACGACATGCCTGAGAGGCAACCGCCTGTGAGGTGAAGCATGCATCGAGCACATAGCACCCATTTACCAGCAGCCTCCATATAAGGTTCCTAGATGCATGGGCAAGTGAATGAATGTGCTCACAGGAAACATGCTCTCCTTTGTAAACACTGCAGGTGTTTTAGAGGACTTACAGTAATTTTAGCAGAAACTCAAAAGGCAGAGAGATCCTGTACATAGGAGCCACATGTAAAAGAACAGGCAATGGTGTGGAGAACTGGAACAGAAAACCTCTATAAAAGATTCCATCTTTCTCACTGATTTTGGAAGAGGCTGAGGGCCATGATGTATATTCAATTTAAGGAGACAGAAAAAAATTTATACATAAAAGGGCTAGCAATCCGTAAAGCTATGTTTCATATTTTACACTCACTGAAGCAATTCCAAAGAAAACCCTGCCTGGCGTCCGAGCACAGGCTCAGGAGACTCGATGGTGTCGGGCCTGACTGGGATGTGTGCTCCGGGCTGGCAGGGACCTGGGAGAACTAGGGTTCGGCAGCTCCCTGCAGCTCCTGGAACAGGTCAAAGAAGGCCTGCCAATCTGGGTGCCCTCCAGAGGAAGCTGACTCAGGAAATTCTCTAGTGGAGTCCACCTTCAGTCCAGGATTGGGCCTTAAGCATATGGATTCTGAAGTGCTCAAACTCCTCTTACTCTTAGTTCTGCAAGATGACAGCCTGCTGAGCTCCACGCTGTTGCATGGGATTTTCCCGTAAGTGGATCTGCAGTGTGGGTATGCACTCACAGAATTACCAAAGCAGGAAAGAGATTGAGAGGGGGAAGGGAGGGGGCGGAGAGGGAGAATCACAGCTGTACAATAATGTGGGGGATATATACAGTCAATTCCACAAACCAAAGCACTTCAGTCTTGGGGATTTTGTCTAGAGAAGGGCTCAGGTGTACAGAAGGCAAAATGATCCGATTCTTGCTTCTGCCCTAAGGATTCCCATGCGGCACCACTGACAGTGACATTAAGAGGCTGCAGCATATGCACCGTGCACGTTACCTCCCTTTACCCAGGTGCATGCTTCACGCTTTATCTGCTGTAAATAACCAGTACGTTCGGCTCGTACTATAGAGTGTACGGAAGGAATAAAACTAAAAACACTGCCATCCAGGGGAAAAATACAGAGTAAGAGGGACAGTCTAGATTGGATCTGTGGCATATTATGCTCAATTTCCTATTCTGTGTAACATACTCATACATATGGATGTATACTACATATAAATATCAATGGGTTTAGGGCTAAGTGCTGAAATTGAGTTTGTTTTTTTTGCATGTAGTACAAAAATAGCTCACCATAAAATCGATGTTATTGTCTTCATTCCTGAAATGTTCCATCAACTTCTCAAAGCGCTGCTTTTCTCCACAAACCTGAAAACACACATTTTCATCATGCATATGAAATTCCAAACATAAGCATCCCAAAATCAGATGCAGAAATTTTAGCATTAATAATCATTTCCAGAATACCTATTTTTTTTCCCTCTCTCACACTCTATTTACTTTTCTTCCACGTCAGTTAACTCACAAATAGCAACCTGAGCCAGGACCCTCGCTGATCCTAGGTTTCCTTTGCAAGTTCTCGTGATACTCTGAAGTCCATATCAAATGTGTTCTTTCCTGGGTTATCTTTGCATGACCCACCAACTTTTTTTTTTTTTTAATACATTTTATTGATTTTTCACAGAGAGGAAGAGAGAGGGATAGAGAGTTAGAAACATCGATCAGCTGCCTCTTGCATACCCCCTACTGAGGATGTGCCAGCAACCAAGGTACATGCCCTTGACCGGAATCGAACCTGGGACCTTTCAGTCCACAGGTTGACACTCTATCCACGGAGCCAAACCAGTTTCAGCCCCACCAACTTTTTTATCCTGCATTCAGGATACCTGAATGTTGTTTATGCTAATTTTCAAAAAAAACACCAGGGTTCTCCTTTTTATAGAAATACCAGGACCACACATGCTAAGAGATCTTAAAAATTTTGTATTTAAAAATTCCTTGAAAAACAAATTGAAATTTTTTATATCATGTCTAATCCAATTAAGTAATTTTAGTGCATAAGCTACAATACTGAGAGGTCGCTGTTTTAATTCATGGTCAAGGCACAGATTCACCCCCCACGAGGCCTGATCAGTGTTTCTCTCATCCATATCCCTCTCATCCATGTTCTCTCCCTCTCCCTCTCCTTTCCTATCTCTCTAAAATCAATAAAAACACATTTCAGGAAGAGATTATTGAGAAAAACATCCTCATGGTTGTTGGACCAGCATTTCAGAAACAGTAGCTTATACAATATTAGACCAGCTCAGCAATTTTCAACAGGTGTGCTGCAAGAATTTTTAAAACATGCAATACCTAACTATTTAATCAAGGGCACTGACCTCTTTTCCCTTAAGTTGTCAAATAAAAATAAAAACGGCAATAGCTAACACGATAGCCATCTGTGTGAATGGATCTAATTGTACTCCCCCCCCCCCCATTTTTTGGTGAGATTAGCTATATATATATATATATATATATATATATATATATATATATATATATATATTTTTTTTTTTTTTTTAATTTTTTTTTTGAGTGCTGACGAATTTTAGTAATTAGTTAATGTGTGCCAGAGAAAAGGTTGAAAATTACTGGACTAGCTGATTAAATCCTGAGCCCTAACTACCAGTTGTAAACTGGAGAGCTGGATCATTAACTCTCCAATTCACTCAACCTTGAATTTAACAACACACATAAAGAAACAATTACTATAACTGGGGATTATAGGAAAGGAGCAGGGATTGGTCCACGACCCTGCACAGCTACAGGAATAAGGTAATTCCCAAGTAGTCGGGAATTGTGTCTGGAATGATAGAGGGCTGAGAAAAGCACATGTGGGTACCAACAAAATACACCCCTGGTAGCCTGTGGACAAGAAGAGATGGCATCAAACCCAGAACAAGCAATGTTAGGTCAATTGCACGCTGGGTAAAGATCCCCAAAATCATTGTCCTGGTAGGCAGGACTGAAAAAGACATTAGAAAGAGCTTTGAGTATATATATATATATATATATATATATATATATATATATATATGTATGTGTGTGTATATATATATATATATATATACACACACACACACACACACATTTCTTTAGAAATCATTCATTCTGTCAACAGACAAATGCATGCTGAGAACATGTGTTATGAAACAGAAATACCTTTAATCTTTACACACACACACCCTTGAGCAATCATTAAATAGGTTCATACTCTGATCGTGGGGAAGGAGACGGGGCGGGGACCAGAAGGCATGCTTGCTGCTTGGGAAAAGTCATGTTCTAATTTACAGCTGCTATGAACATGATGAAAAGAACCCAAATGCACAAAACAACATTTGCCAACAGAGATCCCAGCCTCAGGAAACCTTGACAGAGGACCTGACTGACCACTTTCTGTGCCCGCTGTAAGAACCAGAAGGGCCCCTTCGCTCTGCTCCATCCAGCCCTGCCTGTCAAGGCCTGCTCACTGCACTGCTGCCAATCTCTGCCAATGGATTCGGGGTGGCGTCTCTGACCCTGTGCCAGGGGGACAGCCGACCAGAAGCCCCTCAGCCCTGCTGATGGAGAGGAAGCGTGCACACCAGATCCACATTTGTTTCTATGCCCCGTGAGCAATCATTAAATAGGTGTACACTCCGATCATGAGGGAAGGAGACGGGGGACGGGGACCAGGAGGCATGCTTGCTGCTTGGGAAAAGGTTGGGAAAAGTCATGTGCACAACAGAGGAATGTCGTCGTGGCTCAGAGATCACATCTGGACCTCCCCACACACACACTGCAAACAGGACCGGCACGGCCGGACGTGCTGCTTCCCCCTTGGCAACTGGCCTCGTTTCAGAAGTCGGTGAGGATGAAAGGAACGAGACCACTGACTGTCAGTGATTTCCAGAACCCACACACTGGGGATGGACTTAGGCCTTCGGCAAAAGGACATCCGAGCCGAAGCACGTCTGCACGTACATTTATTGCATGTTATAGTTTGCTGCGTTTCATGTCCATCTGCCAACCAAGGCCACACAATAGATGATCTGAAAACTTTTCTTAAGTGAAAAGAAAATTGTACTATGGCAACTGAAACCTGTCATTTCTCAGCTTTTATATTCACTGGTATCTCCCAATCCCCCACTAACATTGACACTGATCTCCTGTACAAATACGGGGTAGCCCCTGCAGGAGCTGGGAAGGCAGTGACCGGAAGCGAAGTGGCCACAGGAAGGGGGGGGTAGGTAGCAGACAGAAGAGGAGCCCTGATGGGCACTGGCCACTCCATCGGGAGTGAGACTTCCACTCCAGCAGCCAGGGCCACCAGAAATGCAGTCAACCAGCAGAAAAATAAAAGTAGAATCCCTGGAGAAGCAGCTACTCTACTGTAAAAATATGTCTACTGCTGGGGAATGCCCAGCCCTCGGGCTGTATAAGGCCCACAAAGTCATTTAGTCTGTCCCTGCCAAGTCATTAGGGGTGAGTTAATGAAATGTTTGACCAAAATAGAGCAGGCGAATTTTTAAGTGGATAGTTTTGTATGGTCCAAGAATGATGTTATAAATACCCAAATGGCCCTGGGCAGAGAAAAGGGTCCCTACTCCTGGTGTGAAGTGACAATGCTCAGGCTGGGACGCCGGAGCAGACCTCAGGTGGCTGGCACAACGACCACCCCCCACGCCCTGGGGGGTCCTAATAAATACAGCTGGGCCTCTTTGCACGTGAAGCTCTAACATTGATGGGGTGAGAGGAGACGAGAGCAGAACTGGAACGACGTGGAGTATTAAACGGGGACCACAAAACCTGGATCTAAGTTGCAGCTCTGCCACTGCCCCTCAGCAATCTGGGGTGACTCAGGGAACCTCCCTGGACTTTGGGTTTAACATCCGTGGATCTGAGAGCCTGGGATCACACCCGTGGTGTTCATGGCGTTCTGGGAAGCCTTGAGGGTCACAGAAGAATACTCGGGAAACTCCCGGAATGGGGGCTTGGCCGGGAGAGAAAAAGCACAAATGAGAGAGGTTCTCAGGATTCAGGATTCGTATCCTCACGTTTCCAGCTCTGCTTGGTTACACGAGTTTCCTGGTAAGATTTCTTTTGGAAAAAGAGTTTCATTGAAGGTTTCCATTGCTAATAAAAATCCTCTCACTCTATATCTTGAAGCTCTAAGCTTCTGATCTGGGCCTGGCAGTACAACATGATATCCCCACACGGACTGGCCTGGAAGCTCTACAAACTAAGCTTAGAGAGGGGCACCGGCTAGAGGCCCTGAGCACCACACGTAAGGGCCAGGGCTCTAACTCATCCGCGCACTGGTGCTCCGGGAGCGGACGGGAGGGGCCACACCCAGGATGAGCAAGACACATTTCCACTTCAAAGCAGGACTGCAGCAAAAGCACGGCTTCTGCCAAAACACAATCTGTGGAAGACATCTCTGAACGCTGTCCTGAAGCACTTACATAAGTCTGGGCCCTGGATGCCAAAGGGGTGGCTGCTTAAAGCATCTCTGAAAGTGGGCAGAGGGTAGGGGGTGCTTTCCCTGAAGGCGACCAGCGGAGAAACAGTGGTTTTACAGAAGCTTTGTAATCAACAGTGCATCGTGCCAGCCAGACGCCGAGCGAAGGACAGACCGCCGGCCTCCGGCCACTTCTCCGTTCCCCTTCAAGGTCAGTGACTGCCTTTGGCTTGCCCAGCCTCAGCTCCCAGGACACCACGCAGGGTCTGCAGCCAGCATGAGGCCCGGCTCCCAGGAGGAGACTGTAAAACATGGTCCTGGGCAGCTCTATAAAAATTAAGGGCTCTTGCTTAAGTGTTTCCTTCGTGCCCCGTTGCCTGGCGCCTGCCTCAATGCGTCCTTCTTCTCTCCTCACAATAGGCCCCTGTGATCCGCAGGGCTCCCTGCAGGAAGGCCGGGTAGAGGCAAGTCCATTATGACTGATTAGACTGCCTTTCGGGGGGCTGCTGGGAAGGAAGGTTCTGTTTTCCTTTCAGGGCCGCGAGAAGCAAGCAGCTCTTTCACAGGCCCAGGTGAAAGCACCTTCCACCTTCTACTGAGAGCACCGGAGTCAGGGCTCTGATGCCTCGATGGCCCGCCAGAAGCCACTATCTGGGGGCTCTGCATGGCTGGGGACCCTTTCCCCTCCCGGAGGTGACTACCCACTTCGTACAATGACACCAAAGGGCTGCCGTGACATAGCCCACCTGCTGCTGGCTCTCCTGTCTCCCTGGGATGTGAAGGTGGAAATGTCCATCACACCGAGGCATTCTGAAGTGGAACACCCCGAACTCGCTCCCTCGAAATGAAGACTAATGAAAGCTAAACAACTGAATGCATTCCACAA